TCATTTATTTATGAAGGAATATTTATATCTCACACTCCTAACAGGCTCTTGCTTTAGGCAGCTAACAGAAAGGATCTTGATTAAAGAAACGCAAACTAAATCATATAAGGAGGAAGGCATAATGTACACATGAAAAAATAAATAACACTAAACAGAAAAGTCTGGTTAATCCTATCACCAGGCACTTATTTAAAACCAGACAACCAACAAACACACTGCAAGCTGAAAATAAAGTTTTCGAAAATGTCCTAAAGCAGTAGCGAATAATTTCACGGCAATTTTTAAACCTGCTTCCCTCACTGGGTCATGTTGGTGCACTGGGATGCACCATGAGTAATATCACATCACTTTGGACGGCCATTTTAAAGAGAATTTGCAATTGAAAAACTGAATTAGGATCTTTCAGAGACTTTTTTGAGGGGTTGTCAGAAAAAAAGCCACTCACTAGCATTGAAGGCATTTTCAGGATAAACAATGTCTTGAAAACTACCTTCAATGTTTTTTTCAATGGAAAATCTTTGGGGGTTGTTGGGGCATTTGGTGGTGTTGAAGGCTCCAGGTCTCCTATCCCTACCTTAAAGTGCATGCTGGAAGGAAGGAATCCCAATGGAGCACTGCAGCACACCAAAATACCTGGGAGTTAGCCTGGACCATGCTCTGACTTACAAGAAGCACTGCTTGACTATCAAGCAAAAAGCGGGTGCTAAATAATATCATTCATAAGCTGACTGGCACAACCTGGGGATCACAACCTGACACAGTAAAGGCATCTACTCTTGCGCTTTGCTACTCTGCTGCTGAATATGCATGCCCAGTGTGAAAAACATCTCACCATGTTAAAACAGTGGATGTGGCTCTTAATGAGACATGTTGCATTATGACAGGATGCCTTCATCTCGCACTACTGGAGAAATTACGTTTAGCTGGTATTGCACCACCTGATATCCATCAGGAAGTAGCAGCCAATAATGAAAGTGACATCTCTGACCCATCCTCTGTTCTGATATCAGCCAGCACACCAACACCTTAAATCAAGAAATAGCTTTCTAAGATCTATAGAGATACTTTCAGGAACACCCCAGCAAGCAAGAGTCCAAAAGTGGCAGGCTAAAATTCAGAACTTCAATCCATTGCTGATACCAAATGAGAGACTCCCTCCTGGGCACACAAAAGACTGGGCAACTTGGAAGGCGCTGAACAGACTGCGCTCTTGCACCATGAGGTGCAGAGCCAACTTTAAGAAATGGGGCTACAAAGTGGAGTCCACAATATGCAAGTGTGGAGAAGAGCAAACCACAGACCACTTTCTACAATGCAGCTTGAGCCCTGCCACATTCACAACAGAGGACCTTCTTACAGCCACACCAGAGGTACTCCAAGTGGCCAGCTTCTGGTCAAAGGACATTTAGAATAATGCCAAGTTCTTAGCTCTCCGTGTTTTTAAATATATTATAACTGTATCTTCAATTCACCTCTGACACGATAAATAAACATAACCTTAAAGTAACTTCATTAAGGTAAAGGATGGCAAAGACTAGATATAGATACAGAAAGGGCCACTACCAGCAGATTGTTCTAACTTGTGATCTAAATCCAACAAGAGTAATGTTTGGCTTTTTTAAAACTTCAGGTTTATCAAATCATTAAATGGGTTTACCTTAGTTGGGACAAACAATTGGATTTAGACCAATAAATTGGGAAAGTGAGCCACATAACTGCGGGACAGATGGCACAACTGAAAAATAATGTTTGCTTGTAACATCTAAAGAAGTTCTTTATAATCACGCATGGATCAGAATTGTGCTAACATGTCCACCCAAGGTGCATCTGCACTGTGGAATTAGTGGCGCTTGACTTTAACTGCTATGGCTTAATGTTATGAAATTGTAAAGAGTTGTAGTTTTATAAGGTCTTTAATTGTTTCTATCAAACAATGCTGGTTTCGTACCAGACAGCTCTTGGGATTCTATAGCAGGCATGGGCAAACTTTGGCCCTCCAGGTGTTTTGGACTTCAACTCCTACAATTCCTGGCCTCAGTCTCTTTCATTTTCCCCCTGAGGCCAGGAATTGTGGGAGTTGAAGTCCAAAACACCTGGAGGGCCAAAGTTTGCCCATGCCTGTTCTTTAGCATTAAGCGATGGTAGTGAAAGCAGTGTCAAACAGAATTCATTCTATTGTGTAGATGCATCCTCTGACTAACAAACAAGCATTCCATTACAAACTCCTATTACACCAAACACAGTTCACCTGAAGCTTCACTAAACAAATCCAAAGAAAATAAAATATCTCAAGAGTGACCTCCACTGGACATGCCAGGCAACACTTCTTTAAAAAAAAATATCACTGACCATGGCAGCTTTCACACTCCAAAAAAGTGAGAAGCCAATATAACTACAGTATATTCTGGCGTATAAGACTACTTTTTAACCCAAGAAAATCTTCTCAAAAGTCAGGGGTCGTCTTATATGCGGGTGTAGTCTTATGCATGGGAGTTGTCTTAACTCTATATTTTAACTGGAAAAGTTGGGGGTCGTCTTATACGCCCAGTCGTCTTATATGCCGGAATATACGGTAACCGTCGTGCAACGTGTTTTGTGGAGTAAGATTAACTGGGAGAGGCAGTCTCAATACATTCTCGATCAGGTTAAAAGATGCTGGATTATTTAAGAGCCCTGGACCACACAAAGACATCAATGTAAGCATCTTCCATAAGAACAGAGTCACCGGTGGTGCAATGGGTTAAACCCTAGTGCCAGCAGGACTGAAGACCAACAGGTCACAGGTTCGAATCCAGGGAGAATGCAGATGAGCTCCGTCTGTCAGCTCTAGCTCCCCATGTGGGGACATGAGAGAAGCCTCCCATGAGGATGGCAAAACATCAAAACATCCGGGAATCTCTCACACTGGAAGTAACTTGCAGTTTCTCAAGTCACTCTTGACACATTAAAAAATTCCATATGAATGAACCAATACCTGAACCCCATAATGAATGTACAGATGTGATTATTAGTGGATTATATACAGTAGACATAGTTTTCTTAGATCTACAGAGACACTCGCTGGAACACCCCAGCAAGCGACAGTCCAAAAGTGGCAAGCCCAAACCCAGCACCTCAATTCATGGGTGATACCAGATGAGAGACTCCCCCCTGGGCACACAGAAGACTGGGTGACTTGGAAGGCGCTGAACAAACTGCGCTCTGGCACCACGAGATGCAGAGCCAACCTTCAGAAATGGGGCTACAAAGTGGAATCCTCGACATGCGAGTGCGGAGAAGAACAAACCACTGACCACCTGCTGCAATGCACCCTGAGCCCTGCCACATGCACAATGGAGGACCTTCTTGCGGCAACCCCAGAGGCACTCCAAGTGGCCAGATACTGGTCAAAGGACATTTAACCAAATACCAAATTTGCAAAATCTGTGTGTTTTTTTCCCCTTTTTCTTTTTAATCTGTGTGCTTGTTTTGCTCTGTTAGAATTGTAATACAATGGTTGCTGATGACACGATAAATAAATAAATATACAGTAAAGGGAAGATTTGTTTTGTCCCCTTGCTTCTGGTTTAATTTTATATTGCTTTATCATAATTTTCTATTGTCTCTTGGAAAGTAATTGTACAATGCCCAGCGAACCTTGTTTATTATCCAAATGTGTAATTAATAAATAGAGAAATAAGGCAATCCTTTGAGTCGACTTATGGAGAGAAAAAGCAGGATACAAATACACATAAACATAATAAAAATACAAATAAGAACTGTAAATAAATAAATAAATAAATAAATAAAGTCTGGAGCCTTCTCTGCCAAAGAATGCTGGTGCCTCACTAAACTAAATCTCCCAGGATTGCATAGTATTGAGCTATGGCAATTATTTTATTAATTTATTTCATTTATATACTGCTTTTCTCTTTGAAACACTTTGGGGGACTCAAAGTGCTTCACAGCAAAGTAAATGGCAATTAAATTAAATTAAATTAGAGCAACATCCCTCAAATAAGATCTCCAGATGCAGCTCTTAAAGCAGCTTCCTCTTTTGCTTTAGCAAAAAAGAAAAGAAAAGAAAAAAGAATAGCATTAGATTCAAGTAAAAAAGCTAATATATAATATAACATAAAATATAATATGGGTTTGTTATTTTCTCTTATTTATGACAACTTTCGGGACACCATGTATGTGCCTGGCCAGTGATGGCCAAGGAAGATGGGATTTGTAGCACAGTACGTCCAAAGGATACCAAGGATGGTTGATTGATTTTAATATTTTTACTTTTGCTCTCTCTTTCTCTTTTTTAAAGAGCCCTGAAACCATGTGTATTTCTCCAATCACAGAGGCATGGAAGCAGTCTCTTTCTTCCTTTTCTGCATTAAACACTGATATACCTCCATGCGACAGATATGTTGGTAGAAAGGTGAATGGCATCTTAAGCAGAAGTCATACAAAAACGGTGGTACAACAACAAAAATTTGAAACCATGGCACTCCAGGTTACTGTTACACTATAGTTTTCGCTGTTTTTGTCAGTGTGACGGATAAAGCCAGAAACCCTAACACTGGAAATACTGGACATCTCCTTACCTTCCATGCATATTTATTGCTTTAGAAAAATGGACATATTTACTATCAACAACAGAACCGCAAAGCCGGCGGACTCATTTATATGCCAGGAAACTGGGAAGAGATGCTAATATGACCTTAGTGGGGCATATCAAGTGTCACTGACACTGTTTTCTCCAAGTCATTTTGAGGACAGTCTACTCAAGAAATTAATTGCATCTTTTTAAAGGATTAGGTCAAGACTGTCCAAAGTGACAAATAATGAAAGTGAAATTCACTCCTACGCGAGAGTATGGGGGGTGGGGGTGGGGGTGGCTTAACAAACATTTTAAATTTATTATTTATCAGATCTGAACTCCACCTTGGAGCAATTTCTTCCGAGTGGTTTACAAAGTCCCACAATTCATTTATATCTACATTTAAAAAAAATAGAAATTGACTTACTTGTGAGCTTGTTGTGGCTGAGGACCAGCTGGGTGATGTTTGACAGCGTGACTGTTAATGAACAGAAAGAGACAACAAATAAATAAATGGGGGGGGGGGGAATGACATCATAAACACACTTTAATAGGAATATCATCAGAAAAATGGGAGCATATAATGTCCTAAAACTTTAAAAGCTACTATTTCCCAGATGTAGAAAACTTTCTGAGATCCAGGGAACTCCTTACATCTCCCACTTGATTTTGGAAAGCTGAATCCGACAAACATTATGTAATAATAATAATAATAATAATAATAATAATAATACAATTTATTTATATCCCACCCTTCTCCCCTAGGGGACTCAGGGCTGATTATAGCATTTACAGCAGACATAGGCAAACATTCAATGCCTCGCTATCACATACAATGAGACACAAACACAGAAAAAGGCAAAGGCTTCTCCTTCTCCATGCTTAACCTGTAAATATGCTTTTGAGGCTTTTATATGCAGTGCCAAGAGAAGAAAAGGCTTGATTTGCTTTCAGGTGATATGCAATTTTTGGCATTATTAGCATATATATAATATAGGTATAAATATAGGAAATAAATAAATAAACACTCCTTGTATACCAATATATAATACACCAGGGGTTCCCAAACTTTTTTCAATCACGAAACCCTTCAAAAGACATTTATTTTCTGCAGAAGCCTAACTCCATCCCTGATTTGTTTAATAAAAATATATTCTGGATCATTTTACACAAGTTCAAATGCAGGAGTATAGTAAAGGTAAAGGTTTTCCCCTGACATTAAGTCTAAACGTGCCCAATTCTGGGGGGTGGCGCTCATTTCCATTTCTAAGCCAAAGAGCTGGTGTTGCCCGTAGACACCTCATGTGGCTAGCATGACTGCATGCAGTGCCGTTACCTTCCTGCAGAAGCAGTACCTATTGATCTACTCACATTTGCATGTTTTCGAACTGCCAGATTGGCAGAAGCTGGGCCTAACAGCAGCAGCTTCATTTAATTACGGTATGTTGATCTGTAACTATAGCAAATCTGTGTTTAAGATTGTGGGCTATATCGCTGCATTTTGTATTAGCTCCTGGCTCTCCCCAAAGTTATAATGACTTCTCCCTCTTGTTGAATACCATAGCAGCTTACAACAGAATAACTATATTACTTTTTGGACTACACAGTGCCTGAGAAAAGAACTGCATTGCACTCTTAGCAATGCAGCCAATGCTGAAGACAGAAGTTTCACACGTTTTTACAATTTATAACCTAGGGCAAACTTCCTCTCTTAGTAACTGACAATTAACTTCATGATTAATTGCTGTGACTAAACATAGAAATAGTGACAGACAGCTTTGAGAGTTGAGGGCGGTATGCCATTGAAGCTTTTTGACAGCAAAACCCGTCAAGGAAGAACTGTGCTAGACTGTGTCACCGGATCCACAAGATGGCAACCGAGCTTCATTTTCAATGTAGTGCCTGGCTTTTAGAAGTTTATCTTTTAATTTTAGAAGACTAGTTTAATTGCCATGGTAGGAGTCAGAAAAAGCAAAAACAGGGGGGAAATGACATAATTGCAGTGCCTAAAAATACAGTGAATCTTATGCCAACCTGTCATGATGCAAAGATGATAGTTTTTCAATTTCCTAGATAATAAAATTATTTTAAACAATTACAGTTTGATAATTTGGGCAAAAAGTAATTGAAGAATGGACAGTTCAAACTGTAGATCTTTAGGCACCACAATCCTGTACAGTACAACAAATATTGTGTGTACAGATCCAGTGTATGTAATCTTGGCTCTTACGTCTGCTATGTTACGTGATTTTTTTAATTTTTTAATGCCCAAGGAATTCATAGGATTTTCATAGAGGTGAGAGTCATCATTTGTGCCCTAGATTCTTGACCTTTCAGGCTTAGTCAGAAGGGAATGGGGGTCAATGGGAGGCTATTCAATGCATTCAACACAAGAACGCAAGTTGGAATTCTGCTAAAAGTTGCTATGCCTTTGTTCAAAAAGCCATCTCTGAATCCCTCTATAATAAAGGATTTTGCGACAGTCTCTAACAGTCCATTTTTGTGCAAGATATCAGAGCATGTGGTCACCTCACAATTCCAGGGATTCCTGGATGAAAGAGATTTGTTAGATGCATTTTAATCTGGTTTCAAGACTAGTTATGGCACAGAGTCAACTTTGGTCACCTTGGTGTAAGACCTATACGAGGAACTGAACAGGGAAATTGTGTCTATTTTGGTTCACTGGACCTCTTCCAATACCATCAGTCATGGTCTACTTCTGGGTACATGGCTTGGATGGAACTTTGGGCACATCTCTACTGTATAATGAATGCAGTCGGACACTATCTTAACTGTCATGGCTCAATAATAAGGGATCCTGGGAGTTGTAGTTTGGTAAGGCACTAGTACTCTTCGGCAGAGAATGCTAAAGGTCATGAGTCCATAATATTGAGCAATGGCAGTTAAAGCTGCATCAAATCACATCATTTATACCAGTGGTCCCCAACCTGTGGTTCATGGACCACAAGTGATCCCCAAGAACTAAAATATGGTCCACAGCTTCACCGTTACTACACCGTTGCAATGAGAGTGACTGGTCTTGCAAAACCCTCTTATAGTGCTGAGGCAATGGGAATGTTGGGAGGTGAGAGGTTGACTACCCATGAAAGGTGTGACAACAAGCCTTCTGACGGTGGCTTCTCCTCCTCCTCCCTCCCTCCCCCTGAGCGGAGCCATTCTATGTGGCTCCTAGAAGCGGGGGCACCTTGGTATCTTGGGTTTTAGGCCTGTTCCTGGGGTTATTTGGGATGCTGATTCATAAAATTGAATTAGATAGGCCACATCAGCTCTAGATTATTAAATATGGTTTTCTGTGGGTGAACAGATGGCAACTACTGGGTGACACATGTTCTGTATAAGAAACTAGATCTGATGTGGTCTATCCAATGCAGTTTTCTGTATCAGCATCCCAAATAACCTAACCGAATCTAAAGAGTAGAGATTCATCCCATTTTTGATATTTTATATTTGTATCATGCATACAATATGTAAATGTACAGCCACAGTTGTCAGTAAATCAGCCTGCCATAAAGCACTATTCCCTTTCTCTATATCTGCTTGTTCAGCATAATTGTACATTGCATTCATATCCCAGCAAATTGCTGGGAATATGCCTGGACTCAGTATTATATGCCCGTTTTCCTTAAAGCAGTTTCTGTATTGTATTACTATATTATCCTTTCTGCTCAAACCACAACAAAGCTGTTGCTATTAATAATATTACCAGGAAATGCCCCATAGGAAACAGAGCTATGTGAAGCTATAAGATAATTGCTACTCAAGTTGCCCAGTGTGGGAACTGAGGTTAATACATTATATCCCCCCCCCCCCCATGACTGGCTATCCAGTTTTTTTTAGAGGGTGTGGTTGGGGTAATAAAACAGGGACATCATTGGATTAGAGTTTCCATCATCTTTTGCAACTGACTGCTGGCTGGCAATCCAACAACTCGCATAGGGCCATGTGTTTCCCATTACAAATTTAAAAATAATTTTATTAAGACACAATCAAACAAAGAAGACATATAGGATTAGAGTAGAGAGAGGTGCTGGACTTCAACTCTATGGATCCTCACCACTATTTATGTGGACTAGGGTTACTAGGAGTTGCAATCCTACAACATCTAGAGGTCTACATGATCACCACTCATTGGAGCCCCAGGTGGCACAATGGGTTAAACCCTTGTGCCAGCAGGACAGCTGACCAACAGGTCAGTGGTTTGAATCTGGGAGAGTGGGTTGAGCTCCCTCTGTCAGCTTCAGTTTCCCATGCGGGGGCATGAGAGAAGCCTCCCACAAGGATGGTCAAACATCAAACATCCGGGTATCCCCTGAGCAACGTCCTTGCACACAGCTGGTTCTCTCACACCAGAAGCAACTTGTAGTTTCTCAAGTCACTCCCGACACGAAAAAAGAATCACAACTGGTGGATAAGACTGCTGTCTTTTTCCATAGTTGAGATACACTAATTCTTATTTCACTTTTAAAATGTTCAAACAGAACTCACATTGTATAAAAACAGAACCTTGGGGCCCCTCTTACTCCGACACTTCAGAGGGACCCATACATACTGACATACTGGCCTGGCTTTGTAGTTATTTGTGTTTGCCACTGACTTGATGCTATAATGGCTAGAGATGGGAGTTTGCAAAAGAGACAGGAGTGCATCTGCCCTTTTGAATTAAAGCAGTTTGACACCACTTTATCTGCCACGGCTCAATTTTCAATGCTGTGGAATAATGGGAGTTGTAGTCTGGTGATGCACCAGCATTCTCTGGCAGAGAAGGCTAAAGACCTTGTAAAATTACAATTCACATGATTCCATGTCACTGAGCCATGGCTGTTAAAGCGGTGTCAAACTACACTAATTCTATAATGTAGATGCACCCACTTCTCTGTTGAAAGGGGAGTTTTCCTGCTTTTGTTGTTATGTGCCTCTGGGCAACGTCCTTGTAGATGGCCAATTCTCTCACACCAGAAGCAACTTGCAATTTCTCAAGTTGCTCCTGACATGGAAAAAAAAACTCATTTCCGACTTCTGGACACTTTATTACAGGGTTTCTGGGGCTGAGAGTGTGTGATTTGCCCAAGGTTTACTTGTTTGAAAATTGCAGTGGAAATTAGACCTTTATGATCCCATCCCAGTGACTAGAAAGCTATGGACTTTCAATGTTTGCAACCAAATTTGAAAATGGCTACACACTCCTCGGGTATGATATATGTACGTCTTCTTAAAAAGGAAAAAGAAAACCCTTTGTTGACATATAGATGAGGCATTTTCATAATCACTGTTCATTCTCGTCTAGCCAAAAAAGCTTTAACTTGGGTCCCATGTGGCCCAGACATTAGCAAGTACAACTGCCTAATTAACCAAATGCCACAAAGGGAACCAAAGTGCGGCATCTGCCTAATAAGCTCCCTAGATCTAAAACAATAAATAACTTAAATATCTTTGACATTATTAAGCAATATGATAATTTCTGATGGGATAATTTAATGTTTCAGATAAAAGGAACTCTTGAGACAGGTGTTGCTACTTAACTAATGTCACATCATGAAAAAGAAAGCCTGTTACAGCAGATCTGAATTAATTATAAGGTAATTAGCATACAGTTAGACTCTGTCTGTCTCTGAAGAATCAGAGGACAGGTTGCTAATCCAAAGAAAAGACACTTCATTGCTTCAGATTCCTTTACTAGCTGCAAAGGCATTACTAATTTATGCTTAAATCAGAGAATACGCTATAAAAGAAGATTAAGGAAAGGTCTCTGTTGATATGATCTTTTCCAGTCCTTTATAATCTTTGGCACCAGAAGTGGAGTTTTTCAGAATATGAAATTATTCCTGCAAAGGAAATAATGTTTTTATTCTTAGAAGGACCATTATTTTGGGTGGGAGCAGACTCTTTTAGTGTCTCCTTCAGAAGGAAGCAGCAAACAAAATATAGTAGCTGACTTGACCATGAAGTTGACCATAAAACTGTCCCAAAGAACCTAGAGATCCCTAGAAAGGTGTTTTCTCAGGTAAATAAAACGTGGTTCTTTTATTCGTGGTTTTTCCACTTTTGCAGGAGTTCACAACCCCTAATCCCCACAATAGTGAAGTGGCCTACAATATAGGAATTGCCCACATCAAACAAAAATGAGAAATCATGATCAAATTGGATGTGTTTAGCACATATCTAGAAGAGGTGTTCCCTCAACTGATGAAAGACATCTGTTTGTCATAACATGTTTATTTAGTACTTAATTTGTAAGTCTGATAGCAGAAGCACATATGTATTTGTCTGGTTATAGTAAAGGTAAAAGTAAAGGTTTTTCCCTGACATTAAGTCCAGTGGTGTCCAACTCTGGGGGGGTGGTGCTCATCTCCATTTCTAAGTCGAAGAGCCAGCGTTGTCCATAGACACCTCCAAGGTCATGTGGCCGGCATGACTGGATGAAGTGCCGTTATCTTCCCGCTGGTGTGGTACCTATATTGATCTATTCACATTTGCATGTTTTCGAACTGCTAGGTTGGCAGAAGCTAGGGCTAACAGTGGGAGCTCAAGCCACTCCCCGGATTTGAACCAGCGAAATTTTGGTCAGCAGGTTCAGCAGCTCAGCGGTTTAACCTACTGCGTCACTGTGGGCTCCTGACTGGTTATAGTACCCCTAATTATGATGGGAAAAATGTCCTGAAATTCTTTGATTCCTATGATTTTATAATTTCCCGAATAGTTTGCAATCATCATGTAAATTCATGATTGCAAATTGAAATAAGCAAATGCAGTGAATGCACAAAAAAGTATAGACTTAGTACAAAAGAGGCAAAACTTCAATTCCTGAGTATACTAAAGCTATCAAATATTAGAAGAATTAGGGAAGGGAAACTCAGCTTACCCACATGAAAAAAAATATTCTTGCTTCCAGAGGTGTTTGTGGGTGTTTTTAGATACTCCAGTGCTTCCAGACCAAATATAGTCAATATATAGGGATGATTATTCATGATTTCAGGTGTATTAGAATGTATACCCTATGGATACAGTGACTGCAGTGTATTTGCCTATATGTTAAGGACATATTTAGAATTATAGAATCATAAGAGTTGGGAGGAACCCCAAGGGCTATCCAGTCCAACCTGATTCATTTTCTGTGTCAGTAACGACTCGAGAAACTGGATGTTTTACCATCTTGTAGGAGGCTTCTCTCATGTCCCTACATGAGAAGCTGAAGCTGTCAGATGGGAGCTCACCCCACTCCCCAGATTTGAATCACTGACCTTTTGGTCAGCAGTCTTGCCAGCACAAGGGTTTAACTCATTGTGCCACCAGGGGCACCATGCAAGAATGCACAATCAAAGCTCTCCTAGCAGATGGTAATTCAGTCTCTGCTTAAAAACCTCCAGAGAAGGACACTGGATCTAGCAAAAGCCTCTCACGGCCCATCAGCAACTGTGAAAGAAACCAACTGCAAAAGGAGGGAGGGAGAAAAGTGGTAAACATTAATTCCTCCATCCTTCCACTTTCCTGCACCAGAAATAAATCTGAGTAGAACTGATGGACAAATTGAATCCTTGGATCCAACCTAATTATTTCAATTATATAATTTCAATTTAGAACATTCCAAATATATAAAAAAGAAGAAGGGCCTAGCTGAATTAGGGTAAGAGCCTATGTAGCTGAGCACCTTGTTTCCTAATCACATTTCTCTAGAGAACACACCAGCAAGAGAAAGAAGACTAAATCCAACAGTTAGATTACATCTGTTGAATCAATGGAATTTAAGTAAGTTTTGTCTTACCAAGCTCCAAATGATTCAATCAGTCTAGTCTCATTGGGTCAACTAATTATATTTAGGCCAAGAGAAACAATCTCCTACTGCCAAAGCTCTCCAGCACCTATTGGTCAAAGGCACTTTCTGTATAATCCTGGAGAAAACCATCCAGAGAACTAGCCACTGAATTCTTCGTCTCAACAATTACTACAACTCCACAGCATCATGGGTCAGTATTGAAATTATTAATATTCCCATATTGCAAGCAGAACATGGGGTGGAAAAAGGCATTTCATTCCAGGACATTCCAGCTCATACGCTTGGCCATTAGGAACCCACCTGTCACCTGTGTGTCCAAGAAAAAAAGTAAACAAAACAAAACAATATTCTTCCAAAATTCTTCTCAATCTCTTATACTCAAACTATTGTATCTGGAGAATGATTTGAAATTTTAATTAGAAGTTTTAACTGCTAGGTTCCTATAGGAACTACCAATTCCTTTTGATTAGCCAAAATAGTATAGTGGTTTGAGTGTTTGACCACAGTTTTAGAGACTGGTGTGTTATTATTATTGTTAGTGTTATTGTTATGATTATTATTAGGGCCCCTGTTGGCGCAGGGATTAAACCGCTGAGCTGCTAAACTTGCTGACTGAAAGGGTGGTGGTTCAAATCCAGAGAGCGGGGTGAGCTCCTGCTGTTAGCCCCAGCTTCTGTCAACCTAGCAGTTTGAAAACATGCAAATGTGAGTAGATCAATAGGTATTGCTTCTGCAGGAAGGTAACGGCGCTTCATGCAGTCATGCTGGCCATGTGACTAGGAGGTGTCTTTGGACAATGCCAGCTCTTTGGCTTAGAAATGGAGATGAGCACCAACCCCCACGGAGTCGGACACGACTAGACTTAATGTCAAGGGGAAACTTTTACTTTTATTCTTCTTCCTCTTAATAATAATAATAATAATCATCATCATCATCATCATCTATATTCTGCTTCTTCTCTCCCAAAGGAGATTCAAAGCAGCTCTTGGTGACTCACACTCTCATCCTCAGAAAGTCCCATGATAAGGTCACCTTATGGTCACCATAAGTCAGAAATGACTTGAAGTCACACATAACAACAAGTTCCTTTTAATAACCAGTTGTCTACAGAAGCAAGGTTGCTGTTGCAGAAATGCAAAAGCATTAAAGCAGAGCCGAGAAATACTTACACAAACCAGGTATGTCTAGCATGTTAGAGATTCCCCGGTCGCACATGTCGACTTCCAAGATGTTCTTCTCCCGACTCTCCTCCACAATTTTTTTCAAGGATTTGGACATGATGGAAGCTGCAAAAAGAACAGAGGTATATTGCAGCAGGTCAAGAAAAGATACATAAAGCTGAAAGGACATTTCTTTTACTGTATCAGATAAGCCAATCTCAAATGAAATCAATTGGAGGGGGAGAACTTGCTCACTCCAGTGATCTCAATGTGACAGAAAAGGCATAAAGGTCATGAAAAAACACAATGCCTGCATGTTGTGATTCTTCATTTTATGGTAGAAGATAGGCCATCTTGATGTGAAATTGTGTCTCCCAATTAGGAGCTTGTTCAAAATATTTTGCAGTGAGTTATCTTCTAAAATGATGCTGTTAGCTGGTCCTCTTCTACCAGGAAGATGGGTTTTGGGAAACGTATGAAGGCTGAGAATAGAACAGGAAAGTGGATTTTCCTCTGTTAATCTGATGACATCTATACTGAAAAATGAATGCATTGGCACCACTTTAATTGCCATAGTTCAGTGCTAGGCAATCCTGGAAGTTATAGTTTTACAAGGTCTTTAACCTTCTTTACCAAAGAGTGTTGGTGCCTCATCAAACTGCAACTCCCATTATTCCACAGCATTGAGCCGTGGCAGATAAAGTGACATCAGATTGTATTAATTCTACAGTGTAGATCAGGCATGGGTAAACTTCAGCCCTCTGGGTGTTTTGCACTTCAACTCCCACAATTCCTAACAGTCTACCGGTTGTTAGGAATTATGGGAGTTGAAGTCCAAAACACCTGGAGGGCTGAAGTTTACCCATGCCTGATGTAGATGCACCCATAGTTCTGGAGGTAGGTCTTGCTCATGCTCATTGCTGGAGGTAGGTCTTGCTCATGCATTTTGATTGCTTTTGTTTGTTTGTGCATTATATAACCTTTGGAAATCCATTTTCCAAATGCTTTGGAATGGCACCTGGATCCTGGGACCCATCAAATCTGGATGAAGATTGTTCTCCGGAGAAAGAAGATATTACAACAATTTGCCCCTCAGCTCTGGATGGAAAGTGTCAATACTTTAGAAGTGATTCCTTGCTCTTCATGCAGGGACTATCAGGTCCTGTTGAACTACTATGATACAACATATGGACAGAGAGATGTATATACATTAATTTATGTCTAGGAGTATACTTAAGACTAATTTAAGACAATTTTTCAGTTTATCTTTTTATCCTTTGTCACCAAGCACAAAGTAGCTGCACACAATAACATCTTGCAGAAACTTACTGGCAGCACATCGGGAGCAGACCCACAATTAATAAGAACATCAGCCCTGGCAAGCGAGGTTTATATATCTGAGGAATGTCCAGGGTGGGACAAACAACTCTTGCCTGCCTGACAAGTGTTTTAATGTGTTATATTTTAACTATGTTGCTCAGGCTTGTCCCCATGTAAGCCGCCCCAAGTCCTTTTGGGGAGACAGAGGTGGGATACAAAAATAAAGTTGTTGTTGTTGTTGTTGTTGTTGTTGTTGTTGTGAGGCCAATGTGAATGTTGCAATTGGCCACCTCGATTAGCACTGAATGGCCATGCCTGGCTGGTTGCTGCCTGGAGGGATCCTTTTGCTTTGGCTTTGAAGCTGCAAGACCATTAAATGCTAATCAAGGTGACCAATTGCAGCATTCACACTTGCCTCAAACAGACAAGAGTTCTTTCTCCCACCCTGGACATTATTCCATAGATATATAAACCCCACTTGCCTAGTTTCCAACAGATCTCACAACCTCTGAGGATGCCTGCTATAGATGGGGGTGAAAGGTCAGGAGAGAATGCTTCTGGAACATGGCCATACTGCCTGGAGAAACTCAGCAACCCAGTGATTCTAGCCATGAAAGCCTTTGATAACAGATTATTTGGATACACATAGAGAGAGATCTTGGAGAAGGGACTCCAGTCTTAACAGGAAATTAATTGATGCTTATTTATTTATTTATTATTTACAGTATTTATATTCTGCCCTTCTCACCGTGCAGGGGACTCAGGGCGGATTACAATGTACATATACATGGCAAACATTCAATGCCATAGACTCTCACAACATATATACACAGACACATTGAGGCTGTTTAACATTCCAGCTTTTTGATGATGGTATTCTGGCCACCAGGGGAGCTGTCGCTTCACCGTCTATTTGTGACATTGATGAAGTACTTCCTCATTCTTTGCATGYTTGCTGGAGATTTTTAAGGCATCGTATATTAGCCTCCCCGTATAAACGGTACCTAAATTTCCTACTTGACAGATGCAACTGTCTTTCGGGCTGCAAAGGTCGACAGCAAGCTACACAAACTGGTTGGAAGCTCACTCTGACCTGGGCTGGCTTCGAACTCAAGACCTTTTGGTCAATGGTGATCTTAATGMAGCTGACTCYCAGCCAGTCCTGGTGCTTGCCATGCATCTTACATCCGGGTAATTTTATACACAGTGCTTTTAATAATTTTGAGCATGAAACAAAGTTTGTGTCCACTGAACCATCAGAATGCAGAGGTGTCACTCTCTCTGCTACCAGTGATGTAGATAATTTCGGATTTGGGCGATTTTTGGAATTCTGGATAAGGGATGCTAAATCCGTTGTCACATTGCTCTCAATGGGCCACTATTTTTTCCAGGGMTAGGGGTGCATCTACAGTCATAGAATCATAGAGTTGGAAGAGACCTCATGGGCCATCCAGTCCAACCCCTGCCGAGAAGCAGGAATATTGCATTCAAAGCACCCTCGACAGATGGTCATCCTATCATGAGCCTAGGCTAAGTTCCAAAGAAGGAGCCTCCACCACACTCTGGGGCAGAGAGTTCCACTGCTGAACGGCTTGCACAGTCAGGAAGTTCTTCCTCATGTTTAGATGGAATATCCTTTCTAGTAGTTTGAAGCTATTGTTCCGCATCGTAGTCTCCAAGCTTGCTCTCTCCTCCCTATGAGTTCTTCTCACATATTTATACATGACCATCATGTCTCCTCTCAGCCGTCTCTTCTTCGGGCTAAACATGCCCAGCTCTTTAAGCCGCTCCTCATAGGGCTTGTTCTCCAGACCCTTGTAGAACTAATGGAGCTTGACACCACTTTTAAGTGCCATGGGCTCAACGCTATGCAATCCTGGGAGTTGGGGACGCAGCAGGGCATTTGGCAGAGAAGGCTAAAGCCCTTCTAAAACTACATCTCCCGAGATTCCATAACACTGAACGTTTGGGGTTAAAACGGTGTCAATCTGCATTAATTCTCCAGTACAGATACAAGTCACACTGTCTCAGCCTCAGAGGAAGGAAGAATTGCAGGGAAGGAAGAGATGATGACCCTCTGCCCCCTCCCCGGCCAGATCGGGGAAGGCGAGCCATCTGCTCTGAAGCATCTCCAAGGAACTCACCCTCTGTAGGAAGGGAAGGGACCGGGGCGCTGGATCTCGGTCGAGGCGATCAGGTCCACTACAGGCTCTTTTCCGAAGCCCCCGCCCTGTTACGCTGCTGCCTCCTCCCAGTGCGCAGGCGCAGTCGCAACCCCAGACACCCGACCCTCTCCTTCGCTCCAAGTAAGGAGAAGCCGCGCTCGGGGCAGCCCCGGCCCCGCCCACAGTTTGGAATGTGCAGCCCGCGGCCAACCAATCCGAGAGGAATCTCCACCTTTGCCCGGCGGCTATTGGTCGAGGCTCCTCCGGAGCAAGCCAATGGGATTCGGGAAAGTCGAGGATACAATTCAGCAGCTCAAGGGAAGGAAGTGAAGGCAAAGTTGTGCCGGGGAGTGCAACAACATTGTGGAATGGCTACACTTTGACACCGCTTTAATTGCCATGGCTCAGGACTAAGGAATCGCGAGAGTTACAGTATGTTGAAATGGTTGCAGCAAAGTTGAGGCCAGTAATGAAATAAAAGGGCGCACACTTCTCCTTTCTATCAGCCCATTATAACATAAAGAGGAAGTTAGCCCAGGGTCATGATTCTGCAATGATGCCACTGTCATAAGGTATTAGATAAGGGTATGGTAGGCGTACGGCAAGGCTGCATACTCTCACCCAACCTTTTTAACTTGTATGCAGAACACATCATGCGAGGATGTGTGGGGCTTGATGAATGCAAGGCTGGGGTGAAAATTGCTGGAAGAAACATTAACAACCTCAGATATGCAGATGACACCACTCTGATGGCCGAAAGCGAGGAGGAGCTGAGGAGCCTTCTAATCAAGGTGAAAGAAGAAAGCGCAAAAGCCAGGTTGCAGCTAAACGTCAACAAAACCAAGATTATGGCAACAAGAATGATTGACAACTGGAAAATAGAGGGAGAAAATGTGGAGGCCGTGACAGACTTTGTATTTCTAGGCGCAAAGATTACTGCAGATGCAGACTGTGGCCAGGAAATCAGAAGACGCTTACTTCTTGGGAGGAGAGCAATGTCCAGTCTCGATAAAATAGTAAAGAGCAGAGACATCACACTGGCAACAAAGATCCGCCTAGTCAAAGCCATGGTATTCCCTGCAGTAACCTATGGATGTGAGAGCTGGACCTTAGGGGAGGCTGAGCGAAGGAAGATAGATGCTTTTGAGCTGTGGTGTTGGAGGAAAGTTCTGAGAGTGCCTTGGACTGCGAAGATCCAACCAGTCCATCCTCCAGGAAATAAAGCCCAACTGCTCATTGGAGGGAAGGATACTAGAGACAAAGCTGAAGTACTTTGGCCACATCATGAGGAGACAGCAAAGCCTAGAGAAGACAATGATGCTGGGGAAAGTGGAAGGTAAAAGGAAGAGGGGCCGACCAAGGGCAAGATGGATGGATGGCATCCTTAAAGTGACTGGACTGACTTTGAAGGAGCTGGGGGTGGTGACGGCTGACAGGGAGCTCTGGCGTGGGCTGGTCCATGAGGTCACGAAGAGTCGGAGACGACTGAAAGAATGAACAACAACAAGGAGGGTAATGAAAACCAGTTTCTTGCCTTCGTTCATTCTTCTGCCTCCTCCTCCTGCATCTTTCGTTCATCCTCCAGAATACTGAAATATTCGGATAGAGTGATGCCAGGACAATGGGAGGTAATATTATTTAAAGCAGGGATCCTCAAACTAAGGCCTGGGGGCCAGATACGGCCCTCCAAGGTAATTTATTTATTATTTATTATTTATTTATTTCGGGCACTTCTACCCCGCCCTTCTCAACCCCCAAGGGGGGACTCAGGGCGGCTTACAACCGGCACAATTCGATACCAACAATTCAGCAGATAAAATACATAACAGCGATAGCCACAATAGTTAAAAACAATAAATTAATACAATAACAACTAAAAAGCCAATCTAGTGGTCAACGTTCACCGAGTTCTAAAATCCGTAAGTCCATTCAGCATTACCATAGTCCTTTCCAAATTCTGGTTGTCATTACCTTATCAGTCTGTCAGATTACCCAAAGGCCTGGTCCCATATCCATGTTTTCAGCTTCCTTCTGAAGGAGAGGAGGGATATTGATGACCTAATTTCCCCAGGGAGTGAATTCCACAGGCGAGGGACCACCACTGAGAAGGCCCTGTCCCTCGTCCCCACCAGTCTCACTTGTGATAGAGGCGGGGCCGAGAGCAGGGTCTCCCCAGAAGATCTTAAACTCCGAGGTGGGACATAAAAGGAGATACGTTCGGACAGGTACTCTGAGCCGGAACCGTATAGGGTTTTATAGGTCAAAACCAGCACTTTGAATTGTGCTCGGAACTGGATCGGCAGCCAGTGGAGCTGACATAACAGAGGGATTGTATGTTCCCTGTATGACGCTCTGTTGATTAATCTAGCTGCCGCCCGCTGGACTAGCTGAAGTTTCCAAACAGCTTTCAAAGGCAACCCCACATAGAGCGCGTTGCAGTAATCTGTTCGGGATGTAACAATTTACCCGGCCCTCGCTCAGTGTCAACCTAAGTCTGAAACTACTTGAAAGCACACAACAACAACAACAATCTTATCTCATCAGCCAAAAGCAGGCCCACACTTCCCGTTAAAATATTAATAAGTTTATATTTGTTAAAATTGTTATTCATTTCAATTATTGTATTGTTTTTAAGTGTTTTTACACTACAAATAAGATATGTGCAGTGTGCATAGGAATTCATTCATTTTTTTCCAAATTATAATCCGGCCCTCCAACAGTTTGAGTTACTTTGACCTGGCCCTCTGTTTAAAAAGTTTGATGACCCCTGATTTAAAGCATATTGTTGACTACTGAAAGTAAACTGGTGGAATATGAACCTTTTCTTCCGGCAGGCCTACCCAATCATTTTTAAACTATGATTTTACATTTATCCTATATTACTATGGCATTTTAAACTTTGTACCATGTATTTTAATGTATGTGTTTTATAGAATGTAATATATATAGTAAGGTAAAGGTAAAGGTTTCCCCCTGACATGAAGTCCAGTCGTGTCTGACTCATAGAATCATAGAATCATAGAATCAAAGAGTTGGAAGAGACCTCGTGGGTCATCCAGTCCAACCCCCTACCAAGAAGCAGTAATATTGCATTCAAATCACCCCTGACAGATGGCCATCCAGCCTCAGTTTAAAAGACTCTGGGGTGTGGTGCTCATCTCCATTTTTAAGCCAAAGAGCCGGTGTTGTCCATAGACACCTCCAAGGTCATGTGGCCAGCATGACTGCATGGAGCGCCGTTACCTTCCCGCCGGAGCAGTACCTGTTCATCTACTCACATTTGCATGTTTTGGAACTGCTAGGTTGGCAGAAGCTAGGGCTAACAGCGGAAGTTCATGCCACTCCCCGGATTCAAACCTGTGACCTTTAGGTCAACAAGCTCAGCGCTTTAACCCACTGCACCCCCAGGGGCTCTGTAATATATATACACACATACATAGATCTGAATAGTTTAAGCAGTGGTATTCCCTGTAGTAATCAATGGATGTGAGAGCTGGACCATAAGGAAGACTGAGTGAAAAAGATAGATGCTTTTGAACTATGGTGCTGGAGGAAAATTTTGAGAGTGCCTTGGACCGCAATAAAATCAAACCAGTCCATACTCCAGGAAATAAAGTCTAGCTTCTCAATGGAAGGAAAGGTATTAGAGGCAAAGATGAAGTACTTTGCCACATAATAGGATGACAGGAAAGCTTGGAAAAGACAATGATGCTGGGCAAAATGGAAGGAAAAAGGAAGTGGGCCCAACCCAGGGCAAGATGGATGGTTAGTATTCTCAAAGTGACTGGCTCAACCTTGAAGGAAGCTCTAGTATGGGCTGGTCCATGGGGTCACAAAGAGTTGAAAGCAACTGAACGAATAAACAACAAAATATACATACATACACATACACACAAAATGGTGGTATGTTTTAACTGCAAGCTGTGAGCAGAGGCAGGCAGCAGATAATGATGATGATGGAGCAGAAGAGAACATTGGCAAAATAAGGCTTTCAATGGACAGTTCCTGGGGAAAATTGAGAGTAAAATTGACAAGGAAAAAACATGGATGTCGCTCACAAAAGGAATTTTGAAAAAGGAGATGGAGGGCCTGATTTTGCACCCCAAGCCATTAGAACCAATGCCATCAAAGCCAGAATTGAAAAGTCGACCCTACAGATTCTAAGTGTAGACTCTGCAAGGAAGCAGGTGAAATGATGGATCACATACTCAGCTTCTGCAAGAAAATTGCACAGAGGGACTACAAACAGAGACATAATACTTTTGCTCAGATGATCCATTGGAACTTGTGCCACAAATACCATCTGCCTGCAACAAAAAAACCTGGTGGGATCACAAGCCAGAAAAAGTTACAAATAATGAACACGTCAAAGTACTCTGGGGCACAATACTCCTGACCTCACGATTGTGGAAAAAAACAAAGTATAGATCAGCAATGTTGCAATCCCAGGCGACAGCAGAATTGATGAGAAGCCATGGAAAAGCTTACACAATATGAGGATTTAAAGATCGAACTGCAAAGACTCTGGCACAAGCCAATAAAGGTGGTCTCAGTGGAGATTGGCACACTGGGTGCAGTGCCTAAAGACCTTGGCCTGCACTTAAAAACAATTGGCGCTGACAAGATTACCATCTGTCAGCTGCAAAAGGATCAGCATGCATTATTCACCGATACATCACACAGTCCTAGACACTTGAGAAATGTCCAATGTATGATCCAATACAACAGCCAGCAGAGTGACCTTGTTTGCTGTTTGCTGTGGGCTCATCTTGTTGTATTTTAAATAATAATAATAATAATAACAACAACAATAAGTGTCCAACATGTGATCCAATATAAAAGCCAGAATAGTAATCTTGTTTGCTGTGTACTAATTTTGTTGTGTATCAAATAATAGTAATCATATAGTTTGTCCATTGCAAAACCAACTAGTCACAGTACTGGAGTTCAGTCCAGATCTCATACGATAATGGTTCTGAACACTTCAACTTTCCATTGCCTATCTTCTTGAGTAGAAATGTGCTCTCACCAAGCAGTAGTTCCAACGGCAAAGGTCACATTGAAGGAATGTTACGTTCATCTGTTGCAAATGTGTTGAACACTCTCTTAAAATCCACTGAAGTTAATTTAGCCACTTTGGACACTTACAAAGAACACCAGTATGACCCATTCACTTTGCCCAAACAGCATGTGCTAATCCTCATTCTTCAATGGACAAGCAGCTTTTAAAACCAGATAGAGGGTAAAAAATAATGAGTCATTTTTTTGAAATTCTATGGTAGTGGATAAAAGAAACTCCATGGTGCATGTCTAAGCCCTTTAGTTTCATCAAGTAGTTCTTCAGATCTTACTCAGCTTCAAGATACTAAAATGATGATATCAGTTAAAAGGATAGCATCACAGTACAGGAATGAAAATCATTTAGCTTTTTCAAAGGGACAGTGAGAACAGCGGGTTTAATCCCACAGTTCTGCTTGAACAAGGCATTTCTGTAATTGTCTATTGCCCTAAGTATAACTATAGGTTGTTCTGTAGAGTTGTTATTAACAGATTAGTCCTGAGTCGTTGTATCTGTCTTTGGCTGTCCCTTACTTTAGTTTCCATCTATATAAATAAAAATGTAATGTTCGTTTGTGGGAGTAACATAACTCAAAAAGTGAGACCAAATTTGGACACAATACACCTATCGGGCCAACAAGTGACCATCACTCATAAAAACACTGAAAAACATAGCAGAAGAGGCTTAAAAAGCCAAAAAACAAAAAATGCATTACAACACATGTGCAAAACCACATATATACACAAACACACATATGTACACATATATACAAACATATATACACATATGCACACACACAAAACACATATACACAGACTGGGCCACAGCAAAGTGTGGCAGGGGATGGCTAGTTATTAATATTTCTCAACACAATTCAGCTGGGTATGAGTTAACTGTTTGGATGGACATAGTGTAAAATACATCTTATGCTGAAGCCAGAACAACTATGAAGCTTATTTAAAATCACATTTTTTTTAACTTGGAAGCAACTTTGGAGACTAACTATCAAGTGGAACTTGATTGGGTTTTAATTATTTTACTTCAAGCAGACCTTTGAAGCTTACGTTGCTATATACCTATTGTATGATTTTTCCAGTAGTATATCTGCAGTTAGACTTCCATATCTACAAACTCTATATCCATGGATTCAGCCAATCATGGCATGAAATATCATTGGCGGGGGTGGGGGTGGGGCATCCAAAAAGCAAACTTTGATTGTGATGCATACTGGGCATCATGCTGATATGTAGGCATAGCTTCTAATAGCATCCCTTTTACTATGCTCTTGTATATAATGATATAAGAGCAGCCACAGATTTTTGTTATTCTCAGGAAGTCCTTGGACCAATCCTAAGAGAATATTGAGGGCCCAATGCATATCAGCAGCAGGGAACACATGACCAAACGTTGCATATCTTATCACTCCAAACCAGCATTGTTCATGGAGATGGATAATAGGAATTAAAGGCCAACAACACCTGGAGGGCCCCATCTCTGGTCTCCAAAGAAGAGTTTCTGGAGTATAGCTTCATTACTATGTGTGCACACTAGCAAGAACATCTTTAATATTTTCTTTTGAAAAAATAGAGCTCACTTTTCTTTGAAATAATTTGCAATGACTCCATTTCCTCAACAAATAATTTTATTAGCATCATATACAGAATCACATTCTCTGAAGTATGTGAATTATTTAAAAAAGTGCTGAATTGAGACATTTTCCATACGAGATGCATTTTAGCTGCTCCAGGTTAGCCTAAATCCTGAGGGTCGAGTTACATACTCGGCATGGAATTTTATGAACACTTGATGTGATCCAGCTGTAAATGGAGCAACGTTTATGTCCTGAAAAGAAACGGAGATTACAAAAAAAGTAAATGTTTTAATATAATATTTTTTCCATTAGACTGATATATAATCAAATTACCACAGCTCCAATACAGACAGCTGTTAGCATTCAACTTGCAGCAAGAAGATGAAAGTCACTGGACAGCCATAGGTCCACCATTTCTGCTTGACAGGAGAACTGAAAGGTGGGTGAAGGAGCAATGAACTTAGTACCATACAACTGTATGTATGTCCTTTTAAGATGTTTATGAATTTCATAGGGTTTTCTTAGTCTAGCAATGCTCAGGCATGGTTTGCTATTAAATTCCTCTGAAATTTTGCCTAAAATATTTTACATTTTTTGGTGGTCTTCTATCCAACTACTAACCAGGGCTGATCCTGCTTAGGTCTCAAGCTCAGGTGTCATATGGTGCTGTCAGGATACTTAGGACAGTCAACTCAGTTATTCCTGATCATAGAATCAGAATTGGAAGAGACCTCATGGGCCATCCAGTCCAACCCCCTGCCAAGAAGCAGGAAAATCACATTCAAGGCAATGGCCGTCCAGCCTCTGTTTGGAAGCCTCCAAAGAAGGAGCCTCTACCACACTCCATCCATATGTGTTAGAGTTCCATTGCTGAACAGTCAGGAAGTTCTTTCTAATGTTCAGGTCGAATCTCCTTTCCTGTAGTTTGATCACTTTCTCTTAGGGCCCTTTCAGACAGTCCCAAAATGCGTGACCTGTCGCGCTTCTACCTGAGGCATCCAACTAACACCTTTGACAAAAGTGAATTAATTGAGAACAAAGCAGGGTTTCTCTGCTTTATTCCAAATTAATTAGACACCTGGTAACACTGACTTAATTAGAGACCTGGTAAGACCTGGATCTTAGGTAAGATCCAGGTCTTACCAGATGTGGGCTCTGTATGAATTTGGCCCGGGGACAAGCCACACAGCCATCTCAATTTTTCGGGCTCCATGAGCCCAGAAAACTGAGAAGGCACCTCCTCGAAAATCCCAAAACAAACCTTAGCATTAACAAAGCTTACTGTGCTGCCATTATGGTGGTCCTTCTATCCTCCTGGTGCATAGAAATGAAGTGCCAGGAAATGGGAAGAGGGGCAAGGAGTGTAATGGGTAATGGCAGCCGTGTAAGTTTTTTAAAATTGTTAAGGCATTTGGGTGGGAGGGAGAAGTTCTGCATGGCTGAATGCCATCTTGCCTGGGAAAGCCTGGGTTTTGGGCAACTTGTGACAAAAACCCATGTTGAAGTGGGTTTTTAAAACCCACTTCCATGCGAGTCTTACCCAGTTGTTTGGAGAAATGAGTGGTTTAATGATAGATCACTCATTTTGTACAAGGAAGGTCCCATGTGGCATCTTTAAGGGTGGGAAGGGTCCTTGTGTGAAATCCTGACATTGCCAGTTAGTGTAGCATTATAAAAGACTGGATGGGTCAATGTGCTTGCCTTGGAGTGTATCTGCTTCAAATATGTGCCAAAAGACTGAAAACAAACTGTATTGCTATGAGCAACACTGACGGGAAACACTTTTAGCATAACCCTTACTTGCTTGCTGCAATGTCTAAATATGTCATTGTATTTTGTAAGAACAGTAATATTTAAACAGCCTTCAAAGGCAATCCCAGACTGAGAGTATTGCAGGAATCCAATATAGATTTTCTCAGCACATGTATAACTGTAGCACAGTTCCTAGAATGAAATTTGCTATCACTTCATGCTCCATAAAAAGAGGAAGAGACTGAATTTAGATGTGAACTAATATTTGCAACACTTTAATATGTTTTCCACTAGATGTCACCACAGGATTTCTCTTGGAATGCCTATAGCTATGAAGAATTAAATACTTTAAAGCAGGCTGGGCAAACTTCAGCCCTCTGTGTGTTTTGGACTTCAGCTCCCATAATTCCCAACAACCCACTGAAGTTTGCCCATGCCTACTTTAAAAGCACTAGATTCCAAGTAAATAGGGTCAAGGTATGTTTGGTACTTGGATAGGAGATGGCCAATGAATGCTAAGCAACGTAGGCTATAATTCAGAGGAAGAAACTGGCAGAACCACCTCTGAGTATTCCTTGCCTAAGAAAACCCTATAAAATTCATGTTATCACAACCATAAGTTGACTAGTGACTTGGAGGCACATCCATAAACATCAATGCCAGATAGCTTAAGACCAGTTTATTGTTATGATCTGAATGGCAGCACAGAGGCCTTCCATTAAAATAAAGGACACTCTGGTAATTGCTTTAATATTTGCACTATAATGTTGTAAGTTGGCAAAAACCATATAGAAAAAGAAATTCATACCAACCTGTCCACAATATGGTGCAATAAGTGGATAGCTATTATCTGGTCCATTGTAAAGTTTCAGATAGTTGTTAATACAATCACCAGGATCATCAATGCTGATAAAAGCAAAATGAACAGTAACAGCCCTTCCTTTGGGGGCATTAATTGTCCATTCGCAGTCTGTGTGATTTGAGTAAGAGGCTGGAAACTCTGGGCTGGCTAATGAGCCTGTCTCACCATATAAGATGCCACCACATCCTACAAAGACAGAAGATTAGGTAATATGAAATATTAATTCCATTTTTTGTGTTGAAACAGCTATACCCCTTGTGCTTCAAGATATAAGCATAGAATGCAGGGGAAGCAACAGGGCTTGGGCTATTGGGTTTCAACTGCCCAGAGTATATAACAATCCAAATAAACAATTAAACAGTATTGTTCCCATATCTATGTCTAACAGGTCAAGCAAGTTATATTTTAACAGAAAGGAAAATAAGATGCTAATTTCACCTGTTCATGATAAGAAGTGAATCAAGAGAAATCACATGTAATATTACTAATAATATTGCAGTATAGTGGTATAGTCGAATTTAATAATATATAATACTAACATTGTGCTGTGCTAATTATAATATATTAAATGTACATATAATATTGGTCATAATATTGTAACACAAAATAATACCAATAATAATAATATAATACAATAAAATAATAATTACATGTTTTATATTATATGTAATATTACTAATAATATTGCAGTATAGTGGTACAGTAAAATATAGTAATATATAATACTAATATTGTGCTATGCTAATAATATAATATATTGTATGTACATATAATTTGTAAGCAGCTGTGAGTCCCCTTCGGGGTAAGAAGGGTGGGATATAAGTATCATAAATAAATAAATAAATAAATAAGAATAAGCCAGTTATTAAAAATGATACTATAATACTAAATTGGTGAAAATTCCCATGTCAATGTTTTGCTTTTTAACATCAGTAGAGGAAAGGCTATTTCCTCAGAGGGCTTCACTATAAAGCCCTTGGATGCTAAGAACTCAGCAGTGCTCACAATGACTGAAAACTCTTGTTCAGTATGACTGAAAAATATTTGTTTTGTTGCAGTCCCCATAGCAAAAGTTACTGTTGGTCAACAGGAATAAAATTAGCTCTTGAAGATGTGCTCAAATGATTTTTTTTCACAAAAAAGACCTGAAATGAGATGGGGATTATCACTTTGCTATTACTTTTTAATTAATCTATGTTCAACTGGCAACTATAAATGGAGATTGACTGATTGATTGGTTCGACCTGAAACAATGTGTAGGTACCAGTTGGTGATGATGTCCAAGTAATTTCATATCCTTCATAAGAAGATAGCATATCACTTCTGAAGTGCAGATATAAAACATGGTTTTTAGGAAATACGGGATTGGGTAGAGTGCTTCCACAGTATTTTCCAAGCAGTGGTGAGCTTGCATCACTACCATTTCTGACCTTTAAAAGAATATACACAAAGCCGCTATTAACAATAGTGAATTGGTCAAGAATGCATCACTAACACCTTTGCAAAAGATTGCTTGACTTAATCTAATAACTTTAGTAAAGCTATTGCATGAGATGGCTTTCATCTTGTTTTAGAACTGATGGAAGTAATGTCATGCAGAGTCCAGGTCCATTCATACCACAGGTAATAAAATCCTAAAATAGGCTATTTTGGGAAGAGAACTTGATTTCTCACCTGGAATGCTTCAGTGCCTCAACAAATTATTAATCTATGGAACAACTGCATTTAAAGAGGAATAATAGTACTATAATTATCTAGAACAGTGGTTCTCAACCTGTGGGTCCCCAGATGTTTTGACCTCCAGCTCCCAGAAATCCTAAGAGCTGTTAACTGGCTGGGATTTCTGGGAGTATTAGGCCAAAACACCTGAGGATCCACAGGTTAAGAACCACAAATCTAGAGTGAATTGGCATTTGGGACATAGTTCCTATTAAAAGGAACTTTAAATGGGTAAGGGAATACTGTATGTCTCGTTCTGAGCTAACATCTACTCAAGAAACAGATTAGATAAGGATATTTTTAAAAGTAAATTGCAAGTGTAGGCTTCTAGACTAGAAATTGATATTGAGTGGGGATGTAACTGTTTGCTCATAGTTTTTTTTGCGGTGTGTGTGTGTGTGGGGGGGAGGGCTTGCTATTTGCCTTGATAATATAACTAATCTAAAGAGGAGCAACATATACTCCTCTAAAGGGTCCCCTGGTGACGCAGTAGGTTAAACTGCTGAGATGCTGAACTTGCGGACCGAAATGTTGGTAGTTTGAATCCAGGAAGTTGGGTGAGCTCCCACTGTTAGGCCTTGCTACTGCCAACCTAGCAGTTTGAAAACATGCAAATGTGATTAGAGCAATAGGTACCTCCTTGGCGGTAAGATAATGGCACTCTAGGCAGTCATGCTGGCCACATGACTTTGGAGGTGTCTATGGACAATGCTGGCTCTTCGACTGAGAAATGGAGATGAGCACAACCCTCCAGAGTTGGACACGACTAGACTTAATGTCAGGGGGAAACCTTTAGCTTTACCTTAAAGAGGAGCAAAAAACATAACTTGTTCCAGTTTGGGGGAGGGGGGAAATCCCACTCAAAATTGAAACTACAGTCCCTTGTTCCTGGATACAACAATATAAATTACATAGGTCAGGACACAAAATCTACTCTAGGATATTGGGGAGCCAGTGGAGCACTTTTCCAGGAGGTACAAGGAGCTGGAGTGAATATGGATCTGTAGGATGTTGGCCATGGTTGGCTGTTCTTGTGGAAGCTTTTATTTGTGTTGAATCTATGGTGCACTCTCTGACTGCTATTTTTCCTTTTGAAAACACAAATCAGAAAGGTTTTGTGGCATCCACAACCCAAAAAAGCAGCCCAGAAGGTCATATGAACAAGTAATATGCCTTGTTAGGCAACATGTGGAAGTTAATTACATTAAGGAAATTGATCATATCCAGAAAAGATGTTAATAGGAAGCATGAGGAGTTTTAGATATTGTTGAAATGCAGTATTAACCTACATAGCTAAAGGTGCTGTTAGCCAGGACTTGCAATCCAACAACTTGTGGAAAGTTACATGGCTCCCACCACAGAATTAGAGGACTATACAGAAAGGGATTGTAAACTCCCCCAAGAAGCCGGCAATGATCATACCTCTAAGAAGTCATGTACACATCCAAAACCTTCCACATTGAAAGAATGGAAAAAGAGAGAGATGGTGTGATTCCTTGGGGAGCGTAGGATAATAGTACAGTCCAGGTTATTAGGATACTTGTTGGGCCAGCCTGGGCTTTTCAAATAACCAAATGATTGGTTGTATTCTCTGCTGCAGCCTAAAAGGGGTGCAAAATTCATTTCTACGTGTTACAATGCAGAAATCATACATTACGAATAGCCCTTAGTGATGTCTTTGCCCATTATTTCATGCTAAGCAAACTCCCATGCCTTGTAAAAAACAGGTTGAAGACTTTACCTGAAGCTTGATAGGAGAAGCGAAGTCCATTGTTAGCTATAAAGGTTTTAGATCTAAAAATTAAAATAGCCGTTCGCCTATAAGAATAAAACTCTGGAATAGTAGAGTTTTCATAACCACAGAACCGGTGGACACGATCAGCATGTTCTTGAATGCCCTGAAATGTAAAATTAATAAGACACTATAAAACTGGCATTTGGAATACAAAGATAACAGATAATATAAAATGAAATAATGAGAATGTCCAGTTCAGTTGCGACATATTGTCACAAAGGACATTTTGATACCTTCTGCCAATATTTTGGGAATTTAAAGTAATTTTCTTTGAGAACTGTAGCTCCAAACGGTGATTTCCTCACCAAGTGCATAGTGCCATGTGAGTTATGGTCTGTCATTGTCACAATTCTCAGCCATATGCTGATTGACTATTGGTTCTGAGGTTCCTTTGCAAGGAGGAAGACCCTAGCAGGAAAATCCCATGGACCTCTAAAACTAAGAGTGCATCTACACTGTAGAATTAATACAGTTTGACACCACTTCCAATGCTACAGCTCAATACTATAAAATCATGGAAGCTATAGTTTTACAACGTTTTTAGCCCTGTCCACCAAATTGTGTGGGTGTCTAACCAAACTACAACACCTATGACTCCATAGCATTGAGCCACAGCAGTGAAAAATTGTGTTAATTTGCATGAATTCTACACTGTAGATCAGGCATAGGCAAACTTTTTTGTCTATGGGCCACATTGCACATGCTGGAGTGGGGGGGGGGGCAGGCACACCCTGGATAGGTACGGGCCTGGGAGGGGGAGAGTTGAGGAGATGGTAGGGCCAGGAGGGGGCAGGGCAGGGCCTGGGTCATCCCCAGGTTGTCCTCCCAGCATAAGGACAGGGCTGCTCACCCTGTCATGCCAGGAGGAAGGTGGGACACACAGTGACTGCACTGATCCTCCCCCTCCCCAATGCTTGGGTTGGCCTCTTAGCATTATGCCGGGAGGAGGGTGAGACAAGCGACGGTTGAGAATGCTCCTGGGGGCGCTCAGCTGCCACGTGCCTTCTTTGAGCCATATCTGAGCCATCCTCCTGGTAGAAGGATGGGGCCACTAACCAGGAGGAGATTGAGATACACAGTGGCTGAGAGTGCCCCAGAGAGCTTTCAGCTGCTACGTCCCTTCCTCCCCCATCTTTTTGGATGTGGTGGACCACCACGTCCTTCTGCCAAGAGGACAGGGAAACTGAGGAGGGCCTGAGGTAAGCATCCAGCCCCTGGGCCTTAGTTTGCCCATGCCTGGTGTAGATGCACTCTTAGACTGGGAAGTGCCACTGCCTGAACAATCAGCTTTAGTACTTGGTTGGCTGAACTTGGTTGGCTGACTTACCAATGGCGAGTCCTGAAATTCTACATAATTCTGAGAGCAGTCTTGGCTGGATGATAAATGAAATTCCTGAATTACTAGCTTGACCTGTCGATCAGGAGGGGCATCAATGATCCATCTGCAGAATGTAAGTGGTGGGTATGCATTCGGAAAGTAGGGAGACATTGCATACTGTATATCAGAAGTTGCGTTATATGTACCTCCACACAATCCTGTAAGAAATTATAGTACATCCGCTTAATTCTGTTAGAAGGCTTCTAGGTTCCCCTTCATTGATATCTTAAGATGTGGAACTACAGCAGCAAGACTTCCATGCCAAACAAATTTAAAATCAAAGAACCAGATGTGAAAATTCATAAGGGTTCTGAAGTAACTTTTGTATTTGCAGTGTTACACCTTGTCCTCAAATATCTGACAGATGACAAATAAATCCTTAATTTGACAATGACTTTTATTTTTTTATATTTGTTTATTAGCTTTTGAGTCCTTTCCCATTCCCGTGCAGTCATGCAAGATAAATGCGCGTTGAATGGAGTAGTGATTTGAGAACTAGTCTATGACTGGTGACCAGGTCTGAATCTCCACTTAGTCATCGAAATCCACTGGGAAATTCACACTCTCAGTTTCAGATGAATGCAAGGGAAGACTCCCTCTGAAGAAATGTTGCCAAGAAAACTCAATGCTAGATCTGCTTTAGGGTCACCATAAGCTAGAAACATGAAGGCAAACAACCATCTCTTATTGAAGAAAGAAAACAAAAGGAGTACTTACTGTCCACAGTAGTGTAGGTTGCACTGAAACCTGCTCTTTCTATATATCCATCAGTGACAAATTCAATAGTTAAGAAGTTACCAGTGGAAACAAAATTAGGAGGAATGTTTGAGCCACAAAACGTGCCAACTAGAGTATCATTTTCAATATTACCATCATAAAGCTAAAAGACAAAAAAGAGAGAAGTATAACATCAAGACTGAATAGATAGCACAACCTGCACAATGAAGACTTGGGTGAATGACGGGCAGATATAATTCAAAGGCGTGAAACTGGTGATACAGTCATCTCTTCCTATTTGAAAGTTTTATTATTCACAAGTTTGACGAATATGTTCTCTTTAAGAATCTCTACATCAGATTGTTGTAGTTTTTTCGGGCTATATGGCCATGTTCTAGAAGCATTCTCTCCTGACGTTTCGCCTGCATCTATGACAGGCATCCTCAGAGACTGTGAGATGTCTGCCATAGATGCAGGTGAAACCTCACAACCTCTGAGGATGCCTGCCATAGATGCAGGCAAAACGTCAAGAGAGAATGCTTCTAGAACATGGCCATATAGCCTGAAAAACCTACAAAAACCCAGTGATTCCAGCCATGGAAACCTTCAACAATACAATCCCTACAACAGCACCCAATCCTTGCACATTGCCCATTTCATTTTTCTATTTTTCTTCTTCTCTTTTTTCTTTATATATTCCTGTTTTTATTTCTTATATATGCTTCTAAACACACACACACACACACACACACACACACACACACACACACACACATATATATGAATCTTTACATCCTCCCGCGCAGTTCTATGCCCAATTTTCAGTAGAAGTTACATTGTAGTACCTAAAGATTCCTGGAGAAAACATTCCTGGTAGGCTCTTAGGTGGAATTCAATGGTCAACTTCTGGTGGAAATTGACCACATGTTTGTACTGTAGAACCTATAGATTCCTAGATATGTGTTCTCCCAGGTTAAAAAAAGAATAGTGTTTTTCTTTACTGTTTTCCAAATTTCATGGGTGTCCTCTACCTCTAACCTAAAGGAATTTGGATAAATAGTGTAATTGTAATTCAAGTGTTCGGGATCAAAATATTTGGCCAAATTGTAGCCCTTGGCTCATACGCACTGTATCCTCCCCCCTTCCCCTCTTTTGTTGGAATGCAGCAGCTATAATTTATCAGGCTAATTTACTATAGCTCTTTTGCAACATCTATAGTTGCTATCAAGTTTGGAATCAACCAGGTTCTGAAAATATGGTTTATTAGCTTAGTAAGTCAGTGTGCTAAAAAGGGGGGATGGGCTAGAGCAGTGGTTCTCAACCTTTGGGTCCCCAGATGTTTTGACCTACAACTCCCAGAAGTCCCAGCCAGTTTACCAGCTGAACATTAGGAGGAACATAAGAGCTGTTGGACAGTGGTGAAGGCTCCTGTGGTGAAGGGTGGGGTGCTTTGATTCTGTTTTCCTGCATGGCAAGGAAATGGATGGCCCATGTGAGTTCTTCCAACTCTATGATTCTATGAAATGGCCTTTTGTTTTGAGTGCTTACATTTCAAAATTCATACGTACGCCACTGAAACTATGGTTAGAACATACAAAGGAAGAATGTGTTGCATTTTAAAATCTTACTTTGACATAGTCATATTTGCAGTTGTCAAAACCTGATGCTGCTTCCAGTTGAAAAGTGTTGAAGGTGAGGTTGATCAGCTTATCTGTGGAAGCAACTATCATCCAAATGCATTCCAGATAGTTTTCATATCTGCCATCCCTGTTGGAGTCTGGAGAACCAAAGCTATCAGTTGAATTTGTCAGATAACCACCACAGCCTTGTTCTGGACCTGTTAAAACAACCAATTTGTAACTGAATACATATTCAATATCAATATCTCTTTTGCTGTATATTTCTCAATAAACCTTTGAGGTATAGCTTGCATAACTTCTATGTTTTACAAAGGATGTAGGTGAACTACTATATTTATGAATATGATGTGGGTGGCATATAGATCTGGGACCAATTCGATTCAATTTAAATCTATTTACAGTCAGTCACAATGTATGATCACAAGCACTTTTAACCTTCTCATATCAACTATTGTTAAAATGCCTTCATGTGTAGAGTTCTTTCTTATAAATGGCAATGATGGAAAAACAGAGTTACCAATAGTCCAGAGAGAGCTCTAAGTTTGATTTACACTATTGGTTGACTATATAATTGCTGTTTAATTGCTGCTATATTGTTTTTATTCTACTGGTATGTTGATGCTGGCATTGAATTGTGCCTTTGTAAGCCGCCCTAAGTCCCCCTCTGGGGTGAGAAGGGCGGGGTAGAAGTAACCGAAATAAATAAATAAATAAATAGATAGAAGTTATGGAAAGCAAAACATGGCATACATAATTTGCTGTGCTCTATATGTTCAAAATAATATATAAAAATATCACACACACAGAAATCCTTCAGATAGTAACAGTTAAGTAAGGCATTTAACTTAATTATAACTACTAGTCCTGGAATATTAAGATAACATGTTTCAGCTATAAAGGTCTGAGTGATGATAATGTAAAAGTAAGAGTAGAAAGCATACTGAAAAGTATTTTCCTCTATTGGTCAAAAATAAATTATTCAATATCAGAAAGCCCTGACATAGAGAAGAATCTCTGCAAATGACCAAGAATCTTCACAGATTTATTTGATATGAAAAATAAGCCCTTTTATTGGCAAAGAAAACAGCACTCTGTTCTGCAGAGTATCCTGCATAGAAAACAACATTTTCTGCACAGAAAGCATTTTTGCAAAGAAAGAATCGCAAGCTGCAACAGTGTTTGAAAACTGCATAGTTTTTAATGATGTTCTTGTAGCAAGGATGACAATAGCAAAATTATTCACCCTTGTCTGTAAGAACAAAGTATATGAAGATCAACATTGCTCTGTTAGGAATTTTGGGAGTTGATGTCCAAAGCACCTAGAAGGCTGAAGTTTGCCCATGCCTGCTTTATAAAGACCAATTTCATAAATACCTAGTCTTAAAATGAGGGGATTGCCACTAGTTTACTGTGGAAGGCAAACTAGGTTAGTAAGGGTTTAGAAAGGTCCAATGTTCAGGATTATTGTGTGGAAATTCTAATTAATTTTGAGAGGATGTGGAGTCGTCATGATACTGGAATACTGGTAATTAGACATGCAGCCCACACACTGCTTAAGTCATTCAAAGCAAATACATCAAGCAATAGTTTTATACTAGTGTTATTTTTCTGTCTTCAGAATAAGCCACTTTGAGTCTGCTTCTGGAGAGAAAGATTGGGGTATAAACAACAACAAGAACAACAGGGAATGCAAAGAAAATAAACAAAAAAGTCCTGTCCTCACATGATAACAGAATTCATTAAAAGCTGTGTTTTTTTCAAAGGAGAACTTATTGCCAATACTTCTTTTGGAACAGTAGGAGGAGCTGTGTCTTTGTGTTTTAGCTCCAACAGAGCAGTCCTCTTATTCCAGTTGTCTTATTCATTGGGAGGGAAGGGAGGCCTGCTCAGATTTGACAAATCAAGATGTTCAAAATTATACAGCTGCAATTATGCAATAACATATTTACATGTGATCCACTTATTAAGACTTCTGATCATATGTTACTTGCACATTCTTAAGTACTTTGATTAACTAAGGTTGCAGCTACACTGTAGAATTAATGAAGCTTGACACTACTTTAATAGCCATGGATTCATGGGAGCTGGGGCTTTCCAACATCTTTAGCCTTCTCTGCCATACAGAGTGCTGGTTTGGACCAAACTATAAGTCTGATGTCTCCAGAGCACTGAGCCACGACAGTGCAATAATTCTGCAGTGTAGATCCACCCATAGCTGAATGGCTCAAAGAGCAAACAAGATTTTTTTATTATATCTAAATCAATGGTTTACAACCTGTGGTATGCAAGAGCTAAAATATGGTCCGCAGCCTCACCATTACACCATTGCAATGAGAGCGACTGGTTTTTGCAAAACTCTCTTATAGTGCTGAGGCTTATTAAATATGGTTTTCTGTGGACGAGCAGATGACGACTACTGGGTGGCATATATCCTGAATCAGAAACTAGAGCTTATGTGGTCTATCCAATGCAATTTTCTGAATCAGCACCCCAAATAAGCAAACTGAATGTAAAGTTGACCAAAAACTGATTTGTAACCCATTTGGTACTAATGTTGGAGAGTGGTCCCTGGTCAAAAAAAAGGTTGGGAACGATGGATCTAAATTAATGGGTAAGACGTAACATTGGTTGAAATGGTGCCAGTATTAAATGAAAGAATGAAATAAAAACAGATTCCATTAAAAGCAGAGTTTTCTCCCTCCCCCTCCAATCCAAAGTATGCGTGAGATTCAGTCTACTCAACCTGAAAGGACATAATTGAAAATACTTGTAGTTAATTATAAACAGATCTCTGGTAATGAAACTAGACAGTGTGGCAGCTGAACCAGAAAATGTACCTTATCAATTGCTCTCTTGCTTTGTTGTATTTTCTTTCCCCTCACCACCACCACTGCATTTTAAAGGTCTCAAATACCATGCCTCTCCTTCAAACAATAACATCCATACAGTAGAATTCAGAAAAGCTGGAACCCACAAAGACTAAATAAACCACAAGATCTCCCACCAAAAATTGGGCTGGTCAGTAAATTTCAATGAATGTAACCACCTCACCCTTTACAATCCATACATTCCAACTTTATCTCCTTAGCTACAATCCACTAGTTTTCCTCCTGGCATCAAGAGCTACTTTTGTCTGTAGGTTGGCTGTGAATTCATATAGATCTTTGACCTTTTTAAAAAAAAGTATACTCCATAGGTCAGTATCATGTTCTCTCATGCTCACCCTGAGCAGCTGGAATATTTACAAGCAGTTTGCCCAATGATTAGAGTAATAAAAATTGCATCATATATGATACAATGACTCTGAAACAGTGTCTATCTCTTATCTTTTTTTTTATCTGTACATTAAACTCTATTTAGAAGACCTATGGTTAGTATTTCCCAATTCTTGTTGATAGCAATGCCTATTAGTAGTTAGAATTACTTTTTCAAAATTCTGATCACCTCTTCACGTGTACCTTATTTTGGTGGCAGTGACTGGATTTTTCTTGTTCAGTCATGGAGCCTAATGGCTCCCATCACATGCCAGAGAACTACTTCCAGGTCAGCTCCATGGCGGACAATGGCAGGCTCCCCATCTGTCCATTAGAATCCTGAATCACAATTTTAATTTGAATTAATTGGTGTCTGAGGGGTCAGCCCATGGAGGCCATATATGGCATGTAGATTACAGCTATGAAGACAGCTGCTAATATAGACACTCTGGGAAACTTTGTACTTTCTTATTCATCATATGTCGTTTGGCATATTCCAAGATGGACCCAACATTAGATTTCAGACATATCTATCCACCTCAGACTTTCAGATCAAAATGGGAATTTAATAGGGAATGATCCTCAGTAAAAACAAAACAAACTGCTAGTCAGTCAGGACAATATGAATGAGTCTCTACCAAAATCAAATTGTTCAGCAATGTAGCATCTAAACTATGGAAGCTTTTTTTGTTAAAAAATGGTGCTTTAACAGTAGAGAGTCAAACACCAAATTCAGACAGCCTTTCACATTTGCTGGATTAGGGGTCAGGGCCCCCATGAAATTGAAAAACTATGAATACCCCCCACCCCCATTTTTAGGAATCTCTAGGTTCTCCAACATGACTGTATAGTCAACCTCTGCCAGATGTTGACTGTATAATGCACTGGAAGACCTACAAATCCTTAGAAAGGCATTATCTCTAAAAATTTCTAGGTCCTCCAACACAACACTCAATTTTTGGTGGTAGTTGTCCATAGAGTTGCAGTGGAAGACCTAGAGAATCCTAGAAAGAGCATATTAATCAAATTCATGAATAATCATATCCACAAATGAGGAAGGCAAAATGTAGGTTGTTTCTAAAGTTATAGGTCTAAAAATAAGGTTGTTTTTTTTCCATAAGGGTGCAGACAAAAATGGTCTAAGGCATATAGGAAGTGTCCTTTCACCCAGCTGGGACACTCAGCCCACTATCTGTCAACAGCAGCTCTTCAGTGTTTTAGACAGGAGTCTTTCTTAGCCCCATAGAGAAGCCAGGGATAGAATCTACAACATTTTGAGTCCAATCCATGTGTTCTGCCATTAAGCTTTGGCATGGTGTCATCACCTGTAACACCAAGGTGCTGTTTTCATTAAAACAGGGAGAAGACATTCAAGTTCCAGCAATTTCCTTTCAACTAAAAAAAAAACCTGCTCATCTCTCAGAAAAGGAAAAAAATATTTACAAAGGACGAAGCAGAGATAATAATTTTGGGTGATAAAATTAGTGTGAAAAGCTGAAACATTCAGTGATGAAAATGGATCAAATCCAAGCAAAAGTAAATAAGTGATGCTTATTTACTCCAAATGAGTTCACCATTTCTGTTCACCTCCTCCCTGCAGTTAATAACAGTAACCAAAAACATTGAGCAGAACACTGTAATAACATTACCCCATCTCACTCCACTAATACAGTTACAGGATAATATACTCATTATACATTAATGAAGATTTATGTTTCTGATTTGACATGTGGATGTAGTGCTAATACCAAATCTCTAGGGATTTTTCCTTCTGATAAAGACTATGTTTCTAAAGGCTTCCTGCTATTTCCCACTATGCCTGCATAATCCTGGTTAATAAAGACACACAAAATCAGCTGAATAACTATTCCAGTGAGGCCAAGTTGCAGCAATTAAAAGGACTGAAGTTTATTTTGTATTTACAGTTTATACATTAGATTCGGCTAGCATAAGACCTATGCAAGAGCTTTAGCAATTCTAACAACACGTACTGGGGTTAAGCCTCACTGAGCATAAGAGGACTTCCTTCTGAGTAGACATGTATTTGATCACACTCTAAATTGCATTCCTATCATATATTTCTTCCATGTTACAGAGCCAGAATGGTATAGTGGTTTAAGTGTTGGATTATGGCAAGGGTTGGGATTCCTGTTTGACCAAGGAAAGCCACTGGGAGATCTAAGGCAAGTCACACTCTCTCCTAAGAAAGTAATAGCAAACCTCTTCTGAACACATTTTGCCAAGAAAACCCTATGACTAGGCAGGCCTTGGTGATCCTGTAGGTTGGAAACTAAAGCATGCAACAAAATATAGTTGCATCTGAACATTCCCTCAATGTTCTGACCAGAAATAACTGGACCATACCTCCTGGTTTTGAAAAATAGGCTTGTTTTGTGTTCAGCAGTGTAAATAGGCTCTCTAAAATGCAGTTGGTAGGATTCCAAGAGGACAGACAAAAATGGTCTAAGGCAGTGGTTCTCAACCTGTGGATCACCAGATGTTTTGGCCTTCAACTCCCAGAAATCCTAACAGCTGGTAAACTGGCTGGGATTTCTGGAAGTTGTAAGCCAAAACACCTAAGGACACACAGGTTGAGAACCATTGGTCTAAGACAATGATTTCCAATCTTTTTTGTTCTTCCAGATGTCTGAGATGTCAACTCCTAAAAATCCCAGGCAGTGTGGCCAATAGTCAGGAATCCTGGAAATTTTAAGTCCCAAACATCTGGAGGACCAAAGGTTAGGAAGCACTGGTCTAGGGAGACTGAATTGATCAAGGGCTGAACTAACAGCCTTGAGAAGGGGGCTGCACTATGTGAAATCATGGAGATGGAAAGAAGAGGCCTCTCAAATAGCATAGCCTGAAAAAGTCCACTTGCTACGTTGGCTTAAGGCTTCTGGAAGTAATTTTTCCAAGCTCCGTTGAATTTTTCTATGCAGTTTGAATTAAGTCTTAGTTCTCTTTCGAGGTAGGACATACCCAATAGTTATTCTTGGAAATCCAGAATGAGATTCTCTGAAGTCCAAAAGAAATGTGGGAATCCTTTAAAGCAGTGGTTCTCAACCCGTGGTTCTCAAGGTTGTTGGCCTACAACTCTCAGAAATCCCAGCCAGTTTACCAGCTGTTAGGATTTCTGGGAGTTGAAGACCAAAACATCTAGGGACCCACAGGTTGAGAACCACTGCTTTAAACCAACAACCTAATAACTAGCAGACTATTGCTACATTTTATGGAAGTATCTATAAGACAGACTGTGTTTTACATCTGCCAACATACCAGATTGAAAAGTTGTGAATAAATGTGTTTGCAGTGGAAATCTGTGAGAATATGGTGTTTGGCCAAGGAGACAGTGTTCTGATATATTCCTTATGCTTCTGTACCAAATGGAAAAAGCTACTTGCTGTGTGGGAATGGGGCAGGGTTATGATGACTCAGTGTAGGACTATGTTTCTGTTACAACACCAAGGCTTTTTGTCAACAAAATCCAGAGTGCACACTTTGCAAATCCTTAAGAGGTACTGCCTCCTTCCTCCCCTACCAAAATTTGAATTAACAGTGAGAGAAACATGATGGAGAATAAGTTAAATGGTGTTTACAGGTAAACTTTCTAATCTGATTACAGATATATTCCAGTATTATGAGAAGGCTAGTTTAAAATCCAGTGTCATTAAGAATGTAAGAAGAGCCATGTTGGACCAGAAAAAATGCCAGTGTAGTCCAGTGATATCAGAGTGTGGTGAAAATGGCTAAAGTCATTAATGAGGAAGAACATATAAACTGGGAGAGGCATTAAGCAGTTGGTTTTTGCTCGAGTCTACTGGGAATAGAAGGATTGTGTCCTTCCATATTATTTCTGCTCTCCATTCAGTTGGCAGCAATTGAAATATAAGAAATGAAGTGGGAGGAAGTGAGAGAAATTAAGACATTTTAAAAGCAGCTGAAAAAGTGGGATGAGAAATTATCTGAAATGTTGCTGCTCTCACCTCAAAAATGAGAAGAGACTACAAGGAAGACATGAGTACAATAGCACTCTCCCACTTGTACCACATACCGGTAGTTATTGTCCGTCTACTGGTTGTGAGGACAATCAACAATAGTAACTAAATACCTTTTCTTTTTTAAACAAGCCTTGCTGTGAATACAAAAAGAGCCTTTTGTGTAGAGACCTTGTGTGCAAAAATGTTGTTTTCTGTGCAAAAAATGTAAACTTGATTGTCACGCTTACCTAGTGTCTCCCTGAAAGATGCTTTCCATCCGCCAGCTGTTCCAAAGGAATCAGTAATAAATAACAGAAGCAAGTTGTTTGAGGAGCTCTTGATAGCAGGAGGAGAAACGGCACCACAGAATTTGCCAAGAAGCGGAGAAGCAATGTCTGGCCCATCATACACAGCAACATAATCTTTGTAGCAAGATAGAGTGCCTTCAAGGTGGAAACTGTTGAATCTGTAAAGTGATCATTGTACATTCTCGTTAGCTTAACATGCATATTTGTGTTAAAGAGTAGAAAGATGTGCATTCAATCAGGAACCATGAAGGCAAGATGTGTGCCTTTTTGATATTTCTTTAACAATATATGGTTTCAAATGAGGGAGGGCTGGAGGCAATACAATCAGCTCTGTAGAATTTCAAAGCACGCTGCTTGAAAATCCCAGCCAAATCCAACCTGGATTATTATGGTTTCCATGTTGCTGCTATACAGACTGCTGTACTGGAAAAAAGCTATTGTGCTGCTGTATTTGGGACTGGATCTGTAATAGCTAGTAGATCCATCACCACAGTGTTAAAATGAAGAGAGGATTTAGTGTCCACACAATGTGTCATCCACTGGAAGCCCTTGGTCTGGGTTAGATCTGAGCTCTTATTTGTTGCCTGCATGGCGTGCTGTTTGCTGAGGTTGATGACAGGAATTATGAAGTTCACATAAAATGCTCTTATAATAGGACACCAATAGAAGAGATAAAGGACAAGATTACACAGGCATGAAAACCTGGACTCACCTTGAGATGACTCTTGGAAGTACGTTCCTGTACTTCCCAGTGAATATCATGTTTATTGTTGGTTAAACCAGCTTTGCCTCACTTCAGGCAAAGTCCGGGGTGATCTACAGTTTGTATGGAATTTTGGAATATACTGCAGCTTCATGACAACATGCACAAGTGGACTGGATTTGATTTGGACTGGTTTGCTGTGCACATGGTACACAGCTGCCATCACCCTTTCCCTGTACTCATCACTACACGGAAGATGGATTGTGCCCATGTCACCATCTCTGCCGCCCCCAGTTCACCATACAGTTCCATGTGAGCTCCTAGTCATTGTGGGCACCCCATTCTGACATCAAAACAGGTGCCCACATGACCAGGAAGAAGGAGAGGATATTGTCTTCCTCCTTCTTCCTGATTACATGGATGCTTCTGCTAATGTCAGATCAGGGCACCAGTGAGGGCCAGGAACTCTGTGACTGGATAGGTGCTGTGATGGTGACATGAAAGGTGAGGTGAAAGTCCAGTGGGGCCAATGAGATTCAGCCTGTTCGCTCCATGTAGACACCAATCCGCCATCACATCTGGTTTGCTAAGGTGCCTCTTGACTTAGATTTACCAACCAATGCAGACTCACCCAAAGTTCCATGGGCATAGCAAAGGCCACAAAGGCTATCATTTCAAAACATTTCCTCCATAATTATGAGGCTCTATAGTTTTCCAGCAAAATAACTTATTGGAATATCAGAATATGTATCACAGTCCATTGACTGTAGAAGTTACGAAAAACTAAAAACAGCTGCTTTTTCGTTGCTGAATATAAACTGCTATTGGTTTAACATACTTGAGTGCCACTATCTTGTTGGTTCCAACAGTGATGTGGTATGAACAATTCATATTGTGATGATACTCAGTAAGAGAATGTGTAGGGCTCTGGACTGTGCCGCTAGAGCCATTAAAAACACCGCCACAAGCTGTAATGAAAAGCAAACATTAAGAAGTTAGTGAATTTAAAAACAAACACCATGCATTACTATTCCAGATATGTATTTCCCATATACACCATTTTTACACCTAGAGGTAACCTTAAAAATAGAAGCCATAGCTCTATTGTGTTGCTGTCTCTTGAGAAAGTTCTTATTTATGTATTTATTCACTTAATTACAAAGGTGTTGGCGAAGATTCTGGTAGAATATTCTAAACCACTTCTGGAAACAAAATCTGTGAAACTGGAGAAGTTGGAGACAAAATGGATGCGTTAATCTTTCCTAAATCAGACATAGCACCCAACTGAATATGAAAAGTTAGTCCTGACTAATTTGGCCCATTGATTTTACTAGAAACTAAATTGAGCTAATCTTTTAGGATATAGGTCCATACAAGCTACCCTTCTAGTTCATAAACTAGACCAGAAAAGGCAACTTCAAAATAAACCATACTTGAAGACCAAAGACACACCTAAATTAATTCAATAGCAAGACACTATTAAAAAGGAAGCAAGGCATATCTCTTGAAGTTGGATGTTCTACCAAGTGAGTGCTGGATGATGATGGCTTGTTATAGCAGTCCCAGTTTAGATGGGCTTATCTGTGCTGATAAGGAGCCAGAATCTATGACTCTAGACACCAGGATTCGCAACACAGGGCAACTTTGGGCAAATCACATTCTCTCAATATCAGAAGAAGGCAAAGGCAAATTCCCTTGTGATAGGTTTGACTTATTGTCACCCTAAGTTGGAAATAACTTGAAAGACCACAATAATAAAATGTGTGACAAGACATTTATTTTCTTGAATGTTCGTCATATAATAATTCTTTCTTCCATGGCTTGTTATATTACCGATCCATGAGAAAAACCTTGCAACAAATTAAACCCTTAAGCTAAGAAATGCTTACTTTTCTGAAAAAAGCTAATAGAGTATTTTGTAATTGCTGAGTGAGTCCTTCAGGGAAATCATGTTGTCTTCAAGACTCACTTAACAATTTGCAGTGGCAAAAGCCACAGTACATTCAAGGTTCATTTTGCTTTTCCCAGAATGGAGGCAGCTGAGTCAGAGAAGTGGCTCAGCTTTTGTCAAAAGACTCTGCAATGGTGTTCTCTTTTTATAATCTTCACTTGGCAAGTGACTGATTTTGGCCCTCTTGAGAAATGGTCCAATGCCACTGCAGCTTCAGTTCTAAGGGACCAGTCATTACAGGAACAACTAACTTTGCAAAGTAAATTCTTTAGAGAACAAAGAATATCCTCATGGTTGTTCTTCATTTACAATAAGTGGGGAGTCTATCTAAAAGCACTGCACTTTAGACTTTGTACAAATAAGGGACCAAACTGTAGAAGATAAAAGAGTAGCATTCATGGTGAGCAAGAACTGAAAATGCTTTTTTTTCTTTTGCCTTTTACAGAAGCCAGAAGGAAAGAGAATGTTAATTGCTAAACTCTGCTTTCATTGGGCCAAAAAATTCTAACAAAAAGCCTTAGTCATACTTCCCAAATGTCAGAAGTCAAAGCTCAGACTTTAGTAGCCAACTTGAGTGAGTTATGAAGGTCTCTTTCATGAGTAAATGAACATTGTCATCTTTCAATGTTGTTCCACGCAGGCAGCAGCTACCAAGGTGACTAATGTTGAACAAAGATATTTGATTTCATGCCTAGGCAACAGTTATTTGTCAAAAGTACAGCAATGAGGGAAACACTCACATTCTCTAACATTGGTGCTTAATTGATAAGTTTAATGGGGATCCACATATTCATTTATGGTTAGATATAGATGTAGCTTTTTATATGTTCACATCTTTAAAGGATCATAGAATCATAACGTTGGAAGAGACCACAAGTGTCTGCCATGCAGGAACACAGAATAAAAGCTCCCCTAGGTGATGGTCGTCCAGGCTCTGCTTAAAAACCTCCAAAGAAGGAGACTCCACCACACTCAGAAGCAGCATATTCCACTGCTGAAAAGCTCTTACTGTGCTGTCACACGCAGGGCCTGAAATAATATCTGTTTACAGGACGTGCCTTCTGTATGCCCAATGGGACGCCGGGGTGCCTCAGCTGAAGGGCCCCTTAGATTTCCCAACACAAAGTTCTATTGAGGCTCAAAATAAGTTCAACAAAGTTCTTTATTTGGGCTTAAATCTTCAAACAAATGAATTAAATGCTTTATAACCTTGGAAAACCGGTAGCTTCCTTAATTTGCTTTCAAGGGCAGGCAACTGGTGGTAAACTGTTCCTTTCTTCCTTAGGGAAATCTTCTGACCCCTCCCTGGGCAATCTTTCTTTACCTTGCTGGCGTGAGGCCCCTACTCCCAGCTCCAARATACTTTATGGATAGCCCGAGTGGTCCCTTACCAGACAATGGTTGCTGTAGATCTGCCTAGCCGAAAGGTGTCCTTTGGTTTTACTCCAAGAAGGCTGTAGGAACTGTCCTGTTGCCCCAGCAAAGGCWGGCTGTATTCCCCCAGCAAAAGCTGTGGGACTATCCCTTTACTCCCTCTGGCAGAGTTGTGAGAAGTGAAGCCTTTGTGCAGGTGGGAAAGAGAATCCCACACGTCCTGCTGTTAGGCTTCAAACAGTGAGACTGAACAAAAGTCCTCCTTTGCCTCCAAAACCCTGGGRAAAGGGGTGGGTCTAAAGACTCTAACGATGATTGCCAGGTTGCTGGCCCTAYGGCTGCAACCTGTGGAAGCTACCTGATTGCAAAATGCGTGGCTTAAATAAATTCAAACAAACTAGTAAAGCAAGAAAGAGAAATTTAAATCTGGCATTGCTGTGCCAGCACACTTACCAACAGGAAGTTCTTCCTAATGTTAAAGTGGAATCTTTTTTTCTTGTAATTTGAAGCCATTGCTCTGATTCCTAGTCTCCAGAATGTCAGAAAACATGCTCACCCTCTCCTCAATGTGACACCCTTTTCAATATTTAAGCATGGATGTCATGTCTCCTCTCAGCCTTATATCTCCAAGCTGAACATACCCAGCTCGATAAGCCATCCCTCAAAGAGCTTGGAATCCAAACCTTTGATCATTTCGGTCACCCTTCTCAGGACATGTTCCAGCTTGTCAATATCCTTCTTGAATGGTGGTGCCCAGAACTGGACACAGTGCTCTAGAGGTTTGACCAGAGCAGACTAAAGTGGAACCATGACTTCTTTTGATCTTGACTACTATTGATGAAGCCTAGAAGTATAGTATCATGGAGTAGCTGATTCCAAAACAACTGCTTTGGCAAGCTGTCTCCCTCAGGTTGAAACCAAGAGTTTCTTGTGCCCTTTTCCTATGTGGAATAGTCACAACTGGGTCATCCACCTTCACTGGTCCAAAACCATTAAAATATGGCATGGTAGGGAAGTTTTGTTTTTCAAAGTACTCAGCCTACCAGCTCCCAATACTGAGCATCCCTTAACTTGCTTTTTAGTTCAAAGGCAGTGCTTTGGATATTTGTTTCTTCTAGTTTACTCAATTTTACCATATGTTTACCTTTAATTGAACCATATTTGCTAATGTTTCTAGATCATGTTTTCCCCTGATCTTCACCCATTGTTCTAAAAAAGTTCTCTGAACACTCATTTTCTTTGCATCACAAATGTGTGTCAGATCTTATCTGGCACATGCCTCCCCCTCCCACTTCTCTCCTACAGGACAACATTGAATTATCTCGTTTACCAGCATACACTATGCAAAGATATGCTTATGACTACTCACGTCTTACTGTGTAAGTGGCCAAAAATCCAAGGCCAACAGTATCAGAGTCTGTGTAGAAGTTCAGCAGCATGGATCCAAAAATGCTGACAGGCTCAGGAATTCCATTACCACAATACGTTGCCTCAGGATATGGTGTCACGTTAATCCCTTTGAAGATCTTTACTCCATCATAAGCGCAATATTGCAAGGCATTTGGAGCTGAAATTTAGAATAAATCACCATGGTGTCAGAGAACTGTTGTTCTTACCTGTTTCCTAAAAATCATATGCAGCATTACCAGACTAAATAGTTCTTTACAAACCCTATCATTACAATATTTTATAGAGGAAAACAGGAATATTTATGGGCAAGTAACATCAGAGTATGTTCAAGATAAGCAGCATTGAAACCCCCTATTTGGAGGTAAGGATAACAATAAAGTAAATAAAATAATTAGTAAAGAAGAACACACAAACTAGGAGAGGTTGATACAGTTTGCTTTTGCTTAAGGCTATAGGAAAAGGCAAGAGTCTGCCCCTGGCCCTATAAACAACTCTTGTACAGCTGGAAAAATGGGACAACAGTGGATTAATCAGGAGTATCTCTACCAAATCAGAACAGTTTGATCAGTTTGAATATTTCCTCTCCTCCCTGTCATTAGTGGTATGTATACCATTGGGTATATAAACAAACAGAATACTGATGAAATTAAATGTGTGACCACAATGGTTTTTGCAGTATTTAATCAATGAGCATATTTATGTTCAAATGACAGTGGATAATTTTGAATATGATATATGGAGACGTTGGAAGTGCACATGGTCTGGAAATTCTGATAGCTACATCAAGTTGCCTGGTACATTCCACTAAATTTAGAACTTAATAAGAAGGAAAAGGCCCAAGGAGGATTCTTTATCAATTGGTTTCACTTCCTAGGCTAGACAGGAAGATTAATAAATCCAGCATTCTAGATGAATAGCATATTAGAAGCACTTTTATATTCGAGTCAACATTTGAATAGTGAAAAGACTGAGACAAATGCTTTTCAGGGAACTGTAAAGTTATTGAATTGTGGGTCATGAACTGATGCTGGTTTATGAGTTCTTCTGCAGAAAGACTGCAGTTTCATTAAGAGTACTCTTTCCTTTGCCTTACTGTATTTTATCTTTCTGACATTGAAGATGGACACCATTTTCTTGGGGAAGAATCCTCAGAATGCCTGTTTAGATCCTGGTCTAGTGTCTGGAGGTGCATCTGTAGAATTAATGTAGTTTGTTATGACTTTAACTGCCATGTCTCACTGCTCTGGAATCATGGGACTTGTCATTCTGTGAGATCTTCAGTCTTCTTTGCCAAAGAATGCAGGTGCCCCAGCAAACTACAAATCCCATGATTATATAACAGTGATACACAGCAGTTAAAGTGATGTCAAACTGCATTAATCCTACACTGTAGACGCAGCTTGGATGACCAAGCAAATTCCCAGAGAGACAATTTTTTCCCTGGGCACAGGATAAGTGGAACTGTGAATATGCATTCTGCAGTTATGAGAGTTATATCTCAGTTTGTAGTGAGAGGAAAAGGTTATTGCATGATCCATATAATTTTCAATTAGTCCAGAGAGACCCAGGGGGTGGTGGGGGTGGTGGTGGTGGTGGTGGGGAGGAGTTTGAGGACTCCTTAAATAAATTAATATTTTTAATGTACTGTGACCTCTATAACACTTTCAGCTGAGTTGTGGCTGTGCTAACGGTTCTGTATCTCTGTTTTCAGAGTCTGATAACTTAAATCATAGCCTAAAGGATATTCTCAGAGAACACCCAGTGCCGAAATCAAGCACAAAGAGTAGGAGAGCCTTCCTAAGAGATGACTCACCCTTGCTGGCATGTGTCTGCATTCTGGAAGCTGGAAACAACTGTGGCATTGTGTTGGTCATGCCACCACAAATTATTTGTTGGCTTGCTTCTTGTTTATTACAAAATAAGAAATAAAATTCCAGTTCTATAACATTCAAGATTGCGACCCATCTGCCATACGATTGTCCGCATTTCTTTACTAAATGCCAAACTAGCAGATTTACCAAATAAAGCAGCTCTTTAATAGACGGCTCTAATTCACAATAGATTTTTTGAGAAGGAAAACACATTTATGATATGTATTTTTGAAAGCCACTTAAGTTGTTTTTTTTTGAGCAGAGGGGAAAATCAGAACAAAGATATGTTCAACTAAATAATATAGAGGTAGTCAGCTATAGAATTTCAGAATGTCAGAAGTAAATCCCAATGAAATTTAAGGGAGTTAAGACAATTGTAACCAAGACGGCAATCTTCTGTGTATTTAATTAGAACCGAACTCTGTGAGTCTTCATTATGAGTACACATGTATAAAATTGGAGCATAAATCCTTTCAGCTTCATTAAATGGGTTTTTTATATTCTGATTGAATTGCAGCTCACCTCTTTCAACCTTCATACCTTGATATATAAGTTTACACAATGGCTTGGAAATATGTAACACAGAGCTTTTCAAAATATTGGAAATGTATGTTATTATCTTACAAAGCATATATTTTTAAAATATAAATGAATAGTATTCATGAGATATGTTGTGTCCCCAATATATTTCATAATTACAATTTATGTATGTATCCATTTCTCTTATAAGGGGTTGGTTTAGCCTAGACATCGGCAAATCCAAGCCCGTGGGCCAGATATGGCCCCTTAAGTGCCTTCCTCCAGCCCTCCTCTGTCTCCCCGTCCTCTCAGCATGAGGACTCGGCAGCATGCTATGTCCTTATGCTAACAGGAGAGATGGGGCAATAACATGCATCTGTCCAGGGCTCTCCCAAGAGCCTTGGGCAGCCACATGTGAAATCCTCCTCTCGGCAGGAGGACGCAGTGGGCCACCATACCCTCCTGCCAAGAGGAGAGTCCTGCAGGCACACACAGTTGTGTGCGGCTGTGTGTTAAAACCTCCTTCCTCCTCCTAGTGCCAACAGTCTTCTTCCCCCCATACCCTAACCGCCCTCAGCCTCCCCACCTCCATGTCAACTGCCCTTGACTTCCCCTTCACACACACCAACCACCCCCACGCCAACTGCCCTTGGCCTCCTGTCGACCCCTTCTCCCTTCCACCCTGGCCCATCCAATCAAATCTGGCCCACAATGTGGCCCCCATGTTAAAAAAATTGCCCATGCCTGGTTTAATCTCTGCTTTCCTAGTAAAACTGAATTATTGTGTCAGAAAATGACACATGTCTAAAAGTGTGCCATCAACATGAAATATTTAGAAAGTTCTGAGGTAACATAATATCACCAGGCTGAACATCTTAACACTTTAAGAAATGCGGCATACAACTAAAAGCTTTAACACTTACATTGCAAATCGAATGTTTCAAAAGTTAGGATGACAACAGACTGGGGTCCAACATTTATCATATAATTGCAATTCAGGTTGTTGTCATAGCGCCTGGGAAAGTTTGGTGAGACAATATGACTAGACGGCTCAGTAAAATTTGCTCCACACCCTGGATGTAAACAAGACCAAAGAAATACAATTATCTTCTCTTGGAAAAACTAAAATGCACATCTGTGGATGCATAATACTATTATAACTAGACTATTCTTTAACTACTTAAAGAGATCAGAATTAACTAGATTATTCTTTGATACCTCTGGTAAATTATTTGTTTATGCCCAGTTAGTTTAAAGTACTTCTGGACTGGCTCTCTCTTGATGAACCTTGACCAAGCCCTGATTTATATGGATCACTATATAAATCAATTTTGATCAACATGTCATCAATTTCTGTCAGCTGGAGCAAATGCTTGATTAGTTATCTTAGTTCACTGCCACAATGAGAGATTATTTTTGCATTTCCAAAAATGTGATTATTATGAACTGGTACAGGTGAAAGTGTTGAACAGATAGACACCCTAGTACATGGTATCTACAACAGACATTTTCATTCTAATCAGTTCCTTATTTAGGCATACATGTAAAATATTATATGAAGCTTTGGATAAACACATAATCATGGTAACTTTTGGAGTCATTGTTACTTACTACTTATAAAAGATGCAGAAAAACCACGTCCTGGTTCATCTTGTGACTGAAACACTATTTTCATTGTATTTCCTGGAGTAATAATAGGTGTAGGAGCTAAATTTCCACACCCAACCGCTAATAAACTGTCTTCCTGTTCTTCGCTACTTCCTCTCAACACCTAGGGGAAAACATTACTATTTGTTCATGTTGGAATAAAACTTCATGCTCCTTTTTATTTTCCATCAACTCCCAAACATAATCTAATTTATGGCTACTGACTTGAATGATCTCCATCAAGTTACTAAAAAAAAACCCCAGGGTATTACAAATGGAGTTAGAAAACTGCCATGGTTATCATAAGACACATGCCTGGTGATTTTTTAAAATGTTCTGATCAAACTGCTAACAAATTTGTACATCTGACATTTTTAAGTTTATGTAGAAGATACTCATTCTATAGTCATTTAATCAGTCTGCTAGTCTATACCACAAAAAGTAATCTTTTTTTTTTTGCTCTACAAAGTTCATAGACAATGTCTGGGTAGCCTAATGATTCACATGATGGTGGTGAATGCCTTGCCCTACCATTTTATTACAGTAAATTTGTTATTACTAATTAATACACATATATCATTTAAGGAGAAGCCAGAAGGCATTACAACACAGAAGCCACTATCCTGCAGCATTCCTATAACATGGGATAGCTGCTACTTATTACCATTATGACTACAGATATTGTACAGATGAAACCCTCAACCTCATCACATTGGGCTAAAATTGGCAGCCTGTGCCAGTTTTAGCCCAGGTTACCCATGGAGCTGGCTGGCTCCCATCCCATGATGTCATGCCAGCTCTGTGGGTGAAGCCACCGGCAGGGCAACACAGGAGATCTCTTGTGTTGCCATACAGTCTATGGGGGGAAGCCAGGCACACTATGCATGCTCATGTTTCCCCTCATGTGATCGCCCTCCCTTGGATCTGGATGATGTGGGCATGGGGTGCCCGATTCCCTATGCCCTGTGGCTAAGCAGAGTGTCACTGCTGCCGGACACAGGAGGTATGATAAGTTGGTATGTCGGTTCAGTAATGCAAAATTGCACTTCCAGGTTGATTGCGTATTTTTGCCCTCCTTCTGTGCCATAGGATATAAACAAAGAGTGCCGCTACACAAACATCAAGACCAGGGGTATCAAGCTCATTTTCATAGCAGGCCACATCTGTCTTACAGTTGTCTTCAAATAAACATTGAATACATGGATGGAGAATTCCTGGATACAGAGGCCAGCTATAATTGTTTTGCATAGTGGTCAGTGATCTTTATTTTTTACTCAAGTTGGGTCCCCAGATGTTATTTAAGGACAACTCCCATCACTTCTGATTATCTGCCATGCGGACTGGGAAGAATGGGAATTGCAACCCAACAGCACTTGTGGATCTGAGGGTGGTGAAAGGTTAAAGGCTATTTTAACATCAGACACCATATCCACAAGCCTTGTATCTAAATGCAGTTCCCACGATCCTGGCTAAACAGAACTTACAGTTATATCACTGTATCACAACTTCCATCGGCTCTAGTCATGGTGTCTAATGATGAGGAATAAAGGAGTTATAGTCCAGCATCTGCAGGGCCACATAAAATGACATGGTGGGCCAGATTTGGCATGCTGGCCTTGATTTTGACACATGTGGCTTGGATGTCATTACATGAGGTAAGTCCCAGGACCATGGAATCATGGGCTATTGACTAATTTGGCCATCAATAACTCCCAATGACTTCATTGCATGAAGGTGGTAGACTAACAATGCATATCGCATGACATCATATCATAGGGACTGTGGTGCTCATTTTTATCTCTGTGCAACAAAGTTCAGAATCAAATGGTAGGTAAAAAGGAGGAGTCACTACTGACACCACAGCCCTGAAAAAAACACAGTAGTTTTTATATACATAATGCATGATTAAGGGGTGTTAGATGTTCAGTCAGTGCCAAAAGCACCAATATAATTTTCACCTTAACACAAATGACATTTATGGGCTTCACGCAGGCATGAGCATTATCAATCAGGTTGGAATGTAAATCTGTTCCAGAATGTCTGAGAACATATTAAGACTGAGATTTTATATGTACTTATTGGGTGAAAGTCCCTTTGAGCATGATAACATTTACTTCTGAGAAGATGCACATGGGATTGCAATATAAATCTATAAAGGTCAAAATGATTAGACTGCAATTTACATTATGCTTCCTATAATTTTTACACAGGTACTGGAAATATTTATGGAATGTGGGTCCATCTTTCAAAATACATTATTCAAGTATATATCTGTTATGCATTTACTAGTTTCTTTTTTTCAAGGCCAATGTATTGCAATCCCTCATTTAAATGGAACTTCTAATGCTTTATTCACAGAGCCACTGTTGCTAGCCTCTGCTCTTTCACAAAAGATCTTTTGTGCACAAACTGAAATGTTAGTTAACATTTTCACCTCTACAGTTCAAGAGGGCAAAACTCAAATACTCAAATGGTTTAAGGTATATTTTCACCGCTTCTGAAAATAAATTCTATTCTGGCCCTTTCACCTTTTGAGCAACGAGCAGTTATCCAGTTGCTCGTATCTTCCTACCCAATGATAAATTATGCTTGCCCTTTATGGCAAGTGGGTGTTATGTCATAGCTTTGTGCAGCCTGAGTAGAACAACAGACAACATCTGCCAAATTCTTGAGAAAACAATGTAACTGTAAGGAATGACAAAGGCTTCCTCCTTTCAGCACAACTGCCTTTCAGACAAGTGTATATTTAATACCCAGGAAAATTGAACTTTCTTAATAAATGTTCTATTTGGAACCATGCAGAAGACCTGTTCCCAAGTCCAGAGTTTCAGGAGCTGTTGGTGTGCCCATTCAATAGGAAGAGAAAGAAGACGTTAAGGTACTTATCTTCTTATAATTGCTCCACAGTTAAATTAAAATATAACCAGGAAAATTAGTGCAGTTTATATGGAGTTGGAGACAATGGAAACCAGAAGGTTTTGTCAAAATTCCTAGCAAAAACAGGCAGGGGTGTCCTACACATGTCTCTATGCTTCTCTTCCCACAAGTGGTCGATTTATACTGGGTAGGGAGCTGCCTTCACAGACTTATAATAACGAATTGGTTTTTTTAAATCTAGGACAGTGGTTCTCAAACTGTGGATACCCAGATATTTTGGCCCTCAACTCCCAGAAATCCTAACAGCTGGTAAACTGGCTGGGATTTCTGGGAGTTGTAGGCCAAAGCAGCTGGGGACCCACAGATTGAGAACCACTGATCTAGGAGATCTAAAGTGTGTCATAACCCACTTTAAGACCCACTACAGTGTCTGCAATATTTCTATGGGAATCACTTATGCTTCTAGCAAAGTGGAATTTTTCAGAATGTGCAAAATTACTTTTAAGATGTGTAACATGCATTGAAAACATTTATAACTGAGCATTAGTACAATGTTACTTTGGGTTACCAGGATTTGTGTTTCAAAGCCTGAGAGGTAGGGATGGCCCTTTGATGGTATCAAAGATACATCCTGGTGACATCACAAGGCGGGCCATCATGATGTCATTAATGATTTTTCATTAAGCAGCAACCATGGCTGCTCACAGATTTTTATTCAAACACATACAGAAACATGTTTTCCTTTTTTGAAATTAAATGGAATTCCTGGCAGAAGGGACTGTTCCTCCTTATCTACTCATAGAAACTCTAAAAAAGAAATATTTGTTTTAATTAATGATAGAATACAAACTGCACCAAATCAAGACTGACATTTGGAAGCTGAAATCAATTAAAATTTGAAAAGTTCATTCAACTGCATTGCCAGCTACAAGTAGCAATTTCTGCAAGATTAAAAGAGCTTTCATAGATATCAATTACAAATACTTATTGTAGTTTATAGCTTGACAAACTTAAATGTTTGAGTCATTAAATGCTTGAGCCACTTTAACAATCTTCTTTTGGGAGAAAAATGGATTATGAAACACATAAATAGATATTATTTACTTTATTTATACCTCGCCTTGGTCCCTGAAGGGACTCAAGGCAACCATATACATACCTTCACATAACTGCTCAGACACTGTCCATTACTATCTGGAATCTGGAAATTTTCATTAAAAGCAATTTCCAGATGTTTGCTTTCATGTGTAATTATTGTCCATGAACACCTAATGTTCCTGGGGAAATTTTGCGGCCAGTAGGGAGAACGGATGGTACCATTTTCTGAATGAAGAAAGCCTCCGCATCCTGCAAAAGTGACAGATTTACTGACTCAGTTTCAAGCTTTCAGAAATGCAAGTGACTAAAATATCTGGAGACAGAGAAGGTTCTATTTCAAGCAATGGGTTCTGTGCCTAATGGGGTGGGAGAAGTTCCTACTTACCTAAAGAATCAGCTGTCCACGTTGCTTGGAACCCACCTCCTTGTATACTGTGGTCAGAATGGAAGTTTATTAATAATTGATTGGAGCCTGACTGAATGGTGCCTGGGGATGCAGTTCCACAGTATTGTCCTATGACAGGAGAACTGGGAGATCCACCATTTAGAATGGTGACTGAGTCCCATCCACAGACCCGGTGACTTTGAATTTCAAAGGCCACAAAAGTAAGCTGCAGGCAAGCAATTACAGAACACTGTGAGCATACAGAACTATGTAGAATTTCTCCAGTTTAGTTACCATATAGACTCATGTATAACTTTACAGACATTATAGTAAAAAAATTTAGTAACTCCAAAGAACTATCTGCCTCGTATCATTTTTACTTGAAACCAGAATCTACTGATGCAGAGGTTGCCTGGTCGTCTAGAAATCGATGATTACTCACATTGATGGTATAGCCCTCTGGTGCTATCAAGAGCCAGGAGCAGAGACTAGAACTGTTGTAAGGTTGTGGGTAGTTAGGGCTTGAAATAATTCCACTTTCCCCTTGCTGCACACCACCACAAACTGAAATGAAATTTAAAACATTTAAAGAAGTGTCTGCTTGTGCATAACAAGCATTTCGATCTCTTCCAACAATTACTGTGATTTTGTTTTATCAAGCCACATGCAAACATACAAATCATGCATTGAAAAATAAATAGAGGAATTAAAAAAATAAGGTAAGCAGCTCTACGAGGTCTGAAGACATCATCAAAACGTCTCATATAAGGATGATAGAACCCATGTGAAATGTTATTTACTTTCATTATCTCTACATTTCTGTCCCTCTTTAACAAATGGGAAGGAGTGCATATCAATTCTGTGGTTTCGTTAAATGTAGGTGTCTATGTAACAACATGAGAAAAACATTCCACCAATGTTAAGTTTCTAACAGAAATCATCTATATATTTGGAGAACTACCAGTGATTTGTAGAGAATGATTGCCACAAGTTCTACTCACACTGAAAGTAACATTTGACTTACCTTGGGATGAATAGTAGATAAAGAATCCTTTGTCTGTATTTTTATCATTAGTCAAAAACTGTATCCAGATCTGAGGATATGCTATTAGTAGTGGATGCTGAGGCGCGCTATGGCCGCATAGTCTGTATAAGAGCTCCCCATCAGAATCCTCTAAAATAAAATAAATTATAATATGAAGTCAGTTTTACTGAAAACGCAATTGTGGTTTTTTAAGCCAATAGTACTAATTGCTAACTTTTAAATCCTACTTGCTGGTTTATCTTAAAAGGATGGAAGCATTTGATTGCACTTCTCAAATCGATCATAGTCTCTGAACTATGTTTTTTAAAACTCTAGTTAGTTCAAACAAACCAAGATCAAACTGTCATTCCTTAAAACAAGCAATTTCCTAAAATGTATGCATTGGACATGGCAGAAAATGGGTTAGTTTTTAAATAAAACTGGATACTGCCAATTTTTTCTTTGTGACTTTGAATGAGGATTTTAAAAGGAAAAGGATGTTACTTGTTGCAATTTCTGGAACGGGTTGATCTAATTGTTACAACCACAATCCTCTTATAAAAATATTGTTTTTAATATCATTTCAAAAACACCCTTCGTGAACTGTTATTTTCCAATTTTTCCCCCCTTGAGAATAGGCGGGAACATTTTTGCAGTCCAACTGTGTATATCTTCATTCTTAAATAGATTTCCCTTTTTAATTTCACACTTTTGAGGATGATAGAATGATAATGGAAAAATTGGCAAATGAGCAACAGGCAAACACAAGGAAAAGAAACCATTTTTCAGTTTAAGCGGAAAATGTACTGTGGTATTTGATTTAGAGCAGAGGCAGAGATCCCATTTCCTTAAGGATCTCTATGGCCCTCAAAACCAATTCAAAATCATTTTTCAAGTTATCAGTTCAGGCTTTTGGCAAAAAGGAGTTGACCATTTTTTGACAATCTGCTAAACTAGAAAGAGAAAAGAGACACCTAATTATTTTTGTTCTCAGCTTGTATTTAGATGACTCTACCAGTGCGGACTCTGACAGATTACTTGTAGCACCTTCAACAGAAAACTGAAAATGCATCTACTGAAAGTCCATCTACCCTGCGCTTGATCCCACCTCCTTCACAGGCATGACTGGTGAGGACGAGAGACAGGGCCTTCTCAGTGGCGGCCCCCTGTTTATGAAACACCCTCCTCAACAAAATTAGATTAGTGCCCTCCCTCTTGGCCTTCAGAAAAAAAGCAAGAACATGGCTGTGGAACCAAGCATTTGGCCAGTAAGCAGGACAAGAAATGAACACGGGTTATGTGAATTTGTTATTTGAAATTGGAACAGCCCGGACCATGCTTCTGGATTGTGTGATTTTAATGTTTATACTGATGTGCTTTTAATCCAATGGTTTAATGTTAGTTATGTTTTATGATTTAATTGATAGTTTTATGTGACTGTTATTTTTATGTTAGGTTTTCATGTTTTTTTAAGGCATTGAATTTTGCCATGAATATGTTGGAAGTCCCCCCCCCCCTCCCGGGGTGAGAAAAGCGGTATATAAATGAATTAAATAAATAAATAAATACCCTCAATACCAAAATGCTTAATTTGTTAGTCACAAAGTACCAAAAAATTCTTGTTGCTTTGTCACCCCACTCAACATGCCACAATTATCCACTGGGGAAAGAAGGATACTAGTGATGTTTATTTACCTGTTTCAGCAGGACTGTGTAACTCACCTTGTCGGATTTCCAAGTAATCGTTTAAGCAGTCAGTGTGTTGTTCCAAGTGGAACTCTTCAAAGAGCAGGGAAACTGTTGTGACAGATGGCTGTGGATTTTGGATGACCCATTCACAATTCATATTGTTTGTATAATTGCTGATACCATCATAACCCGGAGAAGTGATATTCCCCACATTTGAGCTGATCAGATGTCCACCACATACTGAAGAAATGCAATGGAGATGTAAGAGATTGTTTTGGAATACAAATAATTGTTCTGTGGTCCGAAAGGACTATGCTGATATGAACACTGGGTGATTTTCACAGTTATAGCAGCATATAAGTAATTTTAAATGAATAAAATACAATAAATTCCACATTTTAAAAACTTTACACTAGTTAATACTTGTTAACTAGTGGTCCCCAAGCCCATAACCTAGGTACCTTTGTTACTCAACATCTTTCAAATCAAAATGTACACTAAAAATAAAAAGTTATCTACTTCTAAAATTCTCAAATGCCTGTCTTACTGATTCAGAGTAGCACTATTTGTTGTATCGCTAGTCTCTCAAAACAACCCAATTTTCCTTTTCGTATCATAAGATGCAAATATAGACAATTAGTACTGACTTCCCCTTATGAAAGTCATTAAATAGAATAATATAGAAGAAGACAACTATTAATCAGATGTGGATGGTTGCTTTATTCAGCAACCAGGCACACATTTCAGACCATTTTTTAAAAAGAAAAATCCAAATAAAAGGGCAAAATTACAATAAAAAAAGAAAGAATTTTGGTTGAAAAATAGTAAATCAATATCTATTTTCCTAATTATTCTCATTAGTCCCATCAAATATATTACCTGCATCTTCATCTGAAGCATACGTAATTCTGAAGCTTGCTTCTGAATTATCATGGCTTAGTATCATAATAACTGTTATCTTGTTTGCAGAGGATCTCACCTGAGTGTCTGGGATCACTACACCACAAAGTTTGGAGAGTCTAGGTGTATTTTCACCAAAACCATTGTGAACCTATTAGTTGAAAATAAAACGAATAGGTATATTTCCTGAAAAAATATTTCACCTAAGTCAGAGTCCAAAAGCCATAATTGAGGAAGGATTTCTAAATGTATAATCTTGTGTTGGCCAGATGATATTGTGGGGAGGGCCAAAATGTAATTTGGTTTGTTCCCCCATAAACATGGAGCCTCCGGTAGCACAATGGATTAAATCCTTATGCCGGCAGGACTGCTGACCGAAAGGTCAGTGGTTCGAATCCAGGGAGCAGGCTTAGCTCCCATCTGTCAGCTCTAGCTTCTCATGCGGGGACATGAGAGAAGTATCCCACAGGATGGTAAACAACCGGGTGTCCCCGGGCAACATCCTTGCAGATGGCAAAGTCTCTCACACCATAAGCGACTTGCACTTTCTTAAGTCACTCCTGACCCACACAAAAAAAATCCATAAACAGATTCCTTCTCAGAGTAGGACTCTTAGTGCCAACTTGTTGTTGTTCATTCGTTCAGTCGTCTCCGACTCTTCGTGACCTCATGGACCAGCCCACGCCAGAGCTCCCTGTCAGCCGTTACCACCCCCAGCTCCTTCAAGGTCAGTCCAGTCACTTCAAGGATGCCATCCATCCATCTTGCCCTTGGTCGGCCCCTCTTCCTTTTGCCTTCCACTTTCCCCAGCATAATTGTCTTCTCTAGGCTTTACTGTCTCCTCATGATGTGGCCAAAGTACTTCAACTTTGTCTCTAGTATCTTTCCCTCCAGTGAGCAGTCGGGCTTTATTTCCTGGAGGATGGGCTGGTTGGATCTTCTCGCAGTCCAAGGCACTCTCAGAACTTTCCTCCAGCACCACAGCTCAAAAGCATCGATCTTCCTTCGCTCAGCCTTCCCTAAGGTCCAGCTCTCACATCCGTAGGTTACTACAGGGAATACCATGGCTTTGACTATGCGGATCTTTGTTGCCAGTATGATGTCTCTACTCTTTACTATTTTATCGAGATTGGACATTGCTCTCCTCCCAAGAAGTAGGCGTCTTCTGATTTCCTGGCCACAGTCTGCATTTGCAGTAATCTTTGCACCTAGAAATACAAAGTCTGTCTCGGCCTCCACGGTTTCTCCCTCTATTTTCCAGTTGTCAATCATTCTTGTTGCCATAATCTTGGTTTTTTTGACGTTTAGCTGCAACCCGGCTTTTGCGCTTTCTTCTTTCGCCTTGATTCGAAGGCTCCTCAGCTCCTCCTCGCTTTCGGCCATCAGAGTGGTGTCATCTGCATATCTGAGGTTGTTAATGTTTCTTCCAGCAATTTTCACCCCAGCTTTGCATTCATCAGCCCCGCACATCGCATGATGTGTTCTGCATACAAGTTAAAAAGGTTGGGTGAGAGGATGCAGCCTTGCCGTACGCCTTTCCCAATCTTGAACCAGTCTGTTGTTCCGTGGTCAGTTCTGACTGTTGCTACTTGGTCCTTGTACAGATTCCTCAGGAGAGAGACAAAGTGGCTTGGGATGCCCATCCCACTAAGAACTTGCCACAATTTATTATGATCCACACAGTCAAAGGCTTTAGAATAGTCAATGAAGCAGAAGTAGATGTTTTTCTGAAACTCCCTGCCTTTCTCCATTCTCCAGCGGATATTGGCAATTTGGTCTCTGGTTCCTCTGCCTTTTCTAAACCCAGCTTGAACATCTGGCAACTCTCGCTCCATGTATTGCTGGAGTCTTCCTTGCAGGATCTTGAGCATTACCTTACTGGCATGAGAAATAAGGGCCACTGTACGGAAGTTTGAGCAGTCTTTCGCATTTCCCTTTTTTGGTATGGGGATATAAGTTGATTTTTTCTAGTCTGATGGCCATTCTTGTGTTTTCCATATTTGCTGGCATATGGCATGCATCACCTTGACAGCATCATCTTTTAAGATTTTAAACAGTTCAGCTGGGATCCCGTCGTCTCCTGCTGCCTTGTTGTTAGCAATGCTTAAGGCCCATTCAACCTCACTCCTCAGGATGTCTGGTGCCAACTAAGTGTGTTGAAAAGGGAAATGAGTCTCACCTGGTGCTTACTTGAACATATTGTCAGATCAGAAAAGTCCAAGTTTCAGTTTCTCTAGTGATGCTCTTTGATCAAGCCTTATATATTTTGAGCTTTGTTAAGTATGAAATCCAAAATTTTGAATCCCCTTCAGAACTGTGCCAAAGTTTTGCAATTGGTTTGGAAAACAGGAACCTCCTGCCCCTGCATTCCACAGTGCCCACAAAATTACAGAAACATCACTCAGGGTTTAAACCTGTATCAAAGTTTAGCAATTTTAGCAATGTTTTGCAACAACCCCAGTCAGAGAGAGACTAGTCCCATGCACTCATTCAAAGGAAACAGATAGCAAGCTGCCAAATCCTAGCAATGTTGGCCATAACCATATGTTGCAATGAAAATAATCACCACTATAGAGATGTTAGGCGAAGAAGAGTATAAAATAGACTTGGTGACTCCAACTTCAGTGCATGTTAAACATATCCATATTATATATTTCATTTAGACCTGTATGTTGTTTAATTCCCAGTACCTTATTTTTGCAGTTATTTGAATCTTAAATGCAATTTCTGCATTTGATAGTCATTTGATAGTCAAATCTTCTTTCCTTTCACACTTACAGCCAAATAACCCATGCTACAGTTCAGGCTGGATCCAAAATTAATGTCAACAATGGTAAGAGTGACGCGCCTTCCAGCTGGTACCATGACTCTCCATTCACATTTTATTTTGTGCTGGTAAGGATTTGGATAATTGGGGGAGGTAAATGTTCCGGCAACACCAGTAAGTTCACCTCCACATTCTAGAAGAACACAAAGAAGGGTCCATTTCAGTTGCTATTTTCTTGTGGAACAAAACATAAGGTATAATTATTTACAAGGCATGATGGATAAAATAAAAATGGAATCCTTGAAAGTGTTCAGCACTTGTCACAATGTCATAATTCTTCATATATCATTATAAAGATGGAAATTAAGATCCAACTACCTTGGATTTTTTAAAAAAAATCACCACCAGAAATAATTATACTAGAATACCAATCCAAAGTCATGAAATGTGCACTATTCCAATTTTAAAATATTCAAGGCCATTTATACTGTTAGAATTGTGCAAGCATGCAGTTGTCATGTTTAGAAAGAAAATGTAAACTCTGTAACTAACCTTCAGCACTCGCAGTAAAATGTAGCTTGAACCCTGGACCATTTATTAATTCATCACTGATAAACTTGATATAGGCCAGGTTGCCAGAGGTGTCCACAGTATTTGGTATAGTAGCACCACAGTATCTACCTAACAAATCCCCTGGGTAAGTAGAAAAAGATTAATGAATAAACAGGACAATCTGCAATTTAGCCTTTTGCATTCAAGAAAAATGAAAGATAATTCTGCTATGGTAAATCCATGTCAATTTAATCCTGACTATGGGATTTTTATCTGTGTCTGAAATGTGCTTGAAACATGGTAATGGAGGATGGTCCTGTGGGTGTCATGAAGAGACACGTAAATGGGTCCTAGATGAAATCAGACCTAGAATCTTATAAGAAGATAAGATGAGTTACCACATGCATCCTAGACCCCTGCCCTTCCTGGCTGGTAAAAGAAGCCAGAGGGGGTTTGGCAGAGTGGGTAAAGGTGGTGGTTAATGCCTCCTTTCGGGAAGGCAAGATTCCAGCCAGCCTAAAACAAGCTGTAATTAAACCGCTGTTGAAAAAACCATCACTAGACCCCACTCAATTCGTCAACTTTCGGCCAGTTTCCAATCTCCCCTACTTGGGCAAAGTCCTGGAACGTGTGGTGGCCTCGCAACTCCAGGAATTCCTGGTGGACACGGACTATCTAGATCCGTCACAGTCTGGCTTTAGCCTTGGTCGCTTTAGTGGATGATCTTTGTCGGGAATTGATCCGGCACAGTCTGGCTTTAGGCCGGGACATGGTACTGAGACAGCCTTGGTCGCCTTAGTTGATGATCTGCGCCGGGAACTGGACAGGGGGAGTGTGTCCCTGTTGGTTCTACTGGACCTCTCTTCGGCCTTCGATACCGTCGACCACGGTATCCTTCTGGGACGCCTCGCGGGAATGGGTCTCGGGGGTACTGCCTTGCAGTGGCTCCGGTCCTTTCTCGAGGGTCGCTCCCAGAAGGTGTCACTAGGGGACTCCTGCTCGACTCCTCGGCCATTGCACTGTGGAGTCCCGCAGGGCTCAATACTGTCCCCTATGTTGTTTAACATTTACATGAAGCCGCTGGGAGAGATCATCCGGAGTTTTGGGGTGCGATGTCATCTGTACGCAGATGATGTCCAACTCTATCACTCTTTTCCACCTACCACTAAGGAGGCTGTTCAGGTCATGAACCGGTGCTTGGCCGCTGTCTCGGACTGGATGAGGGACAACAGATTGAAACTAAATCCAGACAAGACAGAGGTACTTCTGGTCAGTCGTAAGACCGAACAAGGTACGGGGTTACAGCCTGTGCTGGACGGAGTCACACTCCCACTAAAGGCGCAGGTTCGCAGTCTGGGAGTTCTCCTAGACTCATTGCTGAGCCTGGAGCCCCAGGTTTCGGCGGTGGTCAGGGGAGCTTTTGCACAACTAAAACTTGTGCGCCAGCTGCGTCCGTACCTTGGGAGGGCTGACTTGGCCACGGTAGTACACGCTTTGGTTACATCCCGCTTAGATTACTGCAACGCTCTCTACGTGGGGTTGCCTTTGAAGACTGCCCGGAAGCTGCAGCAAGTCCAACGCGCGGCAGCCAGATTACTAACGGGGCTGGGTACAGGGAGCACACCACTCCGCTGTTACGCCAGCTCCACTGGCTGCCAATTAGCTTCCGAGCACAATTCAAAGTGCTGGTGTTGACCTATAAAGCCCTAAACGACTCCGGCCCTGTTTACCTCTCCGAACGTATTCTCCCCTACGAACCATCAAGATTACTAAGATCATCTGGAGAGGCCCTGCTCTCGGTCCCACCAGCCTCGCAAGCGCGCCTGGTGGGGACGAGGGACAGGGCCTTCTCGGTGGTGGCCCCACGACTCTGGAACTCTCTCCCTCTGGAGGCCAGAACCGCCCCATCCATCCTAACATTTAGGAAACGGGTGAAGACGTGGCTGTGGAGTCAGGCCTTCGAGGAATGAGACAACACCATAGGACTCTGGATGGAAGTGGATATAGACCCATCTTATTAGGACGACTGACCACTGTAGTTTTATATTTAGTGTTTTTAAAGTTGTTTTGTAATTTGTGATATATGATATTTTAATGAATGTATATGTTTTTATGGCTGTATGGCTGAGTCCCTCGACGAGGTTGAGAAGATCGGTATACAAAACTGTGAAATAAATAAATAAATAAATAAATAAATAAGTGTGGCTTGGACATATCATAAAACATGACTCACTAGAACAACAACAACAACAACAACAACAACAACAACAACAACAACAACACTTTATTTATAACCCGTCCTCTCTCCCCAAAGAAACTCAGGGTGGTTTCCAAAGTATTACAGAAATGGCAAACATTCACTTTGCTATGGACAGTTGGACACCTGCTGGATGACCTTAAGCAAGTCACATTCTCTTTCTCAAATGGAGGTAATGATAAACTCCCCCTGAACAAATCTTTCCAAGAAATCCCAATTATAGATTTTCCTTAGGGTTGCCATTCAGAAATGACTTGAAGGTACACAACAACACAAATAGTAAATACAAGAACTAGGGAAACCACACTGTGATTCCTTTAGGCTTGACATGCAAACAATTTTCTTGAGAATAGGCAATGTACCGTGCATAAATCCTTGCTGTTTTGCATATTTAAAACACAGGCTTATGGTGTGCTGTGTAGTATCCAAAAAGTGCACGCAATGATGTGCAGGGTTCATTCTCTTGATCCTAGGCAGTAATTCTTGATCTTTCTGCAGAGGACATCAGTCATAAATACTGATGGGATGTGGGAGAGTTACCATGCATGCTGCAATTTTCTGCATAGGGAAAGTGTAGATATAAAGCAGATCCCCCAATGGTTTTATGTCATATTTTATGGGAGGTAATGATGGTTCTATTCATATAGTACATATGGATGGGTCTTTCAGGTGATGGGAAGAAAGCCATCGTGAGGAAGTTTGGGAAGGCTTAGCAGGTGAGTGGTATATACCAAAGCAGGTGTGTCCTAATCTAAACTTCAATAATTGAAAGATATGGCTTATTTACACTTTAATTATCTAGGAGAAATAGGAATGTTTCACCAACCTGAAGCACTGCCTTCTCGAATTTCCATGTAGTCATTTGCACACTCAGAGGAATTCTGAATATCGAATGCTTCAAAGCTAATGCTGAGATAATGACCCACAGGACCATGGATAATCCATTCACACAGCAAATTGTCCGGATAGGGAGAATTAGGAAATCCAATACTTTCAATGAGGCCATTTTGTCCTGTCAGTGTCCCGCCACATACAGCTGTAAAAAACAATATTTCTTGGGTTGTTGTGGGTTTTCGAGGCTGAATGGCCATGTTCCAGAAGCATTCTCTCCTGACATTTCACTCACATCTATGGCAGATTGTGAGGCCTGTTGAATATTTCTGTAAGAATATTTCTTGTCACCCTATCATAGGAAATTTGCTATCTTTGCTTTCCATGGAAAACCATGCCAGAAAAGATGTTTTCAAAGTCATAATAATATATTTCTGCATCACTTAACTGGACTGTGTGAGGATCGGTCCTTGTCAGAATTAGCATCTGTAGCTCTAGAACTGTACCTTTTGCTAAGCTATACTTGAAGCCTGGGATTTGTAGTACACTCCATTTGTACAGCCCCTTTATTAGGCTGTATAAATACTTTTTAATTGGAGTTTTAAAAGTTGGGGATCCTAAGAAAGATACAGCAGAAAAGTTGGTGTTGTGGGAGGGATCACATTGTGTACTGTGGAAAATATTTAGGACTGGACTAAGTTGGTGTAGAGCAATGCTTATAATATTATTCCTAAATTTAACTTTCCTTCTTCAGATTTCAAATGAGTAAAACAACACTGACATGGTTATTTTAGGTTCTACCATGACCAATCCAAAAGTACTATGGAACTATTTTATTTATTCTTCTTTTATAGATTTTTGAGGAAAAGAAGAATGTATTGAGGGCCACAAATTGAAGATCAGATTGCCTGATCTCTGAAGGGATTTCCACGAAGGAAGCAGAATAATCGAATGAAAACAATGTCATTTGGAAAAGTCATAAAATACACATTTTACCTCTTGAATATGTGACATTGAATCCAGTCCGTGTGTCCATGCTGCCTGACCAAAATCTCATATATAGGGTTGAACCAGATGATCTTTGAATGCTTGGCAGAGAATTCCCACATAGTTTGGTGATTACTGGTGCACTGGAGTCAGCACCATCTCGTAACTCAAGATAACTTAATGTACAACTAAAAAAGGAAACAGATTGAAAGAAGTAAAGACATACCTGACCAGCATCAAAACCAGTGCTTGTCATCACTAATCACTGGATCAGGGCAAACAAATTGAAACATAATCTAGACAAGACAGAGGTATTCCTGGAAAGTCAGAAGGTAAATCAAGGAATAGGGATCCAGTCTATGCTGGATGGGGTCACACACTCTCCCTGAAAACACAGATTTGCAGTTGGGGGTCCTCCTGGACTAGGCATTGAACTGAGACCCAGGTATCTGCGGGAAAACCTTTGCACAATTAAATCTTATGCAGTAACTGTGTCCATTCCTTGAGAAGCAGATCTGGACACAGTGCTACATGCCTTAGTTACGAACTGTCTGGATTTCTGTATTGCACTCTACATGGGGCTGCCTTTGAGTGCTTGGAAGCTTCAGCTGGTCCAAAGAGCTGCAGCCAGGTTGCTTACTGGGGCTGGCTACAGAGAGTGGACATTGGACAACCATCCTGTTGCAGTAGCTCCACTGGCTGCCAGTCTGTTTCCAGACACATTTCAAAGTGTTGGTTATGACCTTTAAAGCCCTAAACAGGTTAGGTCCAGGCTATCTGTCTGACCACATCTCCTTGCACAAGCCTGCCCGGGCCCTGAGATGTTCAAGAGAGGCCATTCTCTCAGCCTCACCTTCATCTCAAGCTCAACTGATGGGAACGAGAGAGTGGGTCTTCTCGGTAATTGTTTCTTGACTCTGAAACTCCCTTTGCAGGGAAGCCAGAATGACCCCCTCCCTGCTGTCCTTCCAGCGACAGGGTGAAACCTTTTTATTCAGACAGGCTTTTGAAGATGAAGGTTTTAAAGATCATTCCAGGGGCTGCTGTGGTTTTTGACTTTGACTATGTTTTGATGGATTTTAACTGTGATTTTTTGGTGCTGTTTGTGTTTAATTCTGTTTTAATGGTTGCATATTTGTATATTTTAATTTGTATACTAATGCTTTGATGTCAAGCTGCATTGAGTCCCCGTTAGGGAGATAAAGCAGGGTATAAATTATATATATATATATATATATATATATATATATATATATATAAATTCTGACTCAGATCAAAACCTGTAGACTTTGGAGTCCAGTGAGATTATGGTTTTGTATGAGTTGTTAAATTGCTATAAAGTGTTTTAAATAATTTGCATTGTTTTCTACTCTTTCAATGTGATTGTATTGACCGTATTCCACATGAGACCTAGTGATAGAAGACAACTTTAAAATAGAAATATGCTTCGTAGCATTTCAGGAAGTAGCTGAAACATGGAACTAACAACCTTCATTTTAATTCAATTCTGTGGAGGCAGAAAAGACAAAGATGGAGACAAGGAAGTTAGTAATCAATGGCACCTAAGGCCATTTGAGCTGAAAATCAATTGCAGAGAAATAAATCTCTAAGCTAACACAAACACCACATAGCACATGTCTCATCAGCTTTATCTCTCATTTAAAGCATGAGAGAAAAAAAGCTTTGAGCACTAGGAATACTAAATTTATTAATGTAATATTCTTAGTTCTGACTGATTTTTCAATTATTAATTTAGTTAATTCTGAAGCCTTTCCATTAAAAATGCTATTAAAAAGTGTGGTCAGATATCTGACTTTGGGATTAGGAGAGGTACTATATGATAAGGAAGGTTTTTAATCATATAAATAAATTCAACAGGAATGCTTTTAGGTCCCATAATTGTTCCTATCAGACTGTGGTAGAGGAAAGACTAGAGGTCCATCTCCAATGCAGAATGAATGTAATTTGACACCGCTTTAACTGCCCATGGATCAATGCTATAGAATCTTGGAATCTGTTTGGTGACAGTGAAAGCTAGAGACCTAATAAAACTACAACACCTACAATTCCACATAATTGTGTCATGAAAAATTGGTGTCAAACTGCATTCATTCTACAGATATTCCCTCAGACTCATCAAGTTCTACATGAATATAAGCTAATTTATCCCCAAATTGCCCAGCAAACTTGTCATAGCAGGTACTGAAGGGTTCTACTGTTGGTTTCTCTATCTCTAACATCAATGGATCTCATTACTCAGAAAAACTCTGCTGCACAGCATGCTGAGGATGCAATAATAAAGGCATACGATGACTTTTTTTGCCAGCCACATTGCTCTTTAATTGACACAAAATGCTACATACTCTAGATAAGAAGCTATGTTGGCACACAGCAGCAATGAGCAGCAACCCCTATACAGTGATGCTGCTTTATTTGATTAAGTTAGACCTTATTATAACCATATATCCATATATGTTCTAGATTTATATCTAGATTTTATATAATCAACAAAAAACAATATTTGTTGTTAGAGAACTTTGTTACTTCAACTGATAGCTCTATAAAAGGCAAATAAAGAAATATAATTATGTGTACATACTTGGATGAAGGATGGATATCAAACAGATCCTGAAACTGCAGTTCTACTGCCTCCCCATAAGGAGCAATTATCTTCCAGACACAATCAGTATGTGGTGGATAATTGCCAGGATAGTTGGGTGAAGAGATAAATCCAGAAGGACTGTTTTCACTGATGTAGACATTTCCTCCACAAGCTAGAAACAGAAGGACGAGATGAGGCCATTAAAAAAAGATAACGATGTATATAATGTAATAATCTGTTTTGCCTGGTGAGTTTCTACATAACTGGAATTATACACAACCAGTAGATGCCATTTGGGGAAGCTGTTTGCAAATGTTCCAATGAAAACACTACAGAATGCCGATAATGTAGTTCTAATTCTGTGTCTCTAAGTGACATGAATCTCTTGTTCATTAATTAAGATTCATTAATTTAGGGATTAATGGCTATGTGAACCATAACAACAAACAATGATCAAGATTGGGGATGGGTAACTTCAGCAGGTGCAGGGAACAATTTTGACCGTCTTTTTGCTTAAGGTTCAGGAAGATGAGTGGAGGACAAACATGGCTTGATGGAGCTTTGATCACATTCAGTAGGACTCTTCTCAGCCTTATTTGTTTCTATATCTACACAGGTTTGTATTTCATGCTAATACTCACCAAGACCCTTTGCTTCATATTTGAGTTTGAAACCTTTCCCTCCATGACTGCTGTCTGAACTGAAGTGGACAAATAGCTGGTTGTCTGTGGTGTAAACCGAAGAAAAGGAAACACTACCACAAAAACGACCGTTCGTGCCACTGAGTCCCAATGGAGGGGCAGAGAGGTCCGGTCCATTTCGAAGCTAAACAAAAGGAGAAGAAATTATCAAAAAGAACCAAGAGAAGGGCTCTAGGGAAAAAATAATGAGGTTTTTGTAAATTTTCAAGGTCAAGATGTTCTCCAAATTGTATTCCAACAAATTGCAGATCAAACAATTTTGTTGTTATAATTTTTTTACTTTTGGCAGCCAAGTCACAAGGGTTATTTTGACAAGATTTGTTCAGAAAAAGTTTGCCTTTGCCTCCTTCGGAGACTGAAAGTGTATGACCTGCTCAAGGGCACCCAGTGGGTTTCCATGGCTCCATGGGGATTTGAAATCCGATCTCCAGAATCATAGTCCACTGCTCAAACACTACACCACACCAGATCTCCTGACCAAACAGTTATTCTCCTATTATTCCAAATTGAGAGAAGCTACTTTTCCAATGGCATGCAGCAAGTTCCAATAAGAAACGGGATTCTAATTCAGCTCTTTCAGACTAAAAGCCATTGCATTTCTTAGAAAGTAAATACATTCAGAGTATGTTCTGAAGTTCACATTGTGCTTGTTTACGGACTGAGGAGGGTGCCATGAAAATGATAGAGAGGAACACCAAGCTGCTCTGGCTTCAAACTGTTCAAAATTCAGCCAATGATATGAAAAAAGGAAATACCACTTTTTAAATAAAAATTTTGGGCCTTTGCATATAATTCAAACCCATTCATATTATGTGACCATAATATGACACTCTAAATCAGTGGTTCCCAATCTTTGGGCCTCCAGGTGTTTTGGACTTCAACTCCCAGAAATCCCAGCCAGCTTACTGTTGGGAACTGTGGGAGCTGAAGTCCAAAACACCTGGAGGCCCAAAGGTTGGGAACCACTGCTCTAGATAATTTGTGAAATAGTCTTCATCCATGACACTATATAGTTGCTTTCAAATCAACTCCACAATTAACATAGTGTCTAATAAGTAATATTTTTTCACACTCTTTGAAAAGAACTGACCCATCATCTATGACGTAATTGTATTTGTCTCACCTCAACATAATCTCCATGGCTACAGGAAGCATCTTCATTCAGCACTTGGAATGGCTGTTCAAAATGAACACCAATGATCAAACCCGTAGTAACCAGAATGTGCCAAGAACAATTAATATTAGGAGGATACGTCTGTGGATAATTGGGCGAAGCAATCACACCTCTGTCTGCATGCAAATAACCACCACAACCTGAATGAAACATAACACTGTTAAGAAAATCACTAGTTAAACTAGTTCATTGTATTTGCCTTGTATATATATAAGCATATTGGAAGGCAATAGTTTTTCTACATGGTCTCTAAAGCAAGTACCTGACCAATCTGGCCACCACATTTCACATTACCTGAAGCTTCCAAATGCTTTCCCAAGACGTTATTGATGTTGTTGTGTCTCAGTTTAAGAAAGTTAATATACTGAGTTTTGGCTACTTACAGCTAAACTAAGGCTCCCATCATTTGTTATGGACATAGCAGATCTACAATGTCTTTGGTACTGTTTATATGACAGAGAAATCACAACCTCATGTGAAACAATTCTCAACTTCTACAAAGTTTTGAAGGGCTTTGAATCTTTTATTGTACTACAGGTAGTCCCCAAGTTACAAACATGATGATAGATTCTGTAAGTTTTTTCTTAAATTGAATTTGTTTGTAAGTTGGAACAGTTACAATTTTAAAGTGTAACTCCAGCCAAATATACTGTATTTACTCAAATGTTATGCACATCTTTTTTGGTTAAATAGCTTAGTCAAAATGATGGTGTGCATCACATTTGATGGTGAAGTTTTTGTAATGAGCATCTCAAAATAGGAGGCCCTGGTGGCACAATGAGTTAAACCCTTGTGCCGGCAGGACTGAAGATTGGCAGGTTAGAGGTTCGAATCTGGGGAGAGTGTGGATGAGCTCCCTCAGTCAGCTCCAGCTCCCCATGTGGGGACATGAGAGAAGCCTTCCACAAAGATGGTAATACAGTGAAACATCCTGGTGTTCCCTGGGCAACATCCTTGCAGATGGCCAATTCTCTCATACCAGAAGCAACTTGCAGTTTCTCAAGTCGCTACTCTCTCTCTCTCTCTCTCTCACACACACACACACACACAAATAATCTCAAAATTGAGGTGTGCATTACAACTGATGGCAGACTAGGCTGGAATAAATACAGGGGTGTGTGTGTGTGTGAATACACACACAAAGAGAGCTTTGGATAGCATATGGAAAGGATAACCTCCCTATGGTGTTTCTTTTGCTATCTGTGCCCCTGTTCAGAAGATTTCACCTCACATTCTGTCTCTGAGATAATTGGATTTTGTAAAAATTGGCTTGTTGTGGAAACAAGGATTGGTAAGAAAGCTTCAGTGGAGACACTTTTCCCCATTTTAACACTTTCAGGAGTGAATTTCTCTTCTAGGAGTAATTTCTCTTTCCTATTTTTATTTCCTATTCTCTCACCACTGTTTTTGTTGTAAAGTAATGCTTTTGGGTTGGAAAGATTAGCTGTGTACAAGAAATGTTGCTGAGGGGACACCCAACTGTATTTACTCAGACTTTGAGGAGGCTCTTTCTGCTACTGACAATGCGGGCATTGCTCCCCGTTTTTGGTCTAAAACAGGGGTCCAGATACGGCCCTCCAAGGTCATTTACCTGGCCCTTGCTCAGGGTCAACCTACGTCTGAAAAGACTTGAGAGCACACAACAACAACAACAGTCCTATATCATCAGCCAAAAGCAGGCCTACAATTCCCATTGAAATACTGATAAGTTTAAAATAATAAGTTAAAATTGTTCTTCATTTTAATTATTGTATTGCTTTTAAGTGTTTTTTTTTTGCACTACAAATAAGATATGTGCAGTGTGCATAGAAATTCATTCATGTTGTTTTTCAAATTATAATCCGGCCCTCCAACAGTTTGAGGGACTGTGACCTGACCCTCTGTTTAAAAAGTTTAACCTCTTGTGCTCCCTTTATTTTGTCAGTTTTATACTTGTTTATGCAATGCTTTTGACATGAAATGAAGTCCCTTTTTTATCTAGGAGTCATTTTTAAGTTTGTAACTTGGGAACTGCCTGTATATTATTTCAGACGCTTATTGTACAAATCTTCTTCTCCAGAACAGATGGTTTCAAAATCCAGATCAAAGCAGTTTGTTCACAGTGTGAATCATTGGTGGGTATCCTCCCCCTTTTGCCCATTTTTGTGGTCTTGTGAAATTTTGACCACATAAAACGGTTGTTCTGTTTCATTATATGGAACTCATTTTCTAAGTCTCTTTTTTAAAAAAGTCCATAACATTGCAAAAGGCAGCTTGCAAATCTGACTGCACATTTTTTGGAAGATTCAAACACTTTCCTAAACTACCTTTTTGCATTTTGCAGTATTTGTAATTTACACCTCAAAATGCAATTAATTCAGTTGTATTTCATGATACAAGGATTGTAGAGATACACAGTACCAATGTGCGGTGAGAATGCCAACTGATCAGAACAGACAATAGTATTAAATCTGTAATAATTTCATCTCTTGTTTCATTCCTCTTAAATTTGCAAAGATTCTAAATACTTTTTAAAAGTAACTTTAAAAAAAGTAAAGATTTTCTGTGTATATTTCAGATTTCAATATTAATGACAAAAATACGTAGTATGATTTAACATAGGATTTGTGCTACATTAGAACAGTAAAAGACAAATATCACTTAAGTAAAATAAACATTAAATATTAAATAACCAGAAAAATAAAATAAGGTGTAAACAAGGTGGGAATTTGCTATTGCAACAAAAAAGTAACTTACTTTTGTGGTATGAAGCATTAAATCCAGCACCAGTTATGCTTCCATCTGAAGTGAACTGAATGAACATGGCATCTCCAGTTGATCTTATTGGCCCAGGGACTTCACGGCCACAAACAGTAGACAGAACTGGTGCAAGGCGGTTGTCCCCTATGAAAAGAAATAGGATAAAGGTGTACTGACATAAATCCCAAGGTTGCATTTCCATATCATTTGTTTGTGAAAAAGAAACATATTTATCTGGAGAAGCAACAATATAGTTGGATATTCTGATTTGGTTCATCATAATCTCACTGATCATCAGGTTAGACAGGGTAATTTAGGCTAAACCATGTAGTTCACTCTGTCATATGGAGTGAAATCTAAAGCACTCTGAATTTAGATTAAGGGACAAAAAAGATGGAACTTACAATACACTGGTTTGCCAAAATCAGAGTTGTTTGAGTGCCAATTCATAACTATGAGAGGCACATAATGGTCCTGGAACCTGCTTTTAGATAGTAGTATTTTCATTTAATGGCATCAAATGTGTGGGAAACATTTTACTACAGGGATAAGCCCCATTTCATTGAGTGCCTTGTACAAAGCAAGCCATCATCATAGTTTCAACGACTGGACTTTTCATTTGCAGCCTACACTATGGGAAGGTGTTGCTGTTTCTCACCATCATAGAAGACAAGTTTATCATAATTGCATGAGCGGTGACTTTCAATGTCAAGAGCCAGGATGTTGAATTCCACCGTTGAGTCTAATGCTCTGATAACCCATGTGCACTCTGCATTATTCCTGTACTTTGCGGGCCAGCCAGGGGAGAACAGGAATAAGGGAGTCTCGCCAGTTCTTGAGATCCCTCCACAAGCACCTGTCACAAAAGAGAAGATTATCTGCTTGAAACAAGTTAATGTTTCTCTGTCTTTCATGTGCATTTGTTTAGGTGTATAATATGTACATGAAAATACATGTGGCATTCAGATACATCCGCTGCTCATATTGTCATACTTAACTTAGAACCAAGTGAGATGAAGACCTGAAAACCGCAGTCTAAGGAACTTATGGAACACACTAACTGAGAGCTATATCAACTTTTCCTATAGTTTCTCCAAAGGTACACTAGCCCTCTCTACAACAGAATACACGGAGTCACTTACAGATGCAGATTCCTCACTTCCAGAGAACTCCCAAGGCACACAAGTTTTAGAAGATATAGACAGAAAAAAGTCATTCACTAATAGGTGTGCCTCAAGGCTCAGAGTAAACAGAATCTTTGGCGGGTTATGGACTCCTTTAGAGTCCTGATGGCTGCCCATTATTAGCTGTGTCTGGTTTCATAAGCTTTCACAGGAGCAGTGGAATCTGTTTGAGATTAGATGAGATTAACTTCAACCTATCCCAATGTTAGGGAGACCCCTGTGGTGCAGTGGGTTAAACCGCTGAGCTGCTAAGTTTGTTGACCAAAACTTCGCAGGTTCAAATCCAGGGAGCGGCGTAAGCTTCCGCTGTCAGCCCCAGCTTCTGCCAAACTAGCAGTTCAAAAACATGCAAATATGAGTAGATCAATAGGTACCGCTCCAGCAGGAAGGTAACAGCGCTCCATGTAGTCATGCCGGCCACATGACCTTGAAGGTGTCTACGGACAATGCTGGCACTTTGGCTTAGAAATTGAGATGAGCACCAACCCTCAGAGTCGGACACGACTGGACAGTTCAAAAGATGGATGCTTTTATACTCTGTTGTAGGAGGAAATTTTTGAAGGTGCCTTGGACCGCAAGAAGATCAAACCAGTCCATACACCAGGAAATAAAGCTTGACTGCTCCCTGGGGGGAAGGTTATTAGGGGCAAAATTAAAGTTCTTTGGCCACATAATGAGAAGACAGGAAAGCTTGGAGAAGATGATGTTGCTGGAGAAAATGGAAGGAAAAAGGAAGAGGGGCCAACCAAGGGCAAGATGGATGGATGATATCCTTGAAGTGACTGGCTTGACTTTGAAGGAGCTGGGGGTGGCCGCGGCTGACAGGGAGCTCTGGTGTGGGCTGGTCCAAGAGGTCACTCAGAAGCAACTGAACAAATAAACAACAACAACACTGTGTTTGACATCAGTGTCTCCTTGACACTGTGTTTTCCAATACCTGTTAAAAGATATCTAAGGTAGTGGCCATATTATGCCAGATTTATTGCATTTGAACCACAACTATGTGATCTAAATGAATATCAGTGTTTCATTTGAAAGATAAAGAAGAGATCACGTTACATGACTGATTGATAATATCTAAAGGAAATGCTATAGGTTGGAAAGATAGCAGGAATTAATGGCTTCCTGAAAAGGAACAGACCCTAATCAGAGTGTGGCTCACAGTAGTAAACAAAAATACATAAGAAATTGACATGTGTACTGGTTTAAGCAATACAGTGGCACATCCATTGCTAGAACTTTGTTTGAAGCATTATTTCTAAACCATTCACTACCACTGGTTTATACTAGTTAAGTTTAGAGGGAAAACAGAATATGTTATAACAATGATACTAAATGCATTTCTATCACCAATTGGAACAAACAGGTCACCTACACAGAAATAAGACAAACCTATTGGAATGGTCTGTTCAACATCTGTAGGAGCATCCACTGCAGTCCAGTCCAAAAGGAAGCCCTTCCCGCTGGTGGAGCGATCAGAGATGAAATGAAGAGTCACAGAGCTTCCAGAAGAAGTGAATGAGGAACGGGCTCTTCCACAGTACGTTGCAATGAGATGAGCATGTGTATTGAGGCCATCATACACCTATAACAGTGAAAGAATGAATGAGCAAAGTTTCTGTCAAAGTTGTTTCTTGTAGAGAGAAATGAAGCACATGTTATTGGTGTGATGGTCTTAATGCAAAACTGGCTTTCAAGTTATTGAAAGATTCCCCTCCCCCCCCCCAAAAAAATGGTTTTAAACTTGGAATGTGTTTAAATGGTTTTTAACTGGGAATGTTTAAATACTAGTTATATTTAATTCTGTTTTACTGTTTGTATATTTGTATATTTTTAAATTGTTAAGCTGTTGCTTTTATGTTAAGCTGCTCTGAGTCCTTTCGGGGAGATAAAGCAGGGTATAAATTTATTTATTTATATATCATATTTATATACCACCTTTCTCAGCCTAAAGATGACTCAATAAATTATTATTATTATTTCTGCAAAAATTTTTTAAAAAGTAAACCCAATTTTAATTGTTTTCTTAATTGAGTGTAATTTTAATGTAACAAATTGATTTTTTAAAATACCAAACCATTATATATTGTAGGTTTTATACTCCTACATTAACAAAGTTACTTTTGATCTATACAAAATGCTAACATGGCTTTTTAAAACTAGTCCCCCCCCCCCCCCAAACATATCACTCAACATATCCAGTCTCACTTTACATAACATTAGGACCAGACAAAGGATTAACTTTACATTTGGCCTTAAATGGCATATTGAATTATCTCTTTTTTTTCTGTGTCAGGAGTGACTTGAGAAATTGCAAGTTGCTTCTGGTGTGATAGAATTGACTATCTGCAAGGGTGTTACCTGAATGATCTCTAAAGAATGATCTTTAGGGAATTATCTCTAAAATGCATCTATTTGCACTTCTTTTAATGGGTAGTACATTCTTTAATCCAAATAAACCAGCCAGTTCATTATTGACAAATATTTTGAAAAAAATACAAACATTTGATACCATTATCAATGTTAAGATTTTAGTATACGAGTTGGTTCAGGTTATTAATTTGCACCACAGTGTACAAACAGAGGAGTGCTACCTAATTTCAAACTCACCTTCAACTTGTCATAGTAGCAATGAAACAAATCTTCAATATCCATCTCTGCGAACTGGCCCCGGATAACTTGTGTTGCATTAACCATTATTGTCCACTGATAGTTGGAGAAGTGAGGGTAATTTCTAGGCCACAGTGGAGAAGCAATTTGTCCACTGCTTCCCACAATATTATTTCCAAACACTAGAAAATTAAAAAATATGCACCGTTTTCCAAACAAGCCATTTCACAGATATATAAACCCATTTTTCCTACTTCCAACAGACCTCACACCTCTGAGGATGCTTGCCATAGATGCAGGCGAAGCGTCAGGAGAAATGCCTCTAGAACATGGCTCTATAGCCCGAAAAAACCCACAAGAACCTAGTGATTCCAGCCATGAAAGCCTTCGACAATACAATTACAAAAAAATTTAGAGATGTTTCTAAAACGTTAATCAATCAATTGTTCCCTCATTTATTCTTATTAATCTCTTCACCAGAATTGAAACAATGTACCTGGAATAGTCCCATACTCTGTTTCCAATGTTATATAAAGCATTAGGGATCAGCTGAAGAAATATTGTCACTTGAAACAAAGGACAAAATGTTATTTCCTTCCAATCCATTTCATGTATAGTAGTAGGTTATATTGACAGCTGGTTGATATCCCCCAGTACACATGGGGTCAACAGAGTGGGGTCTTCTCATCTTAAATCATTATAGTGTAATGATTCATTCTTAATTGCTATGGCAGCATCATATGGAAATCTGGAATTTGTAGTTTTAGATGGGGTATAGTTTTGCAAATCTTAAAAAAAAAAACCCCACAGATATTATAGGATGCAGCTATGGCAGTTAATCATAATGCAGTAACAACTATCTAGTGTGAAAGAGCAATTGATCTGGATGAAAGAAGGCAGGCTATGTAACATAGATGAAGATGCACCATCCTGTATGCAAAACGAAGTGCTTGCCTTCCACAACCATGGATTCAATCAAAGTTCAAAAATATTTGGTGAAAAATTCCAAAAAGCAAATCCTGATTCCACGGTGTGCTGAGAAATATTTATTTATTTATTTACGGCAGCCCCATAGCCAGGATTTTGATTTGGGGAGGGGGCTGAGTTTGATTCGGTGGGGCTGAGTCTGAGTGAAAGAGGGTCTACCCTAGCAAACCTTCTGTATCATTACCCCAATACCCCCATGCATATGGGATATATTGAGCATGGTGATCAGATCATGATATGAATAAACATAACAGTTTAAATAATGTACTAGTAAGGCCTTCTCACGGACCACCCTGAGAATTTTGGGGGGGGAGCACTGAAGCCCCTCAACCCCCCCCCCCCAGCTACATGCCTGATTTACGGCATTTATATGCCTCCCTTCTCACCCCGAAGGGGACTCAGAACGGCTATCTATCTATCTATCTATCTATCTATCTATCTACACACACATACAATATATTATATTATTAGCATAGCACAGGGGACAAGGTGGGACTGTCCCCTGGCCCCCTCTCTTTTCACTCTGGCTCAGAGCAGCAGTTGATGTGTGTGTGTGTGGGGGGGGGGGTCCCCAACTAATGACATATACAGGAGATAAGATGGAACTGTCCCCTGGCCTCTATTTGTAGATTTGTAGGCAAACTCTGCTATAGCCTCCTGCAATTTCACAGATCCCCATGCTCTCTCTGACTCATTCAAATTGTTCCAACATTTTATATAAGCTTACTATATCACTGTATATAATGGGACTTCAACATCCATGGATTTCGGTATCCACAAGAGGTCAAGAACCAAGCCTCCACTGATATTGAAGGAACACTGCACTGAATAAAAACATCATTCCCATTGTCAGACCATATCTGCTTCTCTACATTTACAAATGAAGTGCAATATGATCATTTCTCTCTTGTTTGTTATTTACTTACACTGAGCAAATGTGGCCCGGAAGCCCCTTCCACTGCCTGATCCATCTGAGACAAATTTAATCCACAGGATGTGTCCAATGACAGAAGTATAATTAAATGGCAAGGTGTTTCCACAGTATCGTCCCATCTGCTGGCCACTGAGACTGTCTTCTCTAATTTCTACATAATCTTTGGTACAGCCTTCGCTTTCTTCCATCTGAAAGTCTCTGTTTACAACAGGACACGTGGGTACATTAATCAACACAAGTGTATATAGAATTTCAGTCAACATAGGGTAAGTCTGATGTACCAGATGAAAGAGTTTATCAGTTCTTTTACACCTACTTCCTTCTAAGGGTTACTAAAACATTAATAATGATTAAGAAGAACATCAAAATAAAATTCTGTATGAGTAGTGTGTACTAGGAGGTGTCAAAAAGGGCATGGTGACAACATATGCTCTAGAGCATTGGTTCTCAACCTTTTCTTCACTACAGGCTCTTCTCTACATACTTTTGTGGCCATGGATGCCTAAGATATAATTCAAGATGTAAGTCACATCAAATAATTAGTTCAATTTTCTCATGAATGTTTCTTCAAATTTAGAGAGAAAGGAATAAAACTTAATCTGTTAATACACACACTTCTATTATAATACTTTGATTATAATGATTCCATACAAATTTAAAATAATAGTAAATAATTTAATCCTTGGTCCCCTGGTGGCACAGCGGGTAAACCACTGAGCTGCCAAACTTGCTGACCAACAGGTTGGTGTTTCGAATCCAGGGAGCAGGGTGAGCTCCCATTGTTAGCCCCAGCTTCTGCCAATCTAACAATTCGAAAACATGCAAGTGTGAGTAAATCAATAGGTACTGCTCCAGCAGGAAGGTAACGGTGCTCCATGCAGTCATGCCGGCCACATGACCTTAGAGGTGTCTACAGACAATGCCGGCTCTTTGGCTTAGAAATGAGCACAACTCCCAAGAGTTGGACACAACTAGACTTAATGTCAGGGGAAACCTTTACTTTTAATTTAATCCTTTGCGGAGCCCTAGTGACAACATTGCAGACTCCCAGGGGTCCCTGGACCCCCGTTGAGAACCACTGCCTTAGAGCATTCATTTTGCTCATCCTTCCAGTAAAACAAAGATTTGGAATTCAAGGAAGTAGTTTTTGACTTGTCTTTTAGTTCAATCATTATGCCTTCAGCAAGTATCATATCCCTGGGACCCTTTCACATTACATGATTCTAGCACTATGATTCCATTTTAACTAACATGGAAACAATCTATGAAGTGTTGGGATCTGCATTTTAGGGAAATATATTCTTAAATGTCATTTATAAACAACATTGTTTCACCAGATTACAAACACCTGGATTCCACAGGATGCAGCCATGGAAATTAAAGTAGAACCACACTGCTATAATTGTGCATCTGGTTTTCCCTTTCTAAACGTTCTAGCATGCAAAGCGGTACTTTCATGTTTGGGAAAGGGTTTAAAATACATTAACTCTTGCCAACTACAGTGTTTCAGCAGCTGTTTATGTCATGTACAAAATTTGAGGAAAAGATAAATTAAAGACAACAGTGTTGTTGCATTTGTTTGTTTTGGTTCTGCTAAGTAATCTTCACCCCAAAATCAAGTCAGTGATTAAATGAGAGGAAGAGTGAGTAAAACTCAATTATGTGATGACTCTGTCAGTTGATCTATCTTCAAGATGTGGTTAGGGAATAATCTTGGTGGGCATATTTTTTCCTATGGTCAAGCTTTACAGCTAGAATTCTGAAGGTATTGTGGTGGCTTCTTCCTCCTATAATCATAAAATCATATAATCATAGAGTTGCAAGAGACCCCATGGACCATCCAGTCCAACCACCTGCCAAGAAGCAGGAAAATCACAATCAAAGCACCCCCCAACAGATGGCTATCCAGCTTCTGTTTCCTGCTAAGGAAAACACAATAACTAACACTGCAGCTGCAGGTAAACAGAGCATTGCCTGAGTATGTGGATCAGAGCAATCTGGAGTCCAAAGAGAGGTGGAATGGTCTGAATGGAGACAGTCCTACTGTTGGATAAAGTGAGGCAATAGAAGATGCTGGGGAGTGGCATCAAAATTTTGGATGAAAAAGCTTTGTATAGCTTTTGGTTCTCCTGTGCTTCCTAAATTAGCCTGCAACTTCTTCTTCTTCTTCTTCTTCTTCTTCTTCTTCTTCTTCTTCTTCTTCTTATTATTATTATTATTATTATTATTATTATTATTATTTAAATAATAATAATAATAATTCTGCAGAATTCTGGGGTTTGTAGTTTGGAGTCCCCAGTGGTGCAGTTACTTTATATTTGTAGTGATTCAGATCAAAGGAATCAGGTCCTTTAGTTGCTAAACTCTAATGGATTCTGATGGAAGTTATACTCTTATCTTTGTCCACTGGAACGAGTGTCTTGAATTCTGGGGAACAATATTAAACAATTCTTGAAATGTTTTGTATCTGGTAATTCTTTAAAATTGTATGCAAAGAGCAAACAGCGTTCCCCAACATTTTTAAAGCTTTGATGTAAGGGGAGGGCTTGGTTGCTTTACTTTTTTGGAAGTTGGAGTGTATTTATTGTCCCAAATGCATTACTTCAAAAAACACATGCCCCGTTCTCTGGCTTAATTACTTAATAAAAGGGCTTCATTCTAGCAGAATCTTACATGGAGACCTTCCCCTCTTGTCTTCATTCCCTTCCTACATCCTCCCCAAATCTATTCTGAACCTTTCTTCAATTCTCCAAGTTAGATCTTGAGGATATGCGAGAGGCCACAGAAAAGGGGGAATGGCCTCTTTACCCAGCAGAAGGATTTAATTATCTTCTGACCTGTATGTGTGCCCCATTATGAAGAAGTAATTTCTCCAGCTCTCATGTTTGCAGAGAATACTTATTGTTTCCCAGCAGAGAGATTATGGCCTTCAGCAGATGTTTAACAATACAAAGTTCTAGAAAAATCTCAGTCAGAGAAAAAGAGGGGAAGCCCCCGCCCCTAAATTTTACCAACCATTCCTTGATTGACAGTGTTGTTACATAGGTTGGCATGGGTATTCAGGTACATCAGGAACCAATCTGAACAACAGATGCTAATTGAACTTCCTCTCTCTTGTAACAAAATAGTACTGTATATTTTATAGCCAGTCATAAGTAATCACCCCCATTTTTTTTGTAATACAAATCTATCAAATATCTCTATTCTCAGATTTCCTTCCAGCTTGAGTGGATCCATGTGTTTTCACAGTACTATGAAATATTACCAGTTTCCCATCTGGATACATTTCCTACTAATTTATGCACGCTACAAGAGCAATTTTGCAAGACCGATGTTCCAAAGATAAATAGCCTTTGCCAAATTAATGGATACAGATCTGATAATGCATGAAGTATATCATAATTGACACTGTATAAATGACTGTTCAAAGACCACCCATTGTTTTCCCCACTTTCAGTTTTTAAAACTTGGGAAAATACTTCTTACATATTTAAAAGAAAGAGGGGGAAATATACAGGGATAATGCTAGTGACCTTTTGTGTGTGTGTGTGTGTGTGTGTGTCAGGAGCAACTTGAGAAACTGCAAGTCACTTCTGGTGTGAGAGAATAGGCCATCTGCAAGGATTTTTCCTGGGGACGCCCAGATTTTTGATGTTTTACCATCCTTGTGGGAGGCTTCTCTTATGTCCCTGCATGGGGAGCTGGAGCTAACAGAGGGAACTCAACCCACTCTCCCTCAATTCGAACCACTGACCTATCGGTCAGCAGTCCTGCCAGCACAAGGGTTTAACCCATTGCGCTACCAGGGACTCCATGCTAGTGACCTCAGAGCATGACTATTTGTTGTCATTACATTTAATAAGTAAGAACTATCATTTTGTGGGTTGTTGTAGGTTTTCCAGGCTGTACGGTCATGTTCTAGAAGCATTCTCTCCTGACATTTCACCTGCATCTATGGCAGGCCTCCTCAGAGGTTGTGAAGTCTGTTGGAAACTAGGAAAAATGGGTTTATATATCTGTGTTTTGTGTATTTTAAATTAAGGGAGGTGAGCACATTTGTCATTTTGCTTCCTCTGTCAGCTCCAGCTCCCCATGTGGAAAATGAGAGAAGCCTCCCACAAGGATGGTAAAACATCAAAACATCCGGGTGTCCCCTGGGCAATGTCCTTGCAGATGGCCAATTCTCTCACACCAGAAGATTCTCAAGTCGTTTCTGACATGAAAAAAAAATGCCTCATATACAAAATTGCTTCATATACAAAAGGATGAATGGAGTCAGTTTCATTCTACATTTTTCATGATATCTCTTTTATATTATTAATGCCTTAAGTACCTCTTCCAAATGGTTTACACATGGTCTTGAGACTTGTGGTACTGTATGAATTAACAGCCATATATTCCTATTGCCCACATTTCCTTAATTGAATAATAACTATAATTGGCAATAATTTTAAACTACACATTTACCATGCAGGGGGCATAATAAAATATCTATGTGTATAATTTACAAAGGGCTCAATAAGAAGGCAGCAATGTTTAACAAGGAATCCTGGGGAGGTGAGAGGAAAGAGTCATCATTAATGATTTCTCTTTGTTTGTGGTACACCAGAGAGGTAGCATTTACAGCGTGGGATGTAATTGTCAGGAATATACTAGGCTTTCCACTTTTTAATACAGATATTTTTTTAAAAAATGACTGCAAGCCCTTTGTGGCTGCAGCTGTGTTCTCTTTCCAAGTTGTTGTGGGCATCGCAACACTTTTACATGCTGATAATTACATTTCCTACTAAACACAGGGTTTCCTTCCTGCAGCTCCATTGAAAGGCTTGAACAATACCCCCTTTGGAAATTCAATTTACGTGAAAGACAGCTGGAGCCGGTTGCCAGGGGAGCTCCGAATGTTCCAGACACATTCGACATTCAGGGGGTAAGCCTCAGGAAAGTTGGGGCTGTTGAAGGCTCCTCTTTCCATATGGAAGGTGCCCCCGCAGGCTGCAATGAGGAGAGAAAGGGAGAGGAGGAATGAGCTGCAAGGAGGCACAGAATGGGAGGAAGCTCTTCAAACAGACTGGATGCTTTGAGAACCATGAAAACTCAAGAGCCTCCTTTGGTAGAGCTTCTTGGCAAATAGCTCAGAATTATGACTGAAAACAGGAAACCCCTGTTGCAGGAAATAAGGAGCTCTGGTTTTGCAAGCTGTGGGGCTGACTCAGAGTCTGTCTGTGCAAGAGCTGCTCCTGGCTTGCCTATTTTGTATTAGATCAGAAATGCAGGGCAGAAAGCCTAAAAATACAATTGGCTCTCAATATTTGCGGATTTCACTTCTACGGACTTGATTATTTGTGAATTGGATCAATATGTTCTCTCTAAGAATCTCTAGGTCTTCTTTTTTTGCTTTGTTATTCTATTATCTTCTATCGATCAACTAGTGTTTGAATCTCCAATGGGGCCTTCTTGTTTCTCATCAATCATTTGGCCATGGAAAAGCTAACTGTACAGCCCTGGTGGAAGACCTAGAGATTTCTAGATGGAACACTTTTCTAGGCACTTATAGGTCTTTCAGAATGGTTCTACTGGGAGGTAATAAGAATAAGAATTGCAAAGACTCTGGCACAAACTAGTAAAAGTGGTCCCAGTGGTGATAGGCACAATGGGCGCAGTGCCTAAAGACCTTGGCCTGCACTTAAACACAATCAGCGCTGACAAAATTGCTATCTGTCAACTGCAAAAGACCACCCTACTGGGATCTGCACACATTATTCACTGATACATCACACAGTCCTAGACACTTCGGAAGTGTCCGATGGGTAATCCAATACAACAGCATAGTGATGTTGTTTGCTGTGTACTAATCTTGTTGTGCTTCTAATCATCATCATCATCATCATTTTTATTTATAACCCGCCACCATCTCCCCAAATGGACTTGGGGCGGCTCACAAAAGCCACACATAAAATAGAAATACATAAGCATAAACACAGTACAACATAAATTTAACCAAATGCAAGCAAATGGAAGTTGATCATATAATTATACTGGAAGACCTAGAGTTCCCAGAGAGGTATTTTCTCTGGTAAAAAAAAAAATCACTTAATTGTTTTCTCATTTGCACATGGGTCTTGCATGATGACCCATGGGTGGGCTGGCCCATGAGGTCACAAAGAGTTGGAAGTGACTGATCAAATAAACAACAAATGGGTCCTGCACTCCTAACCCCATGTAATGTGAAGGATGACTTTATTGTTTAATGTAAAATGAGTAATGCACACATCAACAGAGCTCCTTTGCACATACAGACTACATGTTGCAGAATGCCAATTTGAAATCTGTTGTGCAAGCAAGAAAGGAAAAGTTCTGTAAGAATGGAACAGTGTAATATTGTGGCTAGTGGTTTCCCAACAAGTTATCAGGGCCATTCCTAGTGGCATCACAGTGTCCCCCCCCGCAACAAGCATGGAGCTCTGACTAAGAACACATAGTCTTCACCGTCTGGATCAGGCATGGACAGTCCTGTTTAAACCCGTGCCATCCCACTTATATAGCTGCTTCTAAAATATTCCATTTTCTCTCTTCTCGTTTCACTTGACCCCTTTGTTCACAGCTTAATTCAGATGCCACAAACTGAGTTCAAAGTGCAAAAGAAGTTTATACTCAAAATATTCAACAGAGGAAAGGAGACAAATGGGTAGAATGTTGCTCTGTCCAGTAAGCTTAGGCAAAAGCAAACTGTTGAAACCTCTCCTAGTTTGTATGTTCTTCCTCATTAATAACTTTTGTCATCTTGGGCACACGCTCATGTGACTTGGCTATGTGGCATAACATCCCTGTCTTCACTTGCTGAGCAACTTATCACAAGCCATTAAAGAACTATTGAAACATTACTGGGCAACTCAATTGTTTATCCAACCAGCTTGAGTCCTTGCTTTGCTCTTTTCTAGCTAATAACTTTCCACCTTCAAGAGAACATTTTAGTCCTAAGAGCTTTGGATTACAAGCAATGTATATTAAAATGATGGCACTCATTCAAGAATCGCCTATTGCTTCTCAAATATTCCAGTGTGGGCTTACCAGATGTCGATGCAGTAAGTATGGCATGGAACCCTTTAGCAGTAATAGCACGGTTAGAGATAAAGCTGATGGACAAAGCACTTGCAAAAGAAGTAACAGGATGTGGTATTGTGGTGCCACAATAACGCCCTGGAAAAACCAACAGGAGAGAAGTCAAGTGCTTGATAGACCACAATCCACAATGTCTTATGTCCTGGTGCTTTTGACCCTTTTAATGCTATAACCGATACATTCGTGAACATTCAAGAATGGATAGATCAGATTGATTTGTTTCCCACAATATTTCCATTAGGCTCCTGGTATCTCCCAACCAAACACAGTTAAACATTTCAATGCCACTTATTCCTTTTCTGTACTATGTATGGAGGAACCCCCAGTGGCACAGTGGGTTAAACTGCTGAACTGCTGAACTTGCTGTCCTAAAGGTCACCGGTTCAAATCCAGGGAGCAGGTGAGCTCCCGCTGTTAACCCCAGCTTCTGCCAACCTAACAGTTCGAAAACATGCAAATGTGAGTAGATCAATAGGTACCACACTGACGGGAAGTAACAGCACTTCATGCAGCCATGCTGGCCACATGACCTTGGAGGTGTCTACAGACAACGCTAGTTCTTCGGCTTAGAAATAGAGATGAGCACGACCCCCCAGAGTCGGACACGACTGGACTTAACGTCAGGGGAAAACCTTTACCTTTATCTAATACATATGGAAAAGGTGATTCGCATGATGATATATGAATATAGGCAATGAATAAAGGGTGCCATACCTTGAAGAGGTGCGTTGTAATTATTCCCTTCTCGAATTTCAACATAATCTCTGGTGCAGTTACGTATGTTGCCTTCAATCGCAAACTCGGTGAAAGATAGTGTAATATGGTTGACTGTTGGAACAGGAACATTGTAAATATAAAGGAAGGTTTCACATTCAATTTATTTTTTATTTAACATTTCTCTTCTACAATATTTCATTTTTCTCATAAGTGTGGAACAATGTAATCATAATGAGTTTATGCAGACACAAGAAGCTCACATACTCCTTCTTCCTGCTTTTTTAAAGGACATTGTTTCTGTTCTTCCTTTCCTGCTATTGCATTCAAACAAGCAAATTGTGCTCGGGGGTGAGGGGTGGGGAATGGAATATGTCTAATTTCATTCATGTAGTGTCAATTTCTGGTATGAAGTTCTATGTGAATTACTGCAATGTAGTAAACATGCCTATATTCATTCTGGTGATGCCAAAATATGGAGTGATGTTCCTCTGAACCATCTCAGTGCAAAGAATTCATATTCTAACACTATACTCTAGAGATGAGTAACCTCTTCCATAGGACAAATGTAGTCCATAGGAACATGTAGTTTTTTCTTTCTGCCATTTCAGAACAAGTGTGTGCTTGCTAAGAAAATGTCCTAATTAGTAGCATATATGTTTATATCTGGTGCATTTTGCTTTAGTCTCATTCCATGTTCTAAGCCCAACTACTATAATATACTTCTGAATTCTAAGTGCTGGTGAGACTATCTACATCTGTTATACTTGATACTATTTTTACTTGGAGGCCTAGGTATCAGCTATAACCAAGAAAGTTTTTGCACAGTTAAAGCTAGTGTGCCAACTGTGTCCATTCCTGGAGAAGTCAGATCTGGCCACTGTGGTACATGCCTTGGTTATATCCCAGTTGGACTACTGTAATGCACTCTATGTGGGTCAACCTTTGAAAAGTGCCTAGAAACTTCAGTTGGTCCAAAGAGCAGCAGCCAGACTCCTAACTCGGGCTGGCTACAGGGAGTGTATAACTCCTCTGTTATGACAGCTCCACTGGCTGCCAACACATTTCTGGGCACAATTCAAAGGGCTGGTTTTGACCTACAAAGCCCTATATGGCACCAATATGAAGGACCATATCTCTTTCTATGAACTTGGTGGACATCTTCAATCTACTGGGGAGGGCCTTCTCTCTGATCCACCACCCACTCAAGCGCACTTGGTGGAAACACAGAAGAGGGCCTTTTCAGTGGCTGCTCCTAGACTGTGGAACTCCTTCCCAAGAAATACCAGGACGACCCCACCCCTGCTGGTCTTCCTTTCTTGCTGTTCTTCCTGCTGGTCGTCTGCAGGCAGGTTAAGACCTTCTTCTGCCAGCAGGTATTTGGGGAAGGATAAGGGGTTTGGTTAGGTGTGGGTGCAATTTGAGGGGCGGGGCGGGCAGAAGAACGGTAAGTTTTAAAGGCTATTTTAAGTCTATTCATTATATTTTAGTCTGGTTTTACCACAATTGTTTTTAACTTTCATATTGCACTTTTAAAACTTGACTGAAGTGTGGGATTGTTAGTTGCCTTGAATCTCTATGGGGAGAAAGGCAGGGTATAAATAACAGTAATAATAATATTTAAGGCTGAGGATTTCAATACTTGATTGAGAGCCCCTCTCAATTCTATGCACAGGAATTGAGATCCATTGGAGGATTCTCTTCTGCATCCCACAGCAAGGGATTATACATTTTGGGAGGGTATAGGAGAGGATTTCTCTGTAGTGACATCCCAGTTATGGGTTGACTTCACTTTGGGAGGCCTAACTTCTACCAACAGTGATATCATTTCGATATCATGTTTTTTTTTATTAAAGCCTTTGGTCCTAAGCTATTTTATCCAGCATCTATTGCTATTTTAAATTCTTTTAACCTGCTTTAAATTGTCTAGTTTTCAATTATTGTTGTTATGCATGTTTTAATTTCCACTGGGATCTTTGGATATAAGGCAGGATATAAATAATCTAATAAATAAATAACCCAGTCCTCAAGTCTTGCCCTAGTATGTTTCATTCTGATTCCTGATTTGTAACAAAATTTTGCAAAAAAAAAAATAGTTGTGGAATTTGACTATATAGTTGGCAGATTTCTCACTCTCTTGAAAGTCTATGGAAAATTGCTCAGCAAAAGCTACAGATAACCCTTCCCAAAGTGTCAAATAACCTGCAAAATTGACTGCATATCACCAGGAAATCAGAGAACTAGCACCTGTATGTTTATGTATGACTGTATAAAGGAAATGAATGGAGTTAGTCTGCTTTCACCTTCTTAACTTCTTCTGCATTCAACTAATAGCAATCTTAATCGAAACTACTATGGATTCCAAGGTAAACACCCATGTTCTGTTTATCCTATGGTAATCTAAGCATTATAAACTTCAACACAATATTCAACTCCTATTATGCGAGTCTACACCAGAGAGGTTATATGTTATCTCATTCTGTCCTCAATCCTAAATCTTTTCTCACTTGAGGAGAGTTTAAGAGTCCCTTGGTTTTTGTCCATCTACCCGGATGCAGGACTTCCTATAGAAAAGAAAAGGAGGAATTCTGCATTGTTATCAGAGATGAGAGGAGGATGTTAGTCACTGTGCTAACTTTCCCACAGGAGAGGAAGATATCCAGTAACTTACATGGCTCTTGAGCTTGAATTATCCAGCTGCAGTTCTGATTGTTTGGGTAGTTGGCTGGATACAGAGGGGAGGAAATCGATGTACCCGTGGAATCCGCTTCTAAGACACTTCCACATGCTTTGGGGGTGGGGGGAGAGATACAAAGATATAAATAAAGCTATAAAGTAAAATTAGACCACCTTGGCATGCTTAGAAACTGGAAACAGTTAATTTATTTCCCGTGTTTTGAGACATCTATCCAAATTACTTAATGTAAGAGGCAGATATCAAACTATATCTCAGAGCTCCCGGTGGTGCAATGGGTTAAACCCTTGTGCTGGCAGGATTGAAGACCAACAGGTCGGAGGTTTGAATCTGGAGAGAATGTGGGTGAGCTCCATCTGTCAGCTCCAGCTTCCCATGCGGGGACATGAGAGAAGCCTCCCACAAGAATTTTTTTGTCATGTCAGGAGCGACTTGAGAAACTGCAAGTCGCTTCTGGTGTGAGAGAATTGGCCGTCTGCAAGGACGTTGCCCAGGGGACACCCGGATGATTTGATGTTTTTATCATCCTTGTGGGAGGCTTCTCTCATGTCCCCGCATGAGGAGCTGGAGCTGATAGAGGGAGCTCATCCGCCTCTCCCCGGATTCGAACCTGCGACCTGTCGGTCTTCAGTCCTGCTGGCACAGAGGTTTAACCCACTGCGCCACCAGGGGTTCCCACAAGGTTGGTAAAACATCAGATTATCCCAGCGTCCCCTGGGCAATATCTTTGCAGACAGCCAATGCTCTCACACCAGAAGCGACTTGCAGTTTCTCAAGTCGCTCCTGACACACACAAAAATCAAACTATACTGAATCAGACCACTGTTCTTTGGGCCAAATGTTGCCCCTGTCATTGCTAAATCTGCCACCCTTTAGATGTTTTGTTCTACAATTTCCATCATCCACATCCAGTGATCAAATATTAAATATCTAAGAGGCACTAGCTTAGAAAAGGCCAGTATGGTATTGTTTTCTGTGCAAACTTATTTTCACGTAAATGATTATTTTACTGCAAAAATGTCCCAATGTGTGAAAAATCATTGAAAAATGTGTACAGCCCTTGAAATCTTGACTTGTGGGAGAAAAAACCTTTTAAAATTATTGTATGTGAGAATGAATTTGCTTTTTAAAAAAGATTGACACCCTTATCTTACAAATAGGCTGAATAAGCACTGGTCTGTTTTGCTGCAAAAGGAGCCCATTCTTTCCTGCGTCTGGCAGGAAATGTGTGTATATCTAAGCTCTGTTCAGTGTTTGCTGAATAAGAAAGAATGGTAGAAAAGGGCAGCATTTTCTGCTTTCCATTTTCTAGGGTTAATCATAATAAGGGAAAGGGCTCCTATTTGATAACAATCTGGATAGTCCCCAATTGTTCACATGACTTTATCTAAATTGGAGTGGACTTTGACTTTCTTCTTTGGAGCTCAGACCAGTCATGCTTCAAGGCGTATGACTTCAGATTCTCCTATAGTTTCCTTCTTGTAAACTGCCTTGAATTCCATGTCATGCATGAGATGTGGTACAAATCAAATAAATGAATAAATATAACTAAGAATTTAAAAGAATTGAAAGTCCAACCAATTACAGCATATACTCATGTATGATTCAACTCCGAGTATAAGGCCAGGCTGTGGCACGGCTGGTTAATCACCAGCAACAATAGATCACTGCTGACCAGAAGGTGGCAAGTTTGAAGCCTGAGTCAGATTGAGCACCCGACTGTTAAACTTAGCTTACTGTCCACCTAAGCAGCTTGAAAACAGCTGAACTGTAAGTAGAGAAATTAGGCACCACTTAAAGCAGGGAGGTATTTTACAACACCATAAAAATGCCAATGATCAAAGAATAAGGAAGAAATACTACAATCAAAAGAGCTCCACGTCATAGTGGATGAAGCAACAGCACCCCCCTGTGGTTAGAATCGAACATAACCTCCAGGTGACGAAGTTGGAAAATGTTGAAATACCTCTGTCTGTCTGTCCTGTATGTCTAAAACCAGCATTGAATGTTTGCTGTGTATGTGTGTGCATTGTGATCCACCCTTAGTTCCCTTTGGGGTGAAAAGGGCGGAATATAAAAACTGTAAATAAATAAATAAGTAAATAAGGTTTTGATTAACATCTCTAGACTTATACATGAGTATATACGGATACCAAACACCATTTTGCTACCTAAGGGAGCAGAAATCATGGAATGTCCGTTTCACAGTATAAAAACCCAGCTTTGTCATTTGGTTAACAAAGGAATAAAATCTCATAAGTATCTCTTTTCTTCCCTTTGGCAGCAAAAATACAATAAATGCCATTCTCAATTCCAACTAAAATGGACTTATTACATTAATGGTAACTTGGTTCAAGATTTTTGCACATTTCACTAAGTCAATTGCTCTACTTTAATTGGGGTTAATAATTAAATTGGAGTGGGCAGCTAGGTAAGGGACAAAGGGAAATTCCCACCAACTCTCTATGAGCTACAGGAATATCTCTATGTTCTCCTGCTATTCTTTCAAAAAGGAAACAGAAGCATTTTCATAGAGAACACCACATTCTTGGAATGGGCTTGGAAGGTGGGTTATGTGATTTCTGGGCAAAATTTGCTCCAAAATTATGCCTTTAAAAACATAAATGGTTAGCCGCTTGAATGGCCATAAAAAATGTCATGTGTTTTCTACAGGGTGCACTTTGCTAACTCAAAAATTAGGTATAGGTTAAAGGGAATAATTACTCATTTGTTCCTCTTTCATAGCTGAGGAGCAATGAGATCGCCTCAGCTAAAAGGAGGGCCAAGCTAGAACAGTGGCTTAAACCACCTGCTATAGAAGATTATGCTGACCGGAGTACTGGCAGTTCAAACCCAGGTCAGGGTGAGCTCCCACCATCAGCCTGGCTTCTGCTCATCTAGCAGTTTGAAAACAACAATGTGAGAGATAAATAGGTACTGCTTTGACAGGGAGGTAAAAGGCACCTAGAAAAACATGCTAGGAAAAGTCCAACCAGGAAAGGTGTCAATGGATGACAGACTCCTTGGCATGCAAAATAATTCAACAGCACTTCCCTGTGGCTGATTCGAACACAACCAGATGCTGGAGATGAAAAGACAGGAGCCTTGCCTCTGTTTACATACTGTCTGTCTTTGTCAACTGTATAGCAGCATTGAATATTTGCCTTATATGTACCTGTAATCCGCTCTGAGTCACCTCAAGGAGATAGAGTAGAATATAAATAAGTATATTATCATTATCTAATAAAAGGTTTCGTGAGGACCAGATTGATAAAAGTAAGAAACTTACCTTCTCTGAACTGAGCACTGAAGCCTCTGAGATGGACAGAGCTGTCAGAGCGAAACCTCACAAACATGACATTTTGAGTGGATGTGATAGGGGGAGGTCGCTGAGTACCGCAGACTTTTCTAAGAAGTGGAGCTTCGTTATTTGGACCATCAAACACCTAAAAGACAGAATAATATGGAGAGCACTGGAACAACATGGGAAGGGTGCTTCAAAGGTGATTTGTTAACCAGCACCCATGGGGATTAGGAAATGTTGAATACATGTAATTTATGGTTGCTTGAGAGTTACTATTAAAAATAGACCTAATACTATTTCCCATATGATGCCATATCATAAACTCTGTATTAACTGATATTACTATTGAAATACAGTAATTAAAAGCAAATGAAGACAAATAAAGACAAACTCAACTTAATGTCATATTTCTGCTAAAAAGTAATTTTATTTTAATTTTATTTAAAAGATTTCTTTGATATTTTTCCAGTTGCCTAAAAATTCTGGTTGCTTGAGTTCTAGTTAATTGGGAATCTACTGTATTAGTTATCTGATAGATACATTCACTAATAAAGCACTACACTAATTGCTAGAGAGATACTCGTCAGGTTTTTTTTAATTAAAAAATAACAAACCTAAATTTGAATAAATGCAAGATTTGCCACATCACGGAGAGCTGAAGTCCTGCGGGACATGATGAATTGCAGCTATCACCACATGTGGAACAGATGGTTAAAAGTCACATTGTGATGAGTCTCAAGGGGAACTTAAGCTTGACATCCAGCCAACAGAAACTATTGCCAAGATTTTCAAAATATCAGCACTGTGCAAGTCTTAATTGCAAAAAATTGCAAGGATACAGACAAAGAAAAGAGAAAATGTGAGGTGAAACACTTTGTTCTACAGTGAACAAAATCTATTTGCTTCCCCTGAAAGTGCCTAATGTTCATGAATTTGATTTCCTAATCATCTCCAAATGCTGGGAAGACAGGCCAAAGATGAAGCTTTAGATTGGTTGGTTGGAAAATATATGGATGGAATAACCAAAAATTAGTGCATTTGGCTTGGTTATTTTTGCAACTGGGTTTTCCTTGAAAGAATGAAGACTGTTGTTTACCACAAATACTCTTTCTCGCTTTTAAAAAACCTATAGGGTAATAGAAAACACTGATCCTTTGTTCATAGGGATCGGGTGGGGAGGAGAGGAACTGGAAAAAGGGCAAAGTTTCAACCAAAGAATGGACAGTACAATGTTACACCCACTGTGTTCTTTCTTGTGTTCTTTTGGTCTTCCTGGCATTGGTAGCAGAGTCTGGGAAATGTGGCAGTTATCTTGGCTTGTCTGTGTTTCTATGTGGGTAAGTCCAGCAATATGGACTGGATCCTAAAATTTCACTTCATCAGTGGAAAGAGCTCCTTTTGTTAGAAATACTCCATGTCTCCATGTAACTCTCCTTTCATAGAATGGAAGCTTCTTGTATAAAGAAATGAAAACTTGGGTGCCAAGCTTTGCATAAGGATAAGGATCTCAGTCCTCCTGGCCACTGACCATGCTGGCTGGACCTCCAACAGGACCTAGAGAGACACTAGCTCTGGTTACAGAACTACTGTATACAGATTTATACACAACATCCAAAAATCCACAAACTGTCTTCTGACATTCATAGGATTATATATGACATATGCCAATCTCAAGACCCACGGGCCAAATTTGGATTGCCATGTAGCACCTTCCAGATGCAGTATCACAACTCCCATCAGTTCTAGTCAAATGATGGGAAATACAGGAATTGTGATTTGGCATCTGAAGATCACAACTCCTGTATTTCTCATCATTTGACTAGAACTGATGGGAGTTGTGATACTGCATCTGGAAGGTTTCAGTTGCTCTGTCGAGTCAGGATAATGGGGGTCTGCATTTAGGTACAAGGCTTGTGGATATTGTTTGAGTTTTTATCATTTATTAAGTAACAAGTAGTGTAAGGATCAGGGCAGCAGGCAGTAAGAGTCAAACTACTTGGCTAGCATTGTGTAATTACAACTAGGGTGAAGGAGCTGCTGTGGTAATAATGGAGTTTGAGGGTTGGAGTTTGCTGAAGAGTTGGATGATTGGACTTTTGAAAGGCTTGAGTCTTGAGGAGACTGAAGATTGGAGTATCAAGAAGAACTGGACTACAAAGCCAGCCTACTGCAAGTAAGAAGTCTCCAGTTATCTGAAAGTGTCAGGAAAAGAAGGCTGGAGAAGTATTCCAGTCTTCAGCAACTGTAAATGGACTATATATGTATGTATGTATGTATGTATGTATGTATGTATGTATGTATGTATGTATAAAGTCTGCTGCAAAGACAAAGGCACGAGTTTACTCCTTGATCAGAGGGGGAAAGCTTCTGAGGCTGTTTGTGATTACACATATTAATCATCATCGTGACAGATACGATGTCTGATGTTAAATCTTCAAATTTTCCCCAACCCTGGAGTCAAAAGTGCTGTTTTGGGAATTATTGGGAATAATTCCCATTATTCCCAATTCACATGGTAAATGACCAAAAGTGGTGGGAGTTGTTGTTCCATAAAGTCTGGGGACAAACTAGGTAAAAACTAAAGAATACTGACGACTATGTAAAAAAGTTATAGTTGTCCCTCTGCATCCACAGATTCTCCATCCATGGATTTGATGCCCTTTGAAGACAACCAGAAGGCTGATGTGACCCTTGATAAAAAGGAGTATAATCCTCTGGATTATACTGTGAATGACTTATTTTCAAAGGGCAGCATGGTGGAGCCAGGGTTCACAAGTATCGGGGATGAATATAAAGATTTACTCTCTTTCCCACTTTCTCTTTCTCAGTTGCAGTCCTCATTGTTGGAAGGCAGGAAGTGGATTGAAGTAGTTTGGTCATGAGCTGCATTAGAAATCCAATTACATTCAGAAAACAGATATTTCTGGAGGAGATGAAGAGTGCAAACTGGTTTAGTATTAATTATGAGATGATATTCAGTTTGTTTCATATGAACCTACATGGCAAGGAACCAAAACTTTGAAAAATTACCACCTGGACTACAATACCCATATTCGTCCAACTACTATGGTGAATGACTGAGGGATTTAGAGGTGTGGTCCAAAAGTAACTTCCCTTCAATAAATATTCAATAAATATTAAGATAAATCAAAGAGAGTGAGAGATAACAGATTGCTTGCTTAGACCACCTTCTTCTAAAGTGGGGTTCTCAAGCTTTTTCAGTCACAGAGCACATTTGAAATGTGAAATTCTAAGCAGAGCACTAAATTTCACCTTGCAGATACAGTAGCCTCTGTGTCTGTCTGGTATTATCTGTATATCCTTCCAATATTTTGGTTCCCAGGAGCCAACTGGTAAACTGTAGACTATATAGTTTGTGTTTCACATGGAGGGTACTACTGTATATATATTCTCTACTCAACATTTTTCTACATGCCACTCATGGGTGCAAAAAAAATCACTATATTGAGATTCCCCCTCATTTATTTCTAAAATAATAATAATAATAATAATAATAATAATAGTAGTAGTAGTATTTTTTAAATCCTTTCATGGAGAACTTGGAATTGTTTCGTGGAGCAACATCTCCTCAGTTGTCTGCATTTTGAATTTTTTGGTGATTTGATACAGAATGTCCTGTCTCCTTTTTGGCTGATGTATTTCCAGAGTAGCTTGTACTCTTCTGTTTCTGAGCTTGGAACTGCACAGCTCCATTCAACTAATAAGTTCCAGTTGTTGGAAAATAATGACTCACAGTTTACTGGTATTTCAGACCACAGCTTAGTACATTTTGTTAAAAAAAATACTATGAAGATCTACAGTAATCACTGGTTTTACTTAGATCTAGCAATTACACTAAAAAAAAATCAAGGAAGTGATACAAAATCAGGCTTACTCCCATGCATATAGTTTTCTTCAACTGTCACTTCTTAATATTAGCAGAAGGTTGATATTTTTATATCATTCTAAAAATGGAGTTTGCGATCGAGATTATCCTTTGGGGTGGTTTGGTGTTTTGTTTTTGATGTAACTCATGGAGAAGATACCTCCCGGGGATGAATCCAAAGGAACAAATACAGGAGCATTTAACAAAACACAGTGATGTTACTTTAAATTTTAAAATTGTGCCTCAAATCCTTCCTACACTTGATATTTGCTCTCAAGGCAGATTTCATTTTAAGACAGTCAGCAGCTGGAAGCAGGAGATATTTATTGTCGAAAATAGGGGAAGGGCTTTCTGAAAATATTCTCCTTATCCTGCAGTCACGATCTGGTTTGGTGAGATGATGAGGGTGGTGGGTGGCAGCATGGAGTTTTGACTTATGATATCAGATGCTGCTGTGTGGCATCAAACTGTGTTTCATAGACCCTTGGGGCTTAATTCTGAGTAGATTACACTTAGAACTGAGCTATGTTTGCTAAAGACCCAACCAGTGTTGGAGCTTGGTTTCTAAAACCTCCAAGCTTCCTGAAACATGCACACACCAAATTAGATTCAAAAAACATTCCCCATCCCAGTCTATTCTCAGTATGACTAAGTCTGGATCTAATCCATTGTTATTTATCCAGTGGAGTACACTGTCATCCTGCGATAGAATAGATTTTATGGCAGCAGAAATATTATCTTTATAGAGCAGAAAGTGAAAAGTAAAAGGTTAAAAAGAATGGAAGGAAATTCCCAAGTGTTTGCAGCAGTCTGGTAAAATTTAGCAATGTGGTCTCATAAATGCTGGTTCATATAGATATCATTTGTTCAAGTATCAACAATAGAGTGCCAGCCCCATCATCTCATATGCCATACTTGTAAAGTACAACTTGTAAAATTTAGTTTTTCAGACTATAATCCCTAGAATTTCGCAGTCACAATGGCCAGTGGATACTGGGAGCTGTAGTGCAAAACTAACTTTATCATGCTCAGCTTTTAAATGGTGGCAGTGCCCACATCTAGTTATGATTCACAAAATATTGAATAGTCAAGTGACACATCGATAGCAGTTCTATACAGGCATTTACTGGACCCCAATCCTTTTGTTTGTACTGTTTTTCTTAATTGACAGGAAAGAGATAAGAAAGAGTGTTAAAAGGTTTGTTTATAAAGTACGAGATAGGGAACGTATTCCTTTAGTTTTGTGGAAAGCTAATCTCACAGCATTTAAGATGGTCATGCTTTGTCCAAAAGTAGTTGGATAATCAGGGATTGGGAGTTTTGGATTTCACAAAGCCCCTTTCACCTACTCCACCACATTTGGGGTCTAGTGACCTCTGTCCAAATGAAAACAAAAGATTATTTTCAGTTTCTCTTGACATGAACTACCCATCACAATTCAACTAACATGTCTAGTGTTACTTACTGCAACATAGTCATAGAGACAGGAACGATGGGATTCTATTGCAAAGTCTGTGAAGTTCAGCATAACACGGTGACCAAAGTCAACTCGAATGACCCAAGAACAATCAGTACCATTGCCGTAAAGCTGAGGATAGTTTGGTGAATGGATTTCACCATGTGGAGCTTGAAAAACTCCGCCGCAGCCTAGAAATTGAGTAATGTTCATCATTCAGACAAATCTATACAAATAATGAAAGGAATATCAGAGCTATAAGAAGTGCAGCTGTGAAACCCCTGCCACCTCTGGTTAGGCTTAATTTTTCAAATTTTCAAAATATCTCATGAGGCCTGGTGCCTTCAGGGCATTTATGCTCAGTTTTCCCTTGTCACAACAACCATGTATGGGATCTTCAGCAAAGACAGAGTGGCTGATTCATGGTTGCCCACAAGGCTTTGTGCCAAGAAAGGATAAGAACCAAGACATTCCTAGTTCAAGTCCAACTACCAGATCAGCTATATCTTTGTCCTTTCTTTCTTTCTTTCTTTCTTTCTTTCTTTCTTTCTTTCTTTCTTTCTTTCTTTTTTGAGATAGGAAATGGCAGACCTGATAGTGAACGACAATTATACTCACCCTAATTTACCTTGTCTTTTATAAAAATTAAAATACTCTATGACAGTGGTTCTCAACCTGGGGTCCCTAGATGTTTTTGGCCTTCAACTCCCAGAAATCTTAACAGCTGGCAAACTGGCTGGGATTTCTGGGAGTTGTGGGCCAAAAACATCTGGAGACCCCAGGTTGAGAACCACTGCTCTATGACAACAAAATAATTTTGTGGGTAGAAAGACAATCACAAAGCAGTGGGAGGAAAAGAAAAGAAAGAGCATCAAAATTGAGAATTATGGATTTTGCTTAGTGCATTAAAGAGCATTATTAGCCATATGCTTAAAACACACATGCAAAGTATAAGGTGTTGGTTTTGACCTTTAAAGCCCTACATGGTTTGGGTCCAGTTACCTAAAGGATCGCATTCTTCCATACAATTTGCCCTGCAAACTTAGGTCTTCGGGGGGAGGGGGGGCGTCTGCTCCAACCAGCCAGAACCCAACTGGGAACCATCACCCATCGGCTGCCCCAAGACTGTGGAACATCCTGTCAGTAGAGCTCTGACAGCTGAATCAGCTGTGGGAATTTTAAAACCATGTAAAGACCCATCTCTTCCAGCAGGCCTACCCAGCAAGTCTTTAAGCATGAATTTTAAATGCATATATTGTGTTTACTCTCTGTTTTGTGTATTTTATAAAAATATGCTTTAATATGTAGCATTTACAGGCACAAACCAAAGCAACCATGAACCTCTCACCATTTTAATTAAGATGGGCAACACATGTCTCCCAAGACACTGTTGAGCTACAACTCCCATGAGCTCTAGCCACCATAGCCAAATGTGAGGGATGACAAGTGATTTGACCAGCATTCATAGAAGGCCATAAGTTGATGATCCTTGTTTAAAATTTACAATGATCATAGTGGGAGGATACACATGGGAATTCCCTTTTACCTGTTTAACTATGTGACCAAAATCACCAGCATGCTTCCTGAATTCTGTCTTACAACATATGATATAATGAGTAAGGTACTGAAATCTACTGTCCTGTTGAGTTCAGAATTTATTCTTCTCATAGCTTAGAAACATTACTTTTAAGGCTAAAGCTCCCATAATCCTACAGTCATCATGATGGTTGTGGGATTATGGGAATTGTAGTTCAAAACATAACATTTCCAAACTCAGAATATTCTATAAATTTAGGGATCTTGTTAACTGCAACTCTTGAGGCTTTAAAAATGGAAACACAGAACTTTGCTTCAATCCATGTGGGTATTGACATTCTGCAAGGCACTTGCTTACCATCAGTTTAACTTCTTATGCCTAGTATCACTGGTCATGAACAGAGAGGCACAGAAAGATTGACTTCATAAAAAGGAAAGTGTTATTGATGACAGAAAGTTCATATGAGTGCTTCATCTTCACAAAAGATTCTGGTTCTCCCTGCTCTAGTACTGTCAACTGCTTAGCACCCAACCCCAGCTAATCATTCTTACCTCCAGATATCTCTTGCCAAGTAGCATTGAATCCCCTTCCATTCACACTTCTGTCTGTTTTAAATCGGACCACAATTGCATTTCCAGTGCTGGAGATATGCAGTGGATTTTGCAAGGTTCTTGGCTCACACAGCTGGGCCAGCCTAGGAGAAGGTAAGTCAGGACCACCATAGATCTAAAAATAAAAGATAAGCAGAGTAAGGGTGTTTAATGATGACATAATAGAGCTGCAATTAAAAGTGTAATTTTCAAAGAAAATGGGATATTGGAAACGTCTAATAGTTCTCATAAATAAACATCAGGGTAGAGTTGAAACATTTCACAGACTATTGAAATACAGGCAGTTCCCAAGTTACAAACATCTGACTTAGAAACAATTCATAATTAAGAATGGGGATGTTATTATTTATCGTGTGAGGAGCAAACAAATGGGGCTACAAAGTGGAATCCACGAAATGTGAGTGTGGCGAAGAGCAAACCACAGACCACCTACCGCAATGCAACCTGCTACATGAACAATGGAGGACCTTCTTATAGCAACACCAGAGACACTCCAAGTGGCCAGCTACTGGTCAAATGACATTTAATAGAACGCCAAGAACCGGGATGAGACAACAGGAAGTGAGAGAAATCTATACTTTGGAAGGAAAATTCACTCCTGGAAGAGTCCCCATGAGGAAAAGGTTTCTCAACTGAAGCTTTATCACCAATCCTTGTTTTCACAAGTCATTTTTTTTCGAAATCCAATGATCACAGGGACAGAAAGTGAGGGTGAAATCTTCTGAACCGGGCCACAGACAGCAAAACAAACACTACAGGGGTGTTAACCTTCCCCTATGCTATCCAAAGCATATATATGACTGGAGTTAATGTACATGTTCCAACTTACATATAAATTTAATTTAAGAACAAACCTACAAAACTATCTTGTTCATACCTTGGGGGCTGCCTGTACTATGAGAGTGGTGTCCATCCACAATTTTATTAAGAAAAATGAAATGTCTGGCATTTGATTCTTACTTCAATACTTACAGTGGGAATAGGATTGTGCACTGAACGTCAGTTCACAAGCCTAGCTTAGCAGGTTACACACTCGTGCTTTTTAATGTCTGCTGCTCTGTGCTGACCTATCTGTCCCATGTTGCTTAAAGATAGGGTCAACTCTGATGCACAGAAATGTGGAGGACAATTAGAGCAATTTTGACATCCAGTCTCAACCTATCTGTTATCTAGCTTGTGCAAAATGCACATAATCTCCTGAATCCCCTGAAATATGTAATGTCTGCCTTGCCCATTGCTCAATTACACATTCATTTTTTATGTCCTAGATATGCCTTAGAGTTCTCTCACAATATGAGCATGCGCACACACATATGGAACTTTAATTTTTCCCAGGAGGTTACATATAGCCGGGCGGGGTGGGAGTGGGGAGGTAGAGTGCACAAAATAGATAATTCTAACTTTCCAGACTTTTTTGGACTAAAATCCCCATAATTCCACATCATTGTCTATGTTGCCTAATATTTAAAGCTTTCAGTAAAAAACATCTGAAAGGCCACATCTGCCCAGTTTAGGACTATGACCATCTTCTAGGTGATCCTGACCTGGTCGATCAACTGATCAGTCATTTAGAAGTGTATCGTGAGTTACTTGAATACTTCTTTAACAATTTAAAATTTCTTACAATTGCAAAGAAATTTAAAAAATCAGTTGTTAATGATTCTGCTATAGAACATTTTCACCTGAATTTCTACCTGCATTTTATTACACAGTGTATTTTAATTTTGAGACAAATGTTTTTAATGTTTTTGTATGCATATAATGAATTCTTGCCCTGGTATTGAATGTTTGCCATATATATGCTGTGCTGCGTCCTGAGTCCCCTTCAGGATGAGAAGGGCAAAATATAAATGTTTTAAATAAATAATAATAATAAATATATTTTTATTCTAACCATTTACCAACTTTATTACACTCATTTGACACTATCTACATTGCCATCATGTCATATTTGTAGTTCACATGTGTTTTGGGGAATATTTATAGTTCTCAGAAATTCTTTCATAGGGAGAGCCAGTGTGGTGTACATAACTGTCCATGGTAGTGGGGAGTTAGACCTTATTCTCCATGACTATATGACGAATAAGGTCTGAATTTCCACTAAGCCATTAAAACCCATTGGGTGACCCTGGGCAAATCACACTCTCTTACAAGCTCATCAGATGGCCGGCGGTGGCACTCTGCTTTGCTGTGAGACATGGGGAATCCAGTGCCCCGCACCTTGCCTTGCATCACCCACTGGGAGGGTGCTCACATAGTGGGAAGCATGAGTGTGTGTGAAGCATGAGCCTCCCCCCCATAGATACAGGCAACACAGGAAGCCTCCCGTGTTGCTGCAGCGACGACAGCGTGCCAGTTCCACCCTCTTTCACTCACTGAGCTGGCACAATGTCATCTGATGGGAGCTGGCTGGCTACATGGGTGACCAAAGTTAGATTGATGTATCCCATCAATTCTAGCCTCATATGATGAGGTCAGTAGTCTCAAAGGAAGGTAAACTCTCTATGAAAAAATCTTGCCAAGAAAACCCCATCTTGGGTTAACCTTAAGCACATCATAAGTTCGAAATGACTTGAAGGCACCCAAAAAGTACCACTTTTCAAAATTGTATGAATTTTTTGTTATTTGATAGGTGTTTCCCTATGGATTTACATTTTAAAATAATCTGAAAACTGTTACAAATACACACACACACATTTTAATGGGCTTATTGGAGCACCCAGTCTCATGTTCTTTCTGGCCCCTAAGCAAATGTTTGCATCCAAATGTTTTGCAATCTCAATCAATTTTATGAACTTCACATTTCAAGGATATCACCATATTTATTCTGATTCACTCTGCTTGAATGCATTCACCACAATGATACACTCCACCCAGCCATGCCCTTCCTTTCTGGATGAAAGCGAACAGCATTCCTATATTTTTCCATTAAGAATCCTCAGCGGAAAAACAGTGCAAGCCTTAAAATATGATTAGTTTGATTCATACAGGATGTGAAGAATACATTAAATACAGAATTATTTTCTCCTCAAAATGTGTGTAGAACGTTGGGATATTCTACCCTGGTTTAGTTAGCAGCTGAGGCCCAAGGGTATGAGAAAATGCCTTCATTTGAGAAAGCAGCAGCATTTTGACATGTGATTTGACTTTATCATTGTCCTTCTGTTCTCAGATTTGGAACAATGTTGGTTATAGTTAAATGAATGCAATTGCTGATAAAATGTGATCTGTATTATGGACACAGAAACTATGCTTCTGAATATGCTTCATACTCAGGTGGGATCACTCAATAAGTTTTTTTTTCTTGTAAGGAAATCAACAACCACTTCCTTTTGCACATACAATGGACTATAGGAAAAATATCAGATAGCCTCTTCTCTACACCTTTGTGAGTTTGACAGAAGTTTCACACGTCATATTGAACCTGGCTAAACCATAGCTGAATGCTGCATGCCTGAAAAGAATATAATATTTTCCCTTTACTTCTCATTCTTCTGTGCAACCAGAAGGAATAATGAACAAGCATCAGGTTTCACATCTCTTTACTCTTTACTTGTTACATGTAGCCAGGAATTTTTATTTCAAATATTTTTCAGCGTATTCCAAAAAATCCTGGGTGGGTTTTTAGCTTACCAAGGGCTCTTCCATACAGTCCTATGTCCCAGAATATCAAGGCAGAAAATCCCACATTATTTGAGTGTGGACTCCGATAATCCAGTTCAAAGCAGATATTGTGGGATTTACTCCCTTGATATTCTGGAATATAGGGCTGTGTGGAAGGGCCCTTAGTAAATAATTAGATTTTGCTTTAATCCCTAATTCCAGGTTCATACAAGTTACACTAATGCTTAGGCAACACATCATCATCATCATCATCATCATCATCATCATTATAAAGTGAATGCGGGGACACAGCCATACATAAGCATTATATGTCTGGGTTGTTGTAGGTTCCAACAGACCTCACTACCTCTGAGGATGCTTGCAATAGATGCAGGCAAAACGTCAGGAGAGAATGCCTCTAGAACATGGCCATATAGCCCGAAAAAACCTACAACAACCCAGTGATTCCGGCCATGAAAGCCTTCGGCAATACATTATATGTCTGTCTGCCTGTATTTGTTTGATTTTATTTTATTGGGAGTAAATCTTACATGGAAAGTTGAGCAGCTAGAAAAGGCCAAAGCCCCTTTCCCAACACCTTTTTCCTAATCTTGGCTCCATTTTGCTCCACCCAGATGACTGCCATTTGCAAAACATTTTAAAAGTTAGAGGTGGATTTTTGTCTTTCTGTCATCACGTCTCTTTTGGCCCCTGATGCATTCAGGGCCCTTTTACATTGCCAGCCAGTTTCACAATTGCCTTTTGTATGGTTTCAAAATCAAAGGATATTTCAAAAAAAGCCAAACCAGCTGAGGAGTGGTTCTTTCCCGGCTTTTCTTTGTAGGCCAGTTCAGCTAATCAGATGCTTTCATAAAGGCTGGAGCAAAGAGAGCCAATCTGTTTCCATGACGGAAAATAATATATATATATTTAAAAGTCACTTTTAGATAGAAAAGCAAAAAAAAAAAAAGCATTGCAACATGAATCCATCTCAGAAAGAGAGAGAAAGAAGGGGAAACAGCACAAAGAATGTCAGGGTGTGGTACCACATGCCCACATAGAACAAAAAACGTTCTGTTGGAACACATAACGGAGAAAGAGAACTTCTTTTTTCCAACAGATTGAGCAAGCCGTGGAGCAGATCAATAAAGCCCATGGTTTAGTCTGTTTTTGCCATTTGCTTCTGCTCTGTTAGCTTCATTTATTGTGACAATTGAGCCAACATTCCAAAGTTATGAGCAACAGAAAGGCCGTTTTATGTGGCTAGTTATCCACACTAGGCACAGATTTCAGGAAACAAAAGTAAGTTCCTACTCATGGGGGGAAAAGAGACAGAAAGAGAAGTGAATATCAGGTTATCTTTCTGGACAGCACTGGAATCTAACCAAATCTATTTGGCATGGAATGGGAACGGGAGAGAATGTGATCTGCTCTGCAAAAAGTGAGAGAACAATGCGGGAAAGAAAGCCTTGAATTTCTAAACTGCAGTGTCATCTTGGTATTGCAGGGCTGAAAATTGTGAAACGAGCAGCCATTTGGAAACGTTGGGAGATCATAACAAAGGGGCAACAACTGACACGGGTGATTTCACACTGTCCCTGAGGTCATCAACAGGAGATTCACTGTTCATGACTGGAGATGTCCTAATTGACACCGTGAATATTGCATAAACCCAGTAGGTTTTGCAAAATGCATGTATTGCAGAACTCCTTGATTATTATGGCCACTTGTAAATTCTGGGACTTGTAAATTTAAAAAAAATGGCCTAACTTTATTTGTTCACTGGATTAAACTGGATTAAATGTCCAGATGTTGACATGATGCTAGCACTGAAGTAGAAATTATTTTTCAAATTTGGTACACTGATCCAGCTATGAACTACCTTTTTCCTTATCATAATGTTGATAAGGAAAAATAATGGGATTTCTATTAGACCTCATTACATAGTTGGAATGATGACAACTGCTTTATTTAATATCCAGTTGCCTTAAGAATTGTAGTCACTCAGATTCATCACGTCTGCTTGCCATGTTTTTGCAATGCTACCATCTATCTATGTGGGCTTCTTTGGGATTCATATTTTGTACACCGATCTTGATACACATACATTTTTTTGGCTCAACTCTCAGTATTTTCATAACAAGTCATCATAGGGACTGGGAAAATCCTAGAAACCATAATCCAAAAATATACCTTTATCAGACTCTGAATCCAAGAGCTTGTCTACACTAAGCACAAAACTTGTACCCACCGTAAATTGACTTCTGGTAGTCTTCACAGAATATAGCTGCTTTCAGTGAGTTGTTTTTTTTTTTATTATTACTACTATACTCCAACTCTGTCAGAAGATACTCTATAGCAGTGGTTCTCAACCTGTGGGTCCCCTGATGTTTTGCCTTCAATTCCCAGAAATCCTAACAGCTGGTAAACTGGTTGGGATTTCTGGGAGTTCTAGGCCACAGGTTGAGAACCACTGGTTTAGAGTTTGTTTAAAACTCTGAAGTATCCCAGGGCATCAGGGAAATCTGGTCAGCTGGATTGGGTCTGATTGGCTCAAGCCATTGTCCAAATACCCACCACTGCCAGTACCCTTTCCCTGCACTAATCAGAGCCGGAGAAGGGTTTGTGCCCCTGTTGCCACTCCTAGCTAACCACAGAGCCCACTCTGAATGCCTAGCTGTGGCCTGTGACATCTGAAAAGATCAGATCAACTCTATCTTTTTGCCGATCACACAGTTGCCTTGTTCTGACATAAGTAGAGGGAACTGTGCTAGCCAAACACTTGGACAGAGCTCTGTCGCCAGCTAGGAGCAGTAGCAGGGGTAAATTGACTGTATGCTCCAGTATGGCAGGGGGTTGCACTGGATGATCCCTGTGGTCTCTTCCAAGTCTATGATTCTGTTATTCTAAGACGGTTACAACCAAAGGGGCCAATGAGGTCTTGTGCTCTCTGGACAATAGCAACAGATTCAGCATGTATGTGTTGGATCCAAGGCTACACTGGGAAGGCTATCCTACCCAGTGTAGATCAGCCATACAATTTTCACCTTTTGCCCAACTTGGTATGACTTCTTCCACCTCATTTAATATATCCCTTTCAAAGGTAGAATATACGGTGATCCTTGGGGAAGAACCATTGATTAGTAGGTCCTTCCACACTGCCCTATATCCCAGGATCTGATCCCAGATTGTCTGCTTTAAACTGGATTATATGAAGCCCTTTCTACACTGCCATATAAGATCCAGATTATCTGCTTTGAACTGAATTATAGGGCAGTGTATACTCATATAATCTAGTTTAAAGTAGATAATGTGGATTATATGATTTAACAATCTGGATTATATGGCAGTGTGGAAGATGTCTGTGTCTTCACTGCCAGATAATCTGGGATAAGAAGATAATCTGGGATCCGATCCTGGAATATAGGGGCAGTGTGGAAAGACCTTGAATGCTTTGTATGCAGAAAATTCCCATTCTAATCCATGACATCTCCAATTCAATGGTCATACAAGAAGAAGTGGGAAAAACGTTTCCTGCAGAGCCTCTTCCAATCACAGGAGTCAATATTGAGGCAGAAAGTCTATTTTTGTATAATGTAGGTTCCTATGCATGATGGCAAGCATTGCAAGGACATGGAAAGAGAAAAAAAGTAACAGGGTCAATGGTCACAGTAGCAACATGTATCTTGGATCTTGAAAGAGGGAGGTAGAAGAGGAGGCCATGGGAGAAACAACGGGGGGAAAATCTAGGAAAATCTCTAGTAGAAAAGGTTCATTCATTGTTTCAAAGATGATCCAGCTCTAACTGCAGCTTGCATGTGATTTTAATTAAAATTTCAATATATTCCCACAAAAACATACTGAATTGATTTTCAGCAACAAAAAGAAGAGTTCTAGTTTCAAACCATCAAAACCAAACTAGTTTGTGGTTGTCAGTATTCCGTTAAGTTTTCAAAACCAGTAGTTCCAACATTTCTACTCTGAAATTCAGAGTAGAAATGTAAACATTAAACAACTTGAGACAAACAAATTAGTTAGTTAATACAATGTGATTTTATGCATCCAGAAAGAAGAATTGTCAGTTTATACAACATATAGCAGGAATGGACAGATAACAAACATAAATAAACTTTAGAATTAATGCAGTTTGACACCACTTTAACTGCCATGGCTCAGTTACATGGAATAATTGGATATGTAGTTTAGTGAGACACCAATACTCTCTGGCAGAGAATGCTAAAAACCTTGTCAAACTACAACTTCCATGAATCCATAGCACTGAGCCAAAGCAGTAAATGTAGTATAAAACTCCATTAATTCTACAGTGCAAGCATACAATTAATTCTATGCATGCACATTTTGTTGTGCCTGCTTTGTCAAGAAATACTGAAAATAAGCATCTAGAATTATAGAATACTGAGAGTGAAACATTCCTGCCAATCTTGTCCTGATTGAATTTCTGCCCATCCTTGGTTAAGGAAACCAAAACAAAAGCACTCACCTCCAGAACATCATAGTTACAGCTTGAATGGTATTCGACATCAAATTCCAAAATGGTGAGTTGAATACTACTGCCTGGAGTTGTGTGAATATACCATTGGCATTCCCGATTGTGTGGGTACTTGTTTGGATATCCCAGACTGTGGAAAGAGCCAGAGGTCCCATAGAGATCTCCACCACATCCTGGGAAAGGTAGACAACATTGTTCAGGGTTATAGCAAAATAAACATGGAAAAGCAAAGACTGACAATGATAGTACACTTTGTGCAATGACAGTTCAAGCTGCTTCCTACTGGAACAGGACAAAATTGTGTTGGGATTCTGGGAAAGCAAGGAAATCAAGACAGTTAGGGGTTGTTTTTTTTTTTTTACATCACTACAGAGAATGCCCTAGTGCAGTGGTTCTCAACCTTCCTAATGCCATGTCCCCTTAATACAGTTCCTCATGTTGTGGTGACCCCCAACTATAAAATTATTTTTGTTGCTACTTCATAACTATAATTTTGCTACTGTTATGAATTCTAATGTAAATATCTGATATGCAGGATGCATTTTCATTCACTCAACCAAATTTGGCACAAATACCTAATATGCCCAAATCTGATTTTGTCATTTAGGAGTTATAGTTGTTGGGATGTATAGTTAACCTACAATCAAAGAGCATTCTGAACTCCACCAATGATGGAATTGAACCAAACTTGGCACACAGAACTCCCATATCAAAGAGAAAATACTGGAAGGGTTTGGTGGGCATTGACCTTGAGTTTTGGAATTGTAGTTCACCTACATTCAGAGAGCATTGTGGAGTCAAACAATGATGGATCTAGACCAAACTTGGCACGAATACTCAATATACCCAAATGTGAACACTGGTGGAATTGAGGAAAAATTGACCTTGACATTTGGGAGTTGTAGTTGCTGGAATTTATAGTTGACCTATAATCAAAGAGCATTTTGAACCCCGCCAATGATAGAATTGGGCCAAACTTTCCACACAGAACCCCCATGACCAACACTGTTTTCTGATGGTCATTGGAAACCCCTCTGACACTCCCTCATGACCCCCCAGGTGTCTCGATCCCCAGGTTGAGAAACGCTGCCCTAGTGCTTGTGTCATTGCCCACTGGAGGTCTGGCAGCAATGGAAAATAAAGACGGATCCATGCTCTTAAAAATCTGGGCAACAGGTATCCGTACACAAAACTCCTTCTGAACTATCATTCTATCTTTAACGTCTATTCTTTCTCAAGAATGGCAGCTGAATATATTAGTTCAATTAAAAAATGCAACAAGTTACACTATGCACTGCCACATAGTTTCTTGGTTTATTTTTGCATGATCGCCATCATAGACTGTAACCAGTTTTCTCATAATGTGTAAACAAAACATTTGGATAATGTTCTTGATCTCATGTATAGTCTCTTGGGAGAACATGCTTAGTTTATTCTTCAACAGCCTTTCTATAATTTCTGAAATTATATATAAAGACTACTTAAAATCTACAGCCTCTGAGACAACATGTGGCCCATCCTGATTCATTAAGCAAACATGCAAAAGTGACTAAGGCTAAGAAAGCTAGGGGTGTTCCTGACCGGATGTGGCTTCCACTCAGTTCTTGGCAGGGAGGAGAGCCAGCTGCTGGTGTCAAGTTCTCTTTTTCAAATATTGTTACTTCCACATTTGCTTTTCCTAATTTTGTATAGTTTTAGTAGAGTTTTGCAAGTCGAGTAAATCTTCTCCCAATGCAAGTAACATATTGTATCCTGAACACTGTATAACTTCATTGTTTCCTTTTTTTTTTGTATGGTTTTTATTGAACTTTTTGCACATCAACACAAGGATTGTTTCCTTATTATATGTATAAGTGTTTCAATGTGGTTCAATTCCACTGTAAAACTTTTAGTATGTTTTTAACTGTGTTGGTGTTCTATACCGTAAACTGTCTTGAGTGCCAATTCTGTACCAGCTCCACTGTCTAGTATTGCTCAGGGAATCACTAACCATCGCTAACAACTGTTTAGTTTCTACCATTCTGAAGGATGAGTACTTTTGTATTTAAGAGCTAAAATATTCCATGTATTACATATCAGCCTCAATGGCCCTTGTGGGAGTATACCTCTTTTGATTGGTATCTAACAGATTATCCTGTATGAATGATTATACTGGACTGCCCATGACAAAATAACTTAAAATGAGCTTCATGCACAACATGTTGCCAATGAGACTATCCTCTTCAAATTTGGTTAATATCTATCCATTTAGCATGAGACAGCAAGAAGCAGATAGAAACGTTATGTATATAATTATGACAAAGGTCTTTTTAAAGTTTGTATTGAACGTAACTTATAAAAATCTTCCAAGTGATGTGTTATAAACCAATCTGTGTGAATGAAAAAGAATTGATGTGGCAATGTAGTAATTTACAGCGTAGTAATTTACACATATATTGCAATCCACAGTTTTCATTGTTTTGTGGAATTTACTGATTTCTTTCTCTAATGCAGTGGTTCCCAACCTTTTTTTGACCAGGGACCACTTTGACCAGGGACCACTCTCCAAAAGGGTTCCGAATCAGTTTTTGGTCAACTTTAGATTTGGTTTGTTTATTTGGGGTGCTGATTCAGAAAACTGCATTGGATGGACCACATCAGCTTTGGTTTCTGATACAGAACATATGCCATCCAGAAGTCACCATGTCTCACCCACAGAAAACCATATTTAATAATTCAGAGCTGACATGGTCTATCCAATGCAATCTTCTGAATCAGCAACCCCAAATTACCCCAGGAGCAGGCCTAAAAACTAAGACACCAAGAAAACTTTTTTTTTGTTTGCACGGTATTATTATTCATAGATTTGTTAATGCTCATTTTTTAAAAAAGAAAGGGAGATGGCTGAGGTTGAAAAAAATGCAAAAAGCAGAGCACAAGACCCAAGAAATTGTCCCTAACGGCTTTAATAATGTTACTTTAGGGGATTAAACAGGGTCTTACAAAGGACTGCTTTCCCATCACAACTGATGGCCCACAGGTTGGGAACCACTGCTCGAATGTATACATTTTAGGTGTTCTTCACACTGTACATACACTGTCTTTTGTGTTATACCTCAGTTCTTCACTGGATCTTTGTTAGCCTTCTCCCTTTGGCTCAAGAGTAACTAATAATATTGTGGCTGCATTATGACCACTCTAAATATGACTTCTTCTTAAAGATACTTTAGCAATGGCTTCCCATATTAGAAAATGTTGCACTATCCCTTCAGGATACCTTCAAGCTCTATGATTCTTTAATATCCTATTTCAATATATTTTTCAAAGCTCACGGAGTTTATGATCTAAAGCAGGCCTGCACAACCTGTGACCCTCCGAGTGTTTGGGCCTCCAACTCCCAGAATCCCTAGCCAGCTGTTCCAATGGTCAGGAATTCTGGGGTGTGAAGTCAAAAACACCTAAAGGTCACAGTTTATGCAGGCCTGATCTAGAGAAATGTCAATCTCACCAACAAACTTATGGTTGGTGGAAAAATAGACTTGCATTTACATTGGCAAAATAGCACTTGCCAAGTGGCATTTAAAAAGACTTACTAGGTCACTCTGGGTTCCTTTTCCCTTGACCCTTCCCCAAATCACGTTTCTCCCACATCCTGCCTTTTCTGCTTCATTTGGACCATCATCATTTTCCTAGGGCATGACCCCTCATGTTTATGCGCCAGGGTGTCCAGGATCAAGTGAACCTTAGAAAATAGTTCAGTGCCTAAACCTTTCTGACAGCCCAATTGCAAGCTGGGAGAGAAACACTGTTTTCAATATACTGCAACTATGTTTTAAAAATACCTGTAGATATTACTCATAACAAGGTAACATGTCTAAAAACTGTCTTAAGAGTCTGAAAGATTGACCAAATATCTTCGGCTAGTATCTTTCTGCTCATGCAGCACTTGACAACCTACACTACCATAACTCTCAGGTACATCATATTTCTTTTGGGACACTCTGGAGGCAAGTATCCTGCATCTCTCTATGCAACTCCCTTCATCCCAAGACTGCAAAAGCAAAGCTCTCAGGTAGCCCTCCATCTACTCAGTTGGCAATCAGCTGTGGATTCATTCAAGCATGTTCAAGCTGCCCTCATACACCTAGAGAGCAAGGAACGCCTAATACTAGGGACAGAGGCTATTCTGTCTTTCCTAAAAGCATAAAGGCAACCAGAATGCACTCAGGCACACATTCCCTTGCAGCAGATCAGTGATCTGGAAAGAAATGGAATTGAGCCCTTGAAACCACAGGTGCTGTTGCACAGGTGGGGAGGATATAGGAGAGAGCCTCCTTTTTTGGACTTCAGCATTAAGCAGGATGACACAGATATGTCATATATGAGCATGTTTATAAGTTCTTGACTTTATACTTTAATAGAGGTCTTACACAATCCCTGATAATTCAATCCTTTGCAAAAAGACATGGAAGAGTCAACAGTTGGCCTTTCACATTGGCAAATTTAGCTTTTGTGGATTTGATTAAATGCAGTCCTCAAGTTACAAACATCTGACTTACATATGACTCATAGCTAAGAACAGGGGTGAGATAACAGCAAGTGAAAGAAATCTACCCCTAGGAAGGGAAATTAATTCCTGAAAGAGTTATCATGGGGAAAAGATGTCTCCACTGAAACTTTATCACCAGTCCTTATTTCCTTATTTCAAAATCCAGTTCTCATGGGGACAGAAAATGAGGTAGAATCTTCTGAGTAGGTTCACATAGAGCAAAACAAACACCACAGGAGTGTGTTCACCCTTTGTGCTATCCAAAGCTTATATATATATATATATATATATATCCTTAAAATGTCACTATTCCAACTTACATACAAATTCAACTTAGGAACAAATCTACAGAACCTATTTGTTCATAACTTGTGAACTGCCTGTATTTGCAAATTTGATTAAGAAGAATCTCTAAATCCTCTAGCATGACTCTATGTTTGTTCAACTACTGGAAGTGGAGTCACACTGGAAGACTTAGAGCTTCCTAGAAAGGTGTTTCCTCAGGTTTAAAAAATGGATCATTTTTATTTGTGTTTTTTTCTACTTTCATGGAGGTACTGCATTCCTCACCTGTATGGAAATGGAGGGCCTACAGTATAGCCGAATATTACTTTCTTCCCCATTAATAAACCTTTTGAGTGAAAG